TCTGGTGAGCATTCCGTATGGCACGATATATATCGTGCTATCCGATGTCCCGGGTCTCTATACCGCCACGAAGGAAAATATTGCTAGCAATATCTAGAGGGAAAAAGGCACTATTGATTAAAGACCTACTATCTAAAGGCCCTTATCAAAAACATGGAGCAAAGTAGAGTCCTCGAGACACACCGTGATGTTCTAGGTAGTGTTCGCGAGTAGCTCTATAGAACTAGAGTAGGTTCAATGTGTCCTCTAATCAATATCAATATCTTCCCGGTAGGATCATCTCAACAATCGATACATATTCCTGCTAATAACGCTATACCCATTAGGCCCGGCTATACTGAATCAAGAATAGTTAACGGGCTGCTTAATATCGCTCTGGAGGAATATTCCGAATGGCAGCAATCACGGGTAAGCAACGAGACTTTCAGGGATAACATCAACGAAGCACGCGATGTGACCCTCGAAAATTGTCTCGACCTCATGCAGATTTATAAGGATCAAGACCTAGGTTTCTTTGTGAAGCACGGCGTGAAAGTAGGTGTCGCCCGGCGGTTCGTTCATGACATCGGCTATACCTACTGTCAGCATATAAATATGCATGTGCATAATATCTTACGTCAGCTTCCTACTCTGTTGGATCCTGGAGGATCATGATGCATGAACCTTCCTGCTTACCCCGCATACGCCGCCTGATATATCATATTGATCCTCAACGATCTCGTCAACATTGCCTATCTAGGCTGGAGAACACTCAACACTCTAACATGACCTCGTATGTTCTTGATTACCTCATATGATATTTGCTATGTACCTCATGTTATAAATTGCTCTGTTTCCTGGTTAGAATGAACAAGTTTGACATCTCTTTATCTCAGGAAGAATTACCGGGCATAGTAGACCATCTGAATCAACCTTCCACTGCTTGATTCTTCTGTCTGATCAGCCGATTGCGTTCTATCCTGATTAGTCTCTCTTCCATAATCGTGGCACTAAAGATTAGTGCGCACGAACGATTTCTATTACGGTTCAATGCACCAGACGCATCGCTTTTGCCAACACCTACGGACCTCGCTAGCTTTTCATCGCCTTAATACTTTATATTTTCTTACTCGCTAATTTTTAGTATATACTCACTAGTGAATTACCAAGTTACTATATACTTGCGCTTGATTAATGAACCAGTATTTTTATCAATAGCATTTAACCAAAATACCTATCGAGGAGACCCTGCTACCGTCTCTACTACCCCTTAAATGATTCTAAGTTAGCTACGCAGAGAGTAAGTAGAAGCCACTATTACAACTTAGTAGACTTATCACTATGATATCTAAATTATATAGCCTCATAGCCCTTCTTAGAGATACTAATATCAATTTAAACGATAACCATTTAAAGGTAGTCGCATACCTAGACGATAGCGATATCGAGGTGCTGTAACTTCTGTTATTAATCTACCTACCTTACAGTATAAACATTATCTATCTAATAGAGACGGTTCTACTCTATCTGCTAGGAAAGATTTATGTCTATACTATAGAAGATAAGGCACTAAGCAAGTCTAATCTGGCTATCCTTAATCACTTAAAAGCTAACAACAACACCGAGATCATCCTATTTAGAGATAATATACTTTTAAACTAGCCTATAGAAGTATAGCCTATCTACGATATTCTTATCGCCTTCTATTCCGATAGATGTCTACTTAATAAGGTAATTTTATATATATAATTAAGGTCGCTAACTTCTTATCATAACTTACTTATATAGAAGGTCCTCTTCGATCGCTAGCTCTACCTCTATATCCTAGATTTCTCTTTCGACGGAGACCCGGGTATACAGAACCTTACTGCTGGGAGCTATTCGGGTTTTCGATGGAAAAGCGCATCCGTGTATATCCATGCAAATATATATAAATCTATCCTTGTGAAAGTCGAAGGAAATCTTGCAGATTCCTGCTCCTTCCAGGTAAAATTCTAGGAATGAATCCAAGACACACAAAGTATGTTTGACAAAAGGGCAACCCACCAAGACATTATGAGAGCATTATTTAAGCTAATCAACTTCTGAGGGTAAAAGAGCTTTCAAGAGTTTCTAGATTGCTCTCCTCGGTCAGGAGGAGATACAGCCTCGCAACGTGTTATACCCTGCTGGGCAAGGATAAGACAATACATCTGCTTCTTGAAGGTATAAACGTGTTGCATGAGAGCAGTGCATTCTGTTGAGCGGTCAGCCTTTGGATATGGGGGCCCTCCTAATGCTAGAGGCAGTTGTAGCATCTCGTTGAATAAATAATATTCGCCGCGACATCTCCCGTTTCTGGCACGCCCCTGGTGGCAGAAATCCCAAGTGATGAAACCTAGCTTGATTACCTAGGAATCGAGGTGATTATGAGCGAATGTAAGTGAGCATTTACCGGGGAGGTAGACGTTGTGACCGATAAGCGGACGTCTGAACAATAATATTCCTGACAAGCGCACGCGAAATTGTCAATAAGGCTGTTATAGATACACTGAAACTATCTCATGATATCACAGGAAATTGAATAGCTTGAGCAATACTCATTGGCGTGTCTGGCTCTTTGCAAAAGTCCTTACTTGATATAAAATGTCTTCATTCGACGACTGCCTGGAAGTACTAGAAATTGAGAACTAAATATCCGAGAAATTCAATCACACTATCCATGAACACCCATGGATCCGCTACATTGTCGATCAAAAAATCTACAATATCCCACATGCTGTAGGTTACTGCAGTCTCAATGGCAGAACTGAATTCTCCTACATCATGGAGATATATCAGCACCGTTGTCCACACGAATTTGAATTATCTTGATATCGCGATGCTTGCAAGCTAACTGAAGAACTGTGAAGGGACTATAGCGACTGTCCCAGGCTCTACGGTTTTGACAGAGATGATCAGGGTCTCCTCCTTCTTCTAGCAGCAGCTATACGATCTTGCGATGGCTTGAGGAACAGCAATTGGTAGCGGGTGCAGAAGCCACCCCACGGAAATATATCCGCTCTATTTTCCAACAATAACTGGTATATTTCATAATGTCCTCCCCAAGAAGCCCAGACCAAAGCTGTAGATTTATTTTCGCCTGTTTTGATCTGTATCGATTCCTCTTGAAGAACTAGTTTTCGAATGTTCTGGCGGAACGTCACCCACGGCTACATGGACCTTGTAGCCCTCAAAACCTGACATTGTTCTCTCTCAAGCAGGACTCAATCTCTCGGATTTTAGAGGAGAAAGGAAGTCTTTGAATTTTTCGAACTGGAAAGAGTATTGATCAAATGCGGTCTTAATTGGTAACTATGGATTTCAATCAACTGGCTTCCGAATCTGGCTGGCTCCTATGAAACGAATTTGTCAATGAAAAAAGTACGTCAGGATGAGGATCAATGTACTGGCGAGTACTGAACATGTGTAATAGAATAAGTTGATTGATTGAAAGTTGATGAGAGCGGTTCTGCACCCCCGAGGGTCTGTATCATCAGGGTGAGGTGTGTTACGACGCCATACTTCTGGTTCTAACTCGAATACCATATGAATACTTAAGGAAATTGGGCGGATGATGGACAGCCTATCCTAGAACAGTTTTGTTTGAATTTGAACTCTCATTCAGTTTGACAAAGTATACTAGTATCCTAGTATGTGAACCGGAATCCAGGATGATCATCACCCAAATTTTGTACTTCATCGGGATCGAGCGCCAGCCGATCATCGCGCGCCCCCTGATCCCTCCGCCGACTCTCTTGCCACAGAAGCAAAAATAATATGACGGATGCTATAACGCACAATCAAATTAGACCCAAGCTCGTGCCATTACCTATATAATAGTATGGTGCCTCAGGCGACATAAAGATGTTGCTAGCAACAAAGCCGCCACAATTTCTAACCCCAATTTGGATTGCAGACGCCACAGCCTGCTTGTAATGCCCACTCATATTATTACTCAATCATCCTAAGAAAATGTATCTCGTTGAACTCGAAAGATGCGAGGGATCACCCTCGTTGCCACCACAGTGGTTGTCAAGCAGGATTTTGAAAGCCTCCTCAGTCCTACCGCGCGAGATGAGCCAGCGGGGAGACTCAGGTACCCATCAGGTAAGGCCGAGAGATATGATAGACGGAAACATTTGGATCAAGGACACCGCACGCCACGACCAATCACTCTTAATGGTCAGGGTGCCCAAGGTGACCCATGCGGCAATCTTTGCACCAAAATAGTAGAGTGTGTTGAGAAGAGTTGATAACTGCGCTCGATATTAGGAGTGAGCAAGCTCTGTGACAAGCATCGGAGCAGCAGTGTATTCGAAGCTTAGTTCGAGGGCATGATGCCACAGGTCGCAGCGAACGTAGGCAACCCCTGAGCAAACGACTGCAGAAAAACACCCACGATGATAGTCACCGAACCGATGATGATTGTGTACCCGCTCCCAATCCTCTCTACTAGCCACCACAGGAAGAACTGCGAGACCGCTCCGCCGAGACCTTGGGTCCCGTTGAAGATACCAAGCTGTCCGCTGGTGGGATGATGGAAGTATTCTGGCCAGAAGTCAGAGTCTCCATGCCGTTCATAATGGACCCATCCAGCCCTGATTTAGGTCGTTAGCCAGACTTTATTCGTGTTGCCGTCTGTGTAGTCCCTTGCCGTTGGTGACCTGAACAACAAGAATGACACTGAGCCACAAGTAAAGTGTGGTAAGTGCGGGTATTTGTACCATGGCTGGTCGAGGAACCCCCGGACCCTCGGCCCGGGTAAATAAGGGATAAAGTAGGAAGCGGCTGCTTGACTTATGGGGAATGCTGGCTTACCTGGCAGTTTCTTTACACCCCCACGTTGAATTCCAAGCCCGGGTAAATATGAGAAGGGGGGTTGTGGGGTTGGATACAACAGCCGTTTTTTTTGAACATTCCCTTTTTCCCACACTTTTTCCCAACTTTATTTTGAGAGACAACGCTTTGTTTTACTCTTCCAATCAAGGTTAATTTTGACTATGATATCTCCCATCAAGGTCGGTATCGTAGGCTATGGCTTTTCAACGAAGTGCTTTCACTTGCCCTTCATCCTGCCTAACCACGAACTCGAAGTGCACGCGTTCCTTCAGCGCGCTGCGGCCCCTTCCGCAGACCCGGCATCCAAGTCGAAGGCCTGGGGTCACTGCACCGTAGACTTCCCACGGGTGAAACATTATCAGACTGCTGACGAGTTTTTTGCCGACGTTGCCATTGAGCTCGTTGTCATCTGCGCACACACTCACCGTGAGTTCGTAGAAAAGGCCCTCAAAGCAGGAAAGCACGGTAAACGAAAAATGAGACATCCCTCTTTTGGCCCGAAAGCTAACCAACCACATCTTCCAGTTGTTGTTGAGAAGCCATTCGTGGCTACAAGCTCCGACGCAGATGAGCTTATTGAGCTTGCCAAGGCACAAGGAAAAGTTCTGACAGTATTTCACAGTACGCGACTCGCTCTCCGGTATTATAAATATGAAATCTGACTCTCAGTTCACACGTGTGTGTGACTGAGGAGAGAATCTCTAACCTCGTTATATAAAGACCGAAGATTCGATAGCGACTTCCGCACCTTAGAAGACCTTGTGAAGAAGGGTGTCTTAGGTGATGTCAAGGAAGCTGAAATCCATTTCGACTTCCCCTCACCATCTTGGATTGCTGGATGGACCCAGAAGGAGTATACTCCAGGCGAGGGCATGATTTTCGGGCTCGGTAATGGGAATCATCTCTGTCTTGCCCATGTATATTTTGCTAAATCCCTAAGAAAAGGCACCCACACGGTCGACCAGGCTCTGCATCTATTTGGACGCCCAACCTCGGTAACTGGCTTCCTCCGGTCCAACCGCGGGATTGACAGCGACGTCGATGACACGCACACCATTATCCTGCAGTATGGCGAGAACAAGAAGAACCTGCTTGTGACTATCAAGACATCGATCGTGTCACATATGAAAGACCAGCTCCGTTTTTTCGTCAGAGGAACGGGAGGGACGTACCTCAAGGTTCGAACCATGTTTACCATCTTGTCCTGGGAGCAGTAGAAAGACATACAATTTTCATGCGAGCAAGCTAACAGAATCCCCTTATCCTTCCCAGTTTGGCACCTGCCCTCAAGAAGAGAGAGCCATCGCAGCACCAGGCCTCCCCGCCTTGGACCCGAACTTTGGCATGGAGGACGAGCGCACCTGGGGCACCTTGACTACGACGGTGGAGTATGATGGGGTGCACCAGGCCCACGATGAGGCAACGGGTCGCTGGATTGGCAAGTACCCGAGTTTGCCGGGCTGGTACCGCGGATACTATGAAAACGTGGCAGCGGCAATTCGGGGTCGGGAGGAAATATGCGTTAGGCCTGAGACGGCGAGGGACGGATTAAGAGTCATCGAGCTAGCGAGGGAGTCTCATGTTAAAGGGGCCACTATTCCCTGGTCGTAGATAGCGGTGATGCACGCAGCGAAGCTTAATATGCAATTTTGAAGTTAATCAACGCTCGGGAAAGCCCGGGATATTGTATTTACGTCGTTCGCAGTAGTGTAAACCGATATATATATACTACTGCAGTCCAATGGTGAATTGACAGGTCTCGAACAGGACCTCTGCACCGTTTGCCACTGAATCAGGAGGTGTTTACCACCCAGTCCAACGAAGGTCACATTGAAAAGCCTGTTTTTCATTAACGGGGAAAATAAAAGTAATGCAAATGAGAATATGATGCACATAATTAGATCTAGCGGAGTCTATTTTATGAGCTAGGCTTACCTAGTTGCTCATGCCTATGTCAGGGCGGGCCCAGAGAGCGAAATGAGCGTGATGCCCCAGGTAGGGAATGGTGTAGGGAGAGTGGTGCCGGGATACACGTTGAAGCTAGTCATCGCGGCGCCTCTCTCCCGCGGCAGCTTATCACCTCACCTCAAGCTCCAACTAGCAGACCAGATAAAATTCCGGTTATTGTATGCCATAGGGGGAAAGAGCTACTTCTCTCAATACACTAGGTGCCAGGGGAGTAGAGATCGACGTACGACTCAAGATCTGCATCAATGTACGAAAATACGGTGCATATTAGGAGCTTTTTCACCTGCTGTCATCCCTGTAACCCGTGTTTGTCTGCGTTTCCAACCCAGCCGGAACACAGAACCCCAAAACTAGTGCCTAACAGCCGCGCTCCGATTTACCCCGGCTGTTTGTCGTATATGCCTCGCGTGTCTCCGACCATCCAGTGATTAACTATCCTAAACATGTTCTCGCCCGTCCCTCCGCCGGGGGGGGGGGGGGGGGGGATAGTTAAGAAGTCTTGCTAAGGGGGTCGATACCAGCCGCCACTAGGGAGTAGGTGTATTCAGCATATACCTGGTTCACAAGTCTGTTTCTCATTTGCGGTAGGCCCGAGTGAGGTGCTCTGTGTGCTGAGCTTGGGGGCATAACTCGGGGCTCAGATTTAGTATTGGGTAGCTATCAACCCCAAGAAAAGTCAATATTATTCGTACTGTTCTGAAGTTAACACCCCCTTATGCATCATCGAGCGTATAGTGCACTCCTGGAAACTCCCACAATGTCCCGTCTACCGCTCGGGCGCAGAGCCACTCCTGTAACAGATGGATATTATCCCCTCCTTGCCCCGGCGGCATAGGCACATCAGCGTAGACTAGCAGTGCCCCCACCTCCCTTTCTTTCCAGTCATTCCACTCTGGACACTGGGCGAGGAGCAGTCGGCCCCAAAAGCTGGTCTCCCGGCCTGTCGAGTCGCGGATATGAGCGTCGCGGAGACGGCCTTCTTTGGTATTGATCACCAGAACCCGTTTCAAACCTGGTAAGGGCAGACGTTCCGCCACGCTCGGGGGTAGTGGCTCATCCATGTAGGAATCGGCTCGCGTAAGAACCACATGCGTGATATTCGGGCACTGCAGCAGGTTCTCCACAAAATCCCCGTTAACGCAGGGGTTGTACAGCGCGAGGCGGCGTAGACGAGGCCAAGTGGGCCATATCTGAGGCTCGATTTCTTCCTCCACGGCGTTAAGAAAAAGCTCATCTTGGACGGAGCAGAAGTCCTCCAGCGCGGTCAGGCGGGAGAACGCTACGCGGAGGGTCTTTCGGAGGCCCTGCACGTCATCCTCCGGGTAGAGATACCGTAGGGGGATGTTGATGACGAGGTTTCGCAGGGAGGAGCGTAAGTGCGAGAATAAACGGTCGATCTGGTGCACTATATGGGGTTCATCTAGCTTGCCTGGGGGGAATGGGGCCAGGAAGAGCGAGTAGGCTTGTATGCACTGGTCTGTACCGTTGGTGTCATTGTCAACAAAGTAGCCGCTTTTGTCAAACAGATTGTCGAGTCGCTCTATCGAGTCAACATAAAGACAGTGGCGGAAGAGAAGCTGTCGCGCTGGGTGGTAGGTTGGCTTGCATGCCAGGGTGAGACTGATTAAGGTCTGTGTCACAATGTCACTTGGGGGGTGTATCTTGCGCGAAGTCGAGGGGATGAGACTCTCCACGATCTGGAGGATCACTTCGCCGGGAATGGTGGACATTGTTGCTGTTGTTTTTATTGCTGTGAGGCGCCGAGTCCTAGAGAAAAGAGTGCATTTCCACGAGGATCTAAAAGCTAAAGATGAAAGAAAACAAAGGGAGGGAACTCCCAAGTACGGAAATGAGAGAGGCCCTAAGGCAGCTATCGGAATCCAGCGCTCGGATATAGAATATCTAGATTGCCGATTGTTTTGTATTAGTCAGCCTGCCCCCATCAAAATCAATGACGTTCTAGTCGTACAAGGTAATTAACCCAACCCCCTGAATCGACCTGAGGGGTCTCGTGGCTAGATTTAATTGACTCGGTAAGTACAAGAACGATGCCTGCACTTATTAAATCTAAACGATTGTTAACATTCACCTTCAGACACCCCAAAACAAAATGGCTTGAAATTACGAACAAAATACCCCGTACCGCCAGGCACCTATTACATCTTCGGTCGTAGCTTTTGAAAGTGAATGAATGAGATCACACGCAGCTGTCACGCATCTTATAGCTGCATTCTGTTGATACAAGGTTGACCAGGAGCCAGACTGTGCTTGATCGACTTTTGAGATAGCGACTGAGCAATAAGTGCTGAACCTAGGGCGGTAAAGCAGCAATTTCAAATGGAGATATCTGGAGAGAAAGTCAATATTCCAATATACACGGTTGATTCTCAAATTACCTGGCACGGAGAACGTTGGATTAACGACGAAAAGTGCGGTCAGAGTTTAGGGGATTCAGTGGCATCCATGCGAAGACAGTAGGGAGTGAAGACTCGAATTCTTCTAGTGACTTGTCTATAGCCATAATGGCCTTAAAATCACTCTCTGGCGCCGGCGAGGATTCCTCTTCTTCTGGACTTTCGTCTTCGCCGCGATAGACTGTCAAGACAATCTTCCAAAGAATTCCAATCAGATTCATATTTTGGTGCAAAAACTAATTAGTAGATATAGTTCCCTCAGGCTGTCAAGTTCCTTGTCTGCTAACAGAAAGGTACTCGTCATCGACGGGTAAGGGTAATGGGATTCGCGAAAAATTCTGTGTCATGTGGATGGCCCATTGTCATGCTCATGATTCTAGGAAAGTCAGTCAGTATAGATGCAGAAATAAGACTGGGCGGAGCCCTACGTGTCCATTTGCACACACGCACACTATGCTCGCCAACGCTGTTCCTTCTCTAGAGCACTCAGGGTGCTGAACTAGCGACGGTTCTGTAGTCCAAGACCGACTGCCATTCGATGTGCCATGCCAATGACATTCCAACATCTTCTGGGATATGGCGTACATTGTAAATATATCGCCACTAGCAGAAGCCCCTGAACAAACCCAGACTTCCACTGTCAAGGATATCAATGTTCATCAAGCTCTCCATCCGTTCGTAAAACATCATAGAGGTATTTCGCTTATCACGAGGCTCCATATTAGAGAATTTGCAGGCAATGGCAAACATTGCATTTAGAGCGCAATGAAATACAGGAACTGGACAATGGGGACCACCGAGGCCCACATCTAGCAGAGATTTGTTTGCAACATTGGCATGGTTCGTCCATATACGTTCATAAGTAGCCATGGAGCTCTCCGTGTGTACCCACGGGTAGAATATGTGGATGTTGGTGAAGTATATCTCCAAGAGCCAGTCCGCTTGTTGCCTAGGTGGAAGCGAAAAGTCGTCCGAAAGCATCGTGGCCATCCTAGTTGAGAGTAAAGCACTGGCACAGAACTGATAAGGCGATGAGGTTGGACAGCTAGATACGGCGGGTTGATGCTGGGACTGGGTGGACTGGCGCCCAGGTGAGGTCTGAGCGCATTGATGAACTAAGGACACAAGAGATGACCGTCCATAGTACTGGTCGTGGCGGGCCTTGTCAGGTGTACTCGGCACAGCTGTCCCCATAGCACCGAGGGACATCGGTAGCGTGTTATTCGCAGGGGAAATATGCTGTACTCCCGAATCCTAACTAGGAGATGTATTTCCTGCCTAATGAGGCGAATCGGGATGTTGCTCAAGGATGGCTCCTAAACCTCTAATGTGGGCATATAGTGAATCGATGTATCTGTAATAGCCTTAGAAATCGAATTTTGGGTTTGCATAACGATCTCCAGGGCACTGACGCTCTTTCTGTCTGATATTTGGCCGTTTCCGCAATCACTAGATACTCGCACAGCTGACCTGTAACCCTCCTGAACCTATCACATTGAAGCAGTTATTAACCCAAACGTTCGCATCGCCAAGGGACTAGCCATGCTTGGAATATAATCAGAATTAAGACATTACGGAGTGCATGACCCGTATGGACGGGCATATTCTTCCTACAAAGATTAATATCTTGGTAGGAGCTCAGGGTCCTGCCTTCTTGTATCTCCCACCCCCTCAGAGCGACGCGCCCCGACGCGCATAGCTTCTGTCTTCCGAAATTGACGCCAGTCAAATCCACGCGCGCCTGATATTCCCACCATGTTCTGTTCGAATTATGGTTAGTAAGTTATGGTCTTACTATTGCCCACTTTATAGGTAAATCATGCGGAGTACACAACGTATAGTAATATCCTATTAGGCTATAGCCGGCGTATTCAAAGCAAACGCTGACATAGTAGAGACTTGAGGTAATGTCATATGAATCCCCCCCCCCCCCCTTTCTGACCTATGATCACGAAGGGTGAAGACGTCAACTTCGGAGACCAGATGGACAGAAACGGTTGGACACTGGCGTAGCACGTGGCTCGGGAAAGATTTAAGGCAGGGTTCAAATCCCTACGCGAGTAGAGTGCCAACTTCCAGACAAAGTTGGATATACACTACGCAAATAGGAAGCACGCGAGGTAGCGGCCAAACTTCTAGTGGAGAAGGGCGCTAATAGAAAGGACAAAAATGGCTGGTGTGCGCTGGAGGGGGCGATAAATCGCGGTACCAGGTGGAAGTCAACCTACGGAAGCTGACGTGAGCCTAGCTGATGTGAGCCTAGCTACGGTGAGCTAAGGACTGCTGACTCGGTTACGACCTTATCCACCACCGCCATGATCTTATCTTAAGACATATCCACCTAGACGATACCATAATTGGATCTAAAATGTGGTAGTATGTGGAGGAATCCTAGTATCTGCCCCACCAATAGGCTAGTAGTTAGGGGAACCCCCTTTCCAGGGTATCGCTAGCTATTTCAAACTCTAAGCCTCCATTGGTGTCAGGCTGTCAGCTTAGCAAGGCAAACTTGCTTTATATATACCGGGGTCATACTCCTCTCAATTGAGATCGCTGAGCTTATATTTGGTCCTTACTCACATACCTTTCGCTTGTGATACCGGGACGAGATGGGCGAATCAAAACCCTGGGTCGACGGCCCCTACACTCTAAATTAGCCCTGCCAGGAGCGGCGCTTCGGTACGACCACATAGACGCCACAAACCTAGAGGCTTTGTGCCTAACAATGATACAGGTAGGGAAGACGCTGACACCAGCTAGAGCGATGGCAGCGGAAATGTCGATTGTCCATAACTGCCTGATTCGCGGGATCAATTCGGTGTACAACCAGTGCATTAACGTCGCGACGCGAGGAACTGACACAGACAAGGTGGACTTCGCCAACTATGCGTTCCAGTGGACGGAGTGGGTTCATGAGCATCATAGCAGTGAGGATAACACGCTGCTCCCGCCAATGGGCGAGATCGCGAGGGTGCCGGGCTTGATGGACGTCAATACCAACGAGCACGCCGGGTTTCACGATACGATTACAGAATACTCGGACTATCTGAAGAAGGTCATACAGGGCAAAGAGGAGCTCCTTGGAGAGAAGGTGAAGAGCCTCATCGATTCCTTTATGCCGGAGCTCCACACCCACCTTGGGAACGAGATTGAGACACTGGTCAATTTGGAAAAATACGCCAAGGTGGACTGGGATGCTTGGTTCAAGAAGAAGGTGGGCAGAATGGTAAAGGAGTCTATGGGCCAATATGAATACCGGGTAAGTTTCCTTCGCTGTGAGCATATGGATGGGGAAGAGGTTTTTCTGACACCTAATGGCATGGGATTCAGATAAGCATTTTCCCGTTAAGCATCGTCTCACACGACAAGTCATTCGGAGATGGCGTGTGGCAGAGCTTCCCCCCGATTCCGTACATGTTCGCATTGGCCCTGCGCTGGATGTACATGTACAAAAATCAGCATTGGTGGAGGTTCGCTGGCTGTGATTTCAAGGGGTACCCCAAAGAGCTGCCATTTGCCTAGAGAGCGGGAAGCTGGGTTTGTCAGGCTTGTTTGGAGGATGTCTAGGTAGGGTTCTTGGCTAGGGCACCGAGCAATGGACATCAAAACTTTGGTCTAAAGATAGTCGGACCTAACAGAGGGCCTATACTAAGTAGCTCTCAACTATATTAGGAAAAACCAGGCAATAGGTCACAGAATATATTTGCATTGATAGTAATGGGTATATTTCACTCGGAAGCTAAAGATAGTTTTTTGGCTAGGAGGGAGTACGTCTCTAGCCTGTACATAGCGATTGTGAATGTTATAAGACGTCAAGTTGCTATAATAGCAACTCCTGGCATCCAGATTGCCAACTTCCAAACGACTGGTTGGACCATTGCATGGACGGACCATCACAACCCTCTAACATGAAAGAAGATGGAATTCATTCATTTCTCTCATATGAGATGAATCAGGGATTACGAAAGGACGCCTTCCTTGACACCGTTAGACGAGGGTTGGACAACTGAAGCACGACGCTTGTCATTGCCACCTTTGATCCGGCGGAAGCCAAACATTTGGCCAACTTCCCTCCAGAAGCCGACTGGGGGATCCATGAAGCTGGCTTCGTATGCATCGATAAGGGGCCGCTCCCAAACTAGGTCAGCCTCATGGGGTTTCACAAACTTGGTCCGCTTGATGATTTTCCAAATAAGGAAAAGGGGAGGGATCACGATTTGCATCGTGTAGTCGGACCAGAAAGTCGACACGTTCCATGGCTTGTACGCGGGATATCCATATAGGATGGTGACCAGAATCATCCAGATGAATGCGGCATACCCACAGAATGGTTGCAGACGGCCAAAGTAGGAGAAAGATCTCCGGTCAATGCCCTGTGCCTTGCATGCGCGATGGAAGAAGATGTAGGTCAGCGAGATCACGATATAGTTGATCAAGCCTATTCTTGAGGTTAGCATATTCTTTTACAAAAGATGGCGGATGGGACCCTTACCTCCAGCCGTGACCAGATTGGCAAACCAAGTAATGACGATGGAAGAACTGTTGGAGACTTGCAAAAATGACAGAATCGGGAAAACCATCACGATCCCAAAACAATAGATAGGCACACCCTTGCGCGTGGTATATGTGAGAATGCGCGGGGCTCTCCCTTCAAGTGCAAGGCCATACAAGGTACGAATAGCACAGTAGGTATACGTGTTACCAGCCGAGAAGATTGAAGTCAGCAGGAGGCTGAGGGGATAAGAAAAGGATTATTAGCGTCGATTACGGATCAATGTTCTGGAACGGGATGTTACTCACGCATTGACAATAGAAGGGAAGACTGCAATTCCCATATTTTGCATGCCAATGACATATGGCGAGGCGGCTGCAGAAGAGCCACTGGTCTCTCCCATGACTACTTTGACCAATGCGGGATCTCTGGCAGAGCAAACAATGCCCACAGCCAGAGCGCCACCAACGAAGAAGATTCCAAACCGGGCATAGACCGTCTTGAACGCGTTTTTGATGTAAATACGAGGGCGTCTGGCTTCCGCAGCGACCATGGAGATATACTCAGGTCCGACCACGGTAAAGCAAGCAGACCACAAAGCTCCCAAGAAACCTTCAAAACGGCCAAGAGCTCCGGTGTCGAGATATTCCATGAAGGCGCCAGGATTGTTCCAGTACCTAAACCCGTAAGCATCATGCTGCGGGTTTCCACCGACCATCGTGATGAATGTAAAAAAGAACAGTGAGAAGATCAGGATGACCTTGCCACCAGAGAGCCAAAATTCAGCTTCACCATAGGCTCGGACTGCCATAACATTCAGGAACCTGGATGCGGGAGAAAATTAGATCATTTGTATGGATACCCACGGAAGAGAGTGATCGCGATAGCAGTTGATCGTATGAGATACGGGAGTCTTAAAAGCGACAGAGGCATTGGAAATCCAACGAGAAGATTGCGGTGACATGTTGGGTGCGGGAGTTCTTACCCATAACACAAAATAATACCTGCGCAGATACCCGCAACGGGACCAGGCTCGGTGATCTTCTCACTCCAGAAGGAAAGAACCAGTGTAAAGGCTGAGATCTCGAATGGAATCAGGAGCGCCTCATAGAAGCTAGTACGTTTGTCAGATCAAGGATCACCTGGAGTCCACGTATGGAATGAAGGGCGACGGTCAAGGAAAAATAGAAAAAAAAAAAAAAGGAGGTAAAAACGAACAAGAAGTTCCAGCCGACCATGAAGCCGAGCGCATCATCAACCCATTTGCCAGCTAAGCGGATAAAACCTCCGCTAACGGGGAAAGCGGTGCTCATCTCAGCGAGACAGTTATTGATCATGGCCAGGAAGATGCTTTGGATGCTGTAAGCCAGGAACAAGCTGCCAGGGCCGCCGTGGTATAGGCCTGTGCCAATACTGACGAACAGAGCCGTTCCAATCGATCCACCAATGGCAATCAATTGGATCTGACGATTCCCAAGGTGGCGCTGGAGGTTGTCGGCATTGTCAGCCATTACACCCTCCTGGACGTCATGAGGACCCTCAGTCTTCAGGCCAAGGGTGTCTAAAACCCCGGTGATCGCCTCCTTGTCTTTATGGTTCGCAAAGGCCATGATGGTGTCAACAGACGATTCGGCCTAGGTTCTCTACCAACTTATATTGGATTGGGGGCAGGGCGCAGGTGAGAATGGATGTTAGTTAGTATCACCAACAACGTAGGGTAGGCTTGTCGTCGAATATTCTCAGTTGAAATCTTGTCGCATGGGTCTTGTTTGGGCAACTGGTCCGGGAGGTAGGCGGGGGATTGGATCAGCAGCAAAGGTCATAAGAGGGATTCGCAGTCGCGGTGGTCCGGATCCGAGATCAAAAATTCCACAAGGATGTCGCGAGGGTCTGGAGTAGTTGTATAGCAGCAGGGAAATGTCGCGTTGGAGAATGGGCTGGGGAACTCGAGGGGTAAATGGGCTTCGAGTTTCTAGGACGTGAGTTGCATGTGTCCGTGGAGCGCGAAATGATCAGGTCAAAGGGCACCTAACACGAAGCACTCCTCAAGAGCTTTGGGGGGAAGAGGGACTCGAAAGAGAGCAGAAAAGGGAAGGACAGTAGAAATTCTGGGACGATGATGCTGAACAGATAACCTGTACAAGGGTATCAGGAAGTCGAAGTTCCACTGTTAGATCAAAGCCCTATCTCTTGGAATAATTTCCGAGTCGTGCAAATATGTATCGAGGCAGATAGAATAAGAAATCTCCAACGCGCGGTTTGGCCGTGGGGGGAGACCAGGGTAGAAAAGAGGCGCGATCCTCTGAGGCCAGTGGCGCTGGGAGGCTAAGGGACTAAGGGAGCTCCACAAAAATGACCAAGAGTCTGACGGACTAAGAAAGTAAGATGTCCCCAAGAGGCTTAGTGCAGAGCACTAACCGAGAGAGGCGGCAAGTGACATTTCAGTATCTTATTTCAGGTGCCATACGCCATTTCGCAGTCCCGCGGGGAGCCCCACGCATCATGACGATACAGACAAGTCGTTAACTTACGGTAAGAACATGGGCCAAATGCGGGGTGTCCGTCTAGATGAGAATAATATGAAATGCTAATCACCCAAGGGACGACTGGCAGTGGAACAGGAGGAATTCATTATTCTCGTCCGGAACGGCCACTCTTGCGCAGGTCTGAGCCACGTTTTTTGCCCGATTTCGGTGTCTGTGATTGGGCGTGCCGGCTTGGCGCTGGGAACTGTTGGCCACGAACGGGCAGGACGGTTAACTAAACCGTCTTTGGACACGAGAGTCATCTGCCAGGCACGAGTCGTGTTACATCCTCGCGGTTTCTGCGGTTGGGACGCTTGGGACTCTTTCTTCTTGGGCCGTGCCGTGGATATTGGGGGTTCAATCGAAGAAAAGGACCATCTCCGGTCGATGGAAGCGACGTCAGGGGCGGATGGGGCTGAATGGGGCGGGCAAATCATGGCGCGCCCGTAACGCCTCTCGCGTCTCAGAGCGTCCATGAACCAGGAAATTGGAAAAGGATCATGATTGAATATGATTGCACGGCACAAGGAAGTACTACAGTGCACTGTAGCATGTATTATTATTATTATTATTATTATTATTATTGACCGCACGAGTTCGTCGGTTGCACGAGCTTGTCCAATTTCCCAAAAGGCCATCCCGCGACGTTCGAGCGGTCCACAAGCGGACCCGGCGGCGCCGAGTGGCTGACAAGACGGCCCGTGCTCAGCCTGGCCGAATGAGACCCATCCCTTCGCTGAACAAGGATGCTAGCCAGGAAGTCTGCGACGACTTATTGAGCAGGATGCGCCGCGTGGAGAGTCCAGGAGTACAACAATCCGAAGTGGTGGAAGATAAGGCCAACCCGCAATTTCAGCGTTACGTAATGATTTAAATGCTACCTAAGGCAGGAGAGGTGGGCAATTTTGGAACCTTAAACCTCAGGCTGCAAGCCCCCACGTGACCATCTTTGGAAGCTCTACTTTGACCAGACCTTTCCATTTCTACTTATCAATGGCATGGAGAAGCGGCAATAGTATAGCGACAGCCTTTAATTTGGGCAAACTCGCCGATCGGGATGGTATACTTATCCAGAGAGTGGTAATCATGACACAAGAAGAATAATGAGCTGAAAAAAAAAAATCAGCTGTAGATCCTGGATCTTCTTTCTCGGAGGCTGTGCAAAGACACAGTTCGGTGCAATAGGTAGAGGCCCCAATGGTTCCTCAAATAGATATTATGATATCAATCACGATCGAATGCATAAACCAATAGGCAAAGCATATCCCTAAAAGGGAAAACAATCCCAGCCCTTCGGAACAGATTGATTGAGCGAGGGACAAGCATGTGGTTAGACCCCCTGCTCCAGGCTCTTGATTTGGACAAGGGAGAGATCGATACAGTATGAGCCAAACAGGATGTACATTGACCAATTATCAGGCTTATCAGGCTTATCAGGCTTAGTGATTTATCGCATGATACTTTCTTAGGGCTCCCTAAATGAGGATCATTTCCGATCTGGACTTATCCCAGTCCGTTCCTGGGCTAAGCCCACAAACTGTTTCCCCTCATGATGGCAGGAAAAGAAGCTGTTTCCAATCGGCCGCGTCTTATGCACTTGGTTATCTCAACGTCAGTCACTGTCTGGTAAAAGCTTTCTATAGTATCACAGACTTCATCACAAATTTCGTCGACTTCTGTCAGGAAGTTTGAAGGTCTAAGTTCGGGTGAACGGTTATCCGGACAGCTCGTGTTATTCAAGGCCAGGAGCACTTGTTTCCCCCAGACTTTCCCATTCCACACTTAATAATCTTTAGCCACTACTGATACTACTTTGAACTTGTAGGTATCAGTTTTCCTTCTTGTTCTTCTCTCCGCATACATGGATATATATTCTCGTAATGTTGTCTATTCTTTTCATGCTCTCTATGGCAGATATAGGCCCCACACCGACCTCTGATTAGTACATGCTTGTAGGGAAGGAAGCCACCAACAAGTAGTACTGACAGAGAATTCTTTCAGCTCAATGAAGTGTCTTTCTCCATGCTATATCCACGCTCCGCCAAAAATCCCTCAAGTTCTCGATCCTCCTGAGCCAAATCAAGGCCGCTACTCTCGGGCAGTAGACAATATACCAAAATGCCAATGACCGCCACTCCACCAGCCAGATAGAATGTCGAACTACTTCCAGCAACTTCTTGCAAGGGTGTGAAACATTCCGTCCCAACCGCAGCGCCAGTCCGCCCAAAGGCGGTTGCAATGCCGTATCCCATACCTCGCATCGCGGTCGGAAACGCCTCAGAAGAGATCAGACCAATAGTCGCCCCGGGTCCCATATGGCCAAATGCCTGGAGAAGACCGTAGAGCACCACAAAAGCGGCAATATTCTTTGACAGTCTCGAGTAGGTACCGCCAATGATAAATCCCAGGAGCATATACCCTGCGAAGCCCATAATGCCGGTGTTGCGTCGACCAATAGCGTTCGTGAGCCAGGCTCCTACCATCACACCTGGCACGGGAAGAACGGCGAGGACTACCTGCCAGATGGCGGTTTTCCGGATGTCATTGTCCTTCACCAATGAAGCAATGATAGAGCTAGACATGATACTGTTCGGAAAATTGATAAAATCGTACAGAAAGAAAGCCAGGGACGTGGTGAAGATACGCCACCAATACCGACGGGCAAGAAGTAGATAAAGCCGAAAGGACCGTCGCCGATTGATGAAGTTGGAGTTATGAAATAGTGTCGAATCAACCATGAAAATACGCAAGACAATGATGACTACCGGTAAAACAGCGGCGATACCGTAGATCGCATGGAAGGTGATGGTGAGATTGTTGTTGCTAGCAACCAAACAGATCAGATAAACGATCTGCAGGATTGGGCTAGCTAAGGTAGCCATCAGTGTCGTAAAGGACACGAAAAGTGGCCCGCGATAAGCTCTCATGATCTGTGCAAGTTATCTGCCCCATGTTTATCATTAAGAGGGAAGGGGGGCGTTTACCTCGTCGGATTCCTCGAGACCGGCGGCTGCACTGGGTGGGTATTCACCGCCGACACCAAAGCCAGCAACTCCACGAACTACGACAAAATACCACAGCATGTTCTCAGAAGGACGCACTTGTAGAGCAAGTGTCGACAACAACGTAGCGATGGCAACTAAGCCTGAGGTGAAGAGCAGGCCTGATCGTCGAGAGAACATGTCGGAGGTATATCCCAGAACAACAACCCCCAGAATGGCACCGATGATCAAGGAGTTGCTAATCCGTGTTTTCATGTCAGAGGAGTAGCCACCAGCTCCGAGAAGCTCTTTGAAAATGACATTGGTCGGATTGGCAAGGCTGTTTTGGAAACCGTCGCTGAAGTTTGCGATGTACTATAGGTATCAATGAGCGAATGCAACATAGATCGGTTGATTTTGGATGAAAACAAACACAACTCAGGATGGTGACGTGACTCTGCCACTTTTTTGGGCAATAAGAGTTCACATTCCGATCAACAGCGTCCGATTCAGCATTGGTTTGAGAGGATTTCTCAACCGGAGCATTCCGTTCGGGATCATCAGCTCTTTGTACCTGTGGTAGCATGGTCGTGTTCACTTAGAATAAATTTGCAGTTGTCAATGGTGCAAGCCGAGGGGCTTAAAATTTCTCGACTCGGAAATAAGTAACGCCTCGCTCCAGAAGACTCTGATTTTGTTGTTCAGGCTAAGACTTTAGCTGGTCCACTTCATGTTGATAAGCAATAGTTGTGGGTAAAATGCTGTACGGCGCAGCTCCGACTGACCCACTGTGCCGGTCACAGCGATGCGGTCCGCGGAGATAAACATCAAATAAGTGGACATGAAATTCAACGAGGTTTCGCCGAAGAACGAGGCAGTAAATAAGCAAGTAGAAGCCAATTATTACACCGATTAGATAGAAGGAATAGAAAAGTTGAATGAAAGGTACTGGTCGGAACGAATCCTCCTGTAAAGGGGTAGTATTAATTGAATAGGACTGGCCAGATAACAACTAGGGCTCATCCACGAAGGCATCAGGCTAACAAGTTCCTACTATTGTCGCTCTCCCAAGTCAGCCCAGCCTGGTTGCTACAACAGCGCTGTTGATCCGTCCTTTTCATTGTCTATATCTCTTTGAGGAACCCTACTTCAATCAGCTTCTCGGTTGGCAGCCGGAGATTGGCCATTTTGTTCCTCGTGTTATCCCGTATCCACAAAAAGATATGTAGCAAGACTTTTCGGAAGCGCGCTGTGTTGTTTTTGATCTTTAGCTGCTCCTTCCCCATGATATAGAGCACTTTATGTGAATATGCAGCACCCAGATTAGCGAGCTCAGAGTCGAGGAAGGCACGGGTATATCTGTCACCCTCCGATCTTGAGCTACCACGAGCTCCAGATTCCTTTTCTCCACCCTCTTCGTCTGAAGCCACGCTGGCGCTTTTTGATAACAGGTACCTCCGGACTTGGTCGACAATTACGCTCGCCAAGTTTGGCGTGATGATCTCATCATTGTATCCATACCGAACTACCAGCCGGTAACAGTTGGGGATCGCCAATCGCGACACGGTAAATCGGTTCTCAACGGCGATTGAAGGCTGCTCCAGCGGACGAAGATGGAAGAACACAATGACCTCTGGCAAAGCGGTCAGCTTAAGCACAAACTGGCTGAATACTATTGGAGTCGTCTCCCCGGCTTTATCGAAGAAGATCCCAAGACCGCGAGTGACACTGACTGGAACTTCGCCGTATCGTTTGGACAGAGATAATTGGCCATCTGGACTGGATATGATGAAATGTGATGTAGGAAAACGGTCTTCGGCCTCGGCAAACCATTGTTGCTCTTTGCCGTATCGCCACAAAAGAAACAGCATGGCAAGGATTGCAGCGAGCGTGATAGTAAACCAGGCACCTTGGGGTACCTTGGTCAGCGCCGAGGAGAGGTATGTACCATCCAGGCAGGCCACGGTAAGCCACGGGAGGAAGACGATGTACGGGCTGATCCGCCAAACGAACATTGCCGCCAGAGAAACCATACAAGTGTCGAAAAATGTCACGAACATGACGCAAACACCGTACGCATTACCTAGTGACGTTGTCTGCAAGATATGAATAAGTTACGTGAAAGGAAGGAAACAAGAAAGAGGAGATGGATACCACCACGTCTTACATTGTTATAGATCGATGCGATTAAAATGGTTCCAATCATCAGCAGCCAATTGGCGATCGGAATAAAAAGCTGCCCGTGGAATATCCGGGAGGTGTGAATGACTTTGATCTGGGGGAAATAGGAGAGTTTCATCACTTGTGCAAGAAGCTGGCAGCTTTTTCAGAGCAGGTCTTTTTTCGGAGAAAGGGTTGTGGCTCTCTCACCTGGAAGGTTGCCGTAATGATGGCCTGCGAGGCAACAATAGCAGCCAAAATGGCAATGACCAAGGCTGGATACAGGGTCCCCGGTGGCACCGAGTTGAAAAAAGGATTCGAATACGCTTCTGGATGGACGCTGATATAGGCTGCCTGACCAACATATGCCAACACAAGGCACGGAAACGTGTAGCATAGCCAACTGATCTGGATTGCTCTTCGGCTAAAGGCGCCCAGGTCTGCGAAGAGGGCTTCCACACCCGTGAAGGCGAGCAAAATACCACCTAGCATCTTCCAACCGTCTGTCTTATTACGTATCATAAACTCGAACGCCAGGCCGGGATTGAAAGCCGCGAAGACCCCAGCGTCATACTTCGAGAGGTTGTATATTCCGAACGCCGCATTGAATCCGAGCCATATAATCACGATCGGTGAAAACGCAAAGGACAACTTGGTGATTCCCATCGGCTGAATACAGAACAGCGCAACGAGGATGGCATCTGTGACACCAATCACTGTGCTTTTGGATATACTTGGTTGCACAACCTCAATGCCTTGAACAGCTCCAAGAACGGACTGGGCTGGGGTGAGTAGGCCATCAGCCAGGACCATAGTGACTGCTAGGACACCAATCACTTTCAGCAACCCTCGTGCGAACTGACTGGACTCCAAGCGTTGGCGCATCCTCTGGCCGACGCGCTGCAGGTCACCGGATAAATAACGTCTCATCTGAATCAACGACGCCTCCCTCGGATCACGGTTGGTGATATTCATCTGTCATTTGGTCAGCTTTTGCGAGACAGAGATCGCGGGGGCAACTTGCATAGCGACTGAGGAGGGAATAGGTGCTGAAAGTGCCACCCTCGCCGTCGTTATCGGCTCGAAGAATTACAAGTACGTATTTGATAGTCACCATCATGAAAAGACTCCAAAGAATGATAGACAGGACTCCCAGCAGGTCTGCCCGGGAGGGAGGGGGAGGAAAATGTCGACGAGAAGACGTAGAGAGGACTGGTGCCGATATCCCCATAAATAACACCCACAGATTGATATGAAAGCCATAGAAGCATCTTTCCTTTGAATACCTGGTAATGGTCAGTAATTTCGTCCACTACAGTCCCTCATGGTCGCATATGGTTGCCTACCTGTCTTTGTTTGTAGTCGTCCGGATTTCGCAAGCCTGGGTCTTCGTCTGGTTGCTCAGCGGGCAAGATCCTGCTACTGATTCGCTCTGGTATTCTGGAATATGAGCGGATACTGTAAATACCATCATGAGTTTCCTCTTGGTGAGGTCGAGATATTGACTGTGACCTGGAGAAAGCCGGGCCTATGGTTGATCCATCATCGCCAGACGGTGACCGTCTCGGCCCAGCCCCCGGATGCACGGGGTCTGCAATCCTGACAGTCGTCATATTGTCATGAAAATCAACAAATGCTCGAACGTGATCTTGAGATTGGTGACGTGGAAAGATTGCTTCATGGTCGTCTCTTGCAAGCTTGAAGTGTGGTAACGCGGCTTATAACCGTAATTACAGTTAAGACTGCTGAGGGGCCTTATCAGAGTTTATCGCCTCCATCTTACGAAGTCAATGAGATAATGAATATCATGGCCCTCTGGCTACATTCACTTACCTGGCGAGACTGATGTCGAGTGGACTACCATTGAATAGTAGAAACGCCACACGAAGAACTGGCACAACCATGGGTAGCTTCGAACCAAAGACACAATGAGAATCAATAATTTTGAAACAACTAACCAAAATTCAAATCATCTCCTCGGTCATACAGTGAAAGATTACTCGAGAGACATTGCCTAAGCTATCGATGGAAACGAACCGAGAGACATTCAAAAGTTGAAGCGTATCTTGCTATATTTTTTCTCCGGTCGCTCTGACATTAAGGTTCTGAAACTGCCGCTTTACCACGTCATGAAGCATGCGAGATTATGTGCGCTTACCAACATAAGCTTCGCCGGCTGTTCTATGATTGGTCTAAGTAAATCCCTCATTCTTCCTCTACTATGGAAATCTGGCGAACGATACTCCGTAGTTATAGAGTACTGCTTACTTAGTCTGGTGGGAATGCGTTCTAGGCTTTGTCTGCGGGAGTGCCTGTACATCATGAAGCGCACGTGGCTGCGCTCAGGCAGTGTTCTAGTGACGGCTAGCTCTTAGGCACTCTAGTTTTTGCGACCCTTTGGGTCTTCAAGGTACGCAACATACAGTTTCCAGATTCAGTTTTTAAAAGTCGGGTAATCTAGGAAAGTATGGAAAACTATAGCTAGTAAGAGAGGCTAAAGCCTTGGAGACATTACATAGAGCAATACCAGCAAACCGTAGTTTTCTCACCAGGAAGTAATTACGTTCCAACTGAGTTTGCTGTATTCAGTACATATCGTCGTCTACGCAGCCCAGGCTTCTTGACTTCTATAGACTATCAATTTATTCTAATATTACCCAACGAAGGGACTTCCTTTTCGATTTACCCTTTTTTGCTGTGCGGGAAGGTTCGTGAGATGAGAGTGACAGTAAACGTAGCGCGAGAGGATTCTTACTCTGATTAGTTACTCCATCCTGCTACATCACGCGGTTCCTCACTAATTTAATACCATTTGTTCAAGTATTTGGTGTAGGACAAGCGATGTGTTGCCTGGCGCCAATATTAATTTTCAATTTTCTTGTACTTTGACAACAACCTTCTTAGAACCTGCCAAGCCAGACTTCTGATACTCAAAGGCTTCCAGGACGGCTTCAAATCCTCCATTTCCAATCTCGATGTAGGGGCCTGGAAAGAGCTTGCCCAACTCGAAAAGCTTGGTCAAAATAGGAATATATCTGGCCAGGGCTTCGTTGGTTTCTTTTGCGTAATCTCTTCCAATAATTCCAAGCTGAATACAATGCGATCTCCCACCTTCAAAATCCGTAATGCCACTCCTGTAGAGGGAATCAGTACGCTATTTGATAAAGTTGGTGTGGCGTTCGACTTACCAGTCATTGGTTGTAGCAAAGTACTTGGGAACCTCCGGAAGTTCCTTGAATAGTAGGCGTGCGAATTCTACGCCTCCAGCAGCGGCATCAAGAACATAGTGAAGGTTTGCCCTAGACTCGCCAATGACTTTGAGAGCCTCTGCAACTTGTTCTGCGGTGGATGTCTTGTAATCAAAAACCGCATCTGCGCCGGTTTCTTTTACAGTCTTGTCATATATGGTTAGTCGCACATCCCCATATTTCGTGAAAAGGTACACACCTGAAACGACTTTGTGCCACATGAAGCGATGACTTTATAGCCGAGAAGTTTGAAAAGTTGGGTACCGAAGCGCCCAACGGTACTGGCACCTCCAAGGACCACAGCCCATTCATCTTTTGGCACAGGGAGACTGTCGAGATCGGGAAGAGGAATCTTACAGCCATTGAAAATTCCCAAAGCAGCAGTCTATATGGCTGGTAGTAAGTGTTATAATCGGGTTTAATAAGTTCTCTAGACTTACCTCGATACCAACTCCTATGGCTGCTGCTTCGGCAAGGCTGAGATTCTTAGGTTTCGGGATAGTCAAAGCGGCGTCCATTATGAACTACGTAAAAGATAAGTAGGTTTCGAAGCACAGCGACTATGGGAAGAGGAGCTCACAAATTCCTGGCAAGTGGAATATCCCTTCGTGCCCAAGCGGGTGCATCCGCAGACTTCGTCACCAACTTTGAATATTGACGCTGCCTGTTCTCCGACCTTGACGACAATTCCAGCAGCGTCACAGCCTGGAACAAAAGGCCAGCTCTCGACGAGAATTCCCATGTTAATCATCATATGATCACTGAGAGGGCGGAAAGGTTAGCTGGGAGCATGAAAAGGCTGCCGGTGGAATTTTCTGCAAAAAGGGAAGACCATACACTGGATTAACTGCGGTGTAGAGTGATCTGATTAGGATCTGATTTGTTGACGGCTCAGGAAGCTCTAAATCGTCAGTGATCCGAAGAGGAGCTTTCTCGTATTCCGCAATAATGCCTTTCATATTGGAGAAAACGTTGTCAAGTCGTAAATGAAGGGACTCGAGAGGGATATTTAGACCACGTTAAACTAGTCAAGATGACAAGAGACAAGACTGATGCTTTAAATATTCAACCTTTGTGGTCAAAGCTTCCTCTGTCTAATCTAGGGTCTACCTGACACGTCATCAGTCACCTCAGCCATGGATTTGATCCTCTTTGTGAATTTCGTCGATTGAGTTTGGGAGGGGGAATACGGGACAGCAATCAAATTATACTCTCGGCTGTGATTCATTCAGCTTATTAAGCCTATTACTGGAGTCTGTGGCGTAATCGACCTCGTATTTCAAGGACTGCTGGGGATTTCTACGACCCTAATTAATCTTTCCAAGCTATCTTTTACGTTCTCACTCCTTTCCTGGTCTATACATTGTTGTAAATTGAAAATTTTGAGTGCAAATAAACCTGTCCACGTAAGGATCACAGGTTCAAATATCAAGCATAGTCAAAGACGAGCTTGTCGCCCGACTTTTGTGTCGTCCTTCGGCCACAAGAAGACAGCCTCCGTGCACTCTTCCAAGCGTTCTTAAGGCACTTGGTCGTCGCATTCTCTATCCACACAATGCGTGTCTCTTCTGCCATCTGGGAGACGTCCATTATGAGCATGTCGATAGGGTAGTCTAAACGTTAGAACTAGAAGACTTGAGGACAAAGTGAAAATTAACCACTTGTTTCTAAAAACGAAGGGACGAGCGGTTAGTAATATATTTACTATCATGAAATCTTTCGTAGTAGAATGAAAGTCACATTTGCATATGCGTGCTTAAATTTAGCGGAGCTTTCGCATTTTACTTGCACCGGAAACTTTGGATACATTGAAATGATGATCTGAGTAATTGTCTATCACCTCTATTGCTTGTCGTACTACCGTACCCCCTAGAGGTGATATTGACGCGGGCTGTCAACCGAAATTCCCATCCGTTGCCACATGCCCTCCACATTCATATCTTCTTGGCCACTGAGCGATTTGTTAGTGTAAATTCAAAATTTGTTGCAAATAGGTGGCTTACTCATTCTTCTCGTTGATCCAAGGCTCGGTTTGGCCCTCTGCGATGTTTGGATTGCGGAATATCATGTTGTATTTCTTTTTTCGAGCCATTCGCGTTAGCTTCAGTGCGTCTCTTTGTTTCGCGGGTAGTCGATTCAACTCACCATACCCAGGGTAATGTGGATAGCACCAGGTCCCTTGATAAATGTCTCTTCTGGATTCTGGCCCTCTATCAATGACTGAATATTCTTTGCGACCACGGCAGCTTGGGCTGCGCCGGGCCGTGCTGCCTTTTGTGCTCCGGTATCGGCAATGTCCCCAACTGCGAACATGTTTGAGAATTTATCGTCAAGGAATTGCATTGTTGGCCGAACTCGAATGAATCCATTATCCGGGTTGATCACAGAGAGACCGTCGGCAGTCGAGGGCTCCAAATCCGCAACCAGCTGGTTGTTAGGGGTTTGACCCGTTGCCAGAATCACAAACTCGGTTGATTCCGTCGTGCCGTTTGTCAGCTGCACGTCGAAGGTACTTTCGTCATTGGGGAAACCGCCTGGGGGGATTTTCACGCGAGATCCAGTGATGAGTCGGATTCCCAATTCGTCAAATCGCTTCTGAATAATTTCATGTAGTCCATGGTGGAAGTTCGGCATGACACGAGGCCGCGACTGGATAACTGTCACTTCCTTGTCTGGGTAGTACTCTTTGAGGTCAGTGGCCATTTGTACGCCGACTGCGCCACCTCCAACAATAAGAATCGATCGTGATCGCTTGACGTCGGCTTGGTGGTTTTGCAAATACTTGACAGATGATGGCTTGTCGTCGTGCTCCATGGCAGCGGGTTTTGAGAGCTGGGTTCCAGTTGCAACGACTACATAATCGAATGGAATCTGCTTTGAGCCTTGCCATTCACGATCAAGTTCGATGTGCTCGGGTCGGATGGATGTGACACGCGCTTGCACCACGGCATGAGCAGCTGGGTTCGTTGCGTTTGAGAAGAGTCCACTGTATGGAATGAATGCTTTGTGTTCTTGGCCAGGAACAATGGCGAACCGAGGCTATAGACATTGGTCAGCGAATATGGTTCTTTTGTCATGCGATGATTAGGTCTTGACTGCTCACAAATGTGAAGAGATGATGGAAGTGGCTGTGAGGCTCTGTCAGGAGGATCTGTTCGAAGTGATCAGTACTGAGAGGTTTCTGTGAGTGAGACCAAGAAATGAAGTCTGTCGGATTTACCCTGTGCGTTGGTGGAATGATCTTTGCGAGCTCCTGAGCCGTTGACTGTGTGAACTGTTAGCTTGGCAGTCATACATGCAATGGTCTGTTCATCAACTCACCCGTCCCACGAAGGAGCCGCCCACGACGATGATATTCCGAAGCGAAGCACCTGGCATGGTTGATACGATTGCGATAGAATGAGATTAGGAGGAAATCAAGAAGAACAACAATTCTGTGGGGGACTGGTTGCTCTTTATAAACAACAGCGTTCGGCAACCCATCCGGAGCTGTTTCTTGCATTTTAGTGTTTTTTAGGTTGACCAGTTTGGGGCTTATCTGATTAACTCCGAAGGACGTTTCCAGTTCGAGGCAAATGCCGAGTTCCCGGACAAGTTTACATCCGCCGCGGTTGTCTCTGCGAGCCGATGGCGCCACCAACAAACGGCTCCTCAAAAGGGTTGCGCATGGCTGTGAGGAATCTGGGATCTCCTCAGTTTTTGCTATGATCTTCGACGGTGGCGTATTCCCGTAGATCCGACTCTTCTCGCCGCTCTTCTAATGGTGGTACTCGAAGATCTAGGGATTTGGATCTTCTATTGGACTCAGCTTTACAGTATTCGGGGGGATTTTAATGACCCCACCCAGAACTGGCAAGGGGCCACACGATACCCCAGAAATTCGTTATCAATAATACTTCAGTGCCGCAGGACTACAGATCCATGACCTTGTTTCGGCATGTGGTGGGGGATCGCGAAGTGGTCGGGCCCTGAATGGAAGATCGGCCGGTCGGATCCCACTGTTCGCCTTCCGTGGTGGGGGAGAACATCGGACTTTTCAAGGTGCTTCTCCCTACAACCCATTGTATCTCCTGGGTAGGTACAGATCCTGGACGTTGATTGTCAGGATGAATGAGAGAAACCCAGTTGTATGTTGTTCCATGGAAATCGAAGTGGAAGGTGGTGATCGATTGGAGTTCTGGCCCCTTTTGAGGGCTTTCAATGGGCATAGAAGGATGGAATGATATACTGTCCATGAATAATTTAATTTAACTAAGCAAATCCAAAATTACCACGATCTCTGGCCTCTAAAATTGTGCATTCTCAGCCCTCACACCTATCCACCTACAAGGCAAGGTATCCAGGAATCATTAGCGCTACATCTGAACTAAGAGCCTGGATATCCATACTCGTCCTGGGATCCCTATTATTGTCCCCAAGAATAATATATATCCACAGGCTAGGAGGTGGACAGTGCAGAAATGACGTCATAACATGGGCGCGTGGAATGTCTTGAACACAATTCTAAAGGCCGCTCTGGTATAGCCGCTGATAGACGCGATTTAGGTGTCTTCAGTCTGACAAACTACAGAATAACTACTTTGACCTAAGGGAAGCATCCCTTCCAACCAGCCCCAACGGATACCGAAACCCTCAACTCGCTTCGCGACGTGGCAAAGGATCGGCTTGGCAGAGTTTCCCCGCCCCCAAAGGCATAAAGCCGAAGAAACCGAGATGACCCACTCGCGGTCGCTCACCAGGTCTGTATAACCGAGTAAGCAGTAAGCCCAGCACAAGAAGCCTGCTCCGCCGTTCTATTTCCAGAATTCGATCGACTAGCCTCTGTGGAAGCAGCCTATATTCCAAGCGATAATGGCCACCTCCAACCCCGATCGGGCGCGCACACGCGCAAAGAAGGCATGCTTGGCCTGTAACGCGCGCCGCGTGCGATGCAACGTGCTGGAGATGCAGCCATGCCGAAATTGTGTCGCATGGAACCTCTCATGTGAACTGGGAGTATCGCGCCGAGGAAAGTAAGTCTTACTTGAGATCGCCAGCCCGATGTTTGACCAAGTACCAACACCTACCACCAGGTATCCGCGTCGGAAGAAAAAGGCAGTCTCCCAGACTGAGTCTCTCGAGGTGCATGGCATACCGACTTCTGCACCGGACAGCCGACTTCTGCAGCAGGATCCCCTGCCAGACCGGGGCTCTCACTATGCCCCGTCATCCCATCCTACAAGGGGCGGTGATGCTATTCACAAGACCGTATTTCTGGGCGAGTCGAGTCCCCTGACCTGCATGGTTGACGAGGGCCGCCGATCCCCAGACAAAGGATACGCTTGTGGGATCCAGAAAGGGCGCCTGCACTACTCTATCTCCGAACTGCATGCATCTGCAGAGACCAGCGAAGAGACCTTCGGTCAACGCCGTAAATCCCTTCAAGAGCGTCTTGTTCGCGAAAGCGCCTTGATCTTCCCGTCGCCAGCCATCTGTGAGGTCCTCCTCCAGGCCTACTTTGAATGGTTCCATCCGCTGTTTCCTATTCTGGACCGCTCCCGAGTTCAGAGTGATTATCAGGAGGAAACAATCTCTCCGCTGCTTTTGCAGGCCATGCTTTTTATTGGAGTGAGTCTATGCTCAGACTCTGCTCTCAAACCCACGGGATTCAGCAACAGGTATAAAGCCAAGGGCTTATTCTACCAGCGTGCAAAGGAGATATATGATGTTGGATGGGAAACCGACACAATGATCAAATTGCAGTCAATATTTTTGTTGAGTTTCTGGCGTGGAGGGCCTACGGAGGAACGAGATGTGCGATACTGGCTTGGCGCTGCCACTGATCTGGCCCAGAAAAAGGGCATGCATGTGATGTAGGGGTTTCCAGTTCAGATCGTCTACTACAGAGCTGAGGGCTGACAATCCAGGTCCAAATTAACATTCTTGGGTCCTCGCGACCAAAAGGTCTGGAAGAGGATCTGGTGGGCTTTATACGTTTGTTTTCCCGCCAACTATTCCTCCTTGATAACCAAGCTCACAAAACAATAGGTTCGTGATCAACAAACATCAGCAGCTTTAGGCTTACCATCTCGAATCCGCGACGAGGATTGCGAAGTCGCGGAACTTGAAGAGTTTGATTTTGAGGAGGACGATTGCACTGATCCCTCTGATATCTTCCGAAAACCACCTACAGCACACGTTAATTACGTGATTCAGATGGTCAAGCTTGCCAAATTGTGTAAGAGTCATTTTCTTCATGAAATGTTCAAAGGACGTGACTGAAAACCGAATGACACAGTACGCGAGGTTGTTTCCAGCCAGTACTTACCTGGAAAATCGAAGCTGGAAAATCCATTACGTCCCGTCCTTCACCAGCGTCTCCTAGACTGGGAGTCGAGCCTGCCATCAGAGATGCAGTTTCAACCAGCCATGACCCGCGAAGTGATGTTTCTAGTGGGAATGCTTCATATGACTTATGCGTATGTTACATCCATCTTTCCTCTCGTGTTAATTTGGAACTTTGGCGACTAATTCAGGCAGTAATTTATATGTATTGCTTTATCGACCGATCTTCTTGCAGCCACCAAGTCAATCTACCAGCAAAGAAGGAAACATAGCGCTGGAGGCCGCGACTAAGAGTACCCGGATCTTAGAGGATATGCTCTCACACAATCTGGTACAACATGGATCCGTCCACTTGTGAGTTCTCAGCACATAATCGACGGCACGGAAATTTCCATCTAACAACGCAATAGAATTACTCATACCTTTTCTGCTTTGTGCATTCATACTATTCATTTTGGACGAGTTGCCAGCACCGCCAAGAAGCTTGCAGAGCATCGGGCCAAACTTTGTCTGCTTGGCCTGAAGGAGCTGCAAAAGTCATGGGATCTGGAGAATTGGGTACTCGATCTCTTCTTCCATTGCTTGGATGACCGCACGGCTGAAAATCTCCGACTGGCCGACAATGGACTGTCCGAATCTGCGCTTTCCACCCAGCTGACAAAGGGAACACATATGCCCGACTCCTCGTCCCTACATACCCCATGCAGTCCTACAAGCCGGCCTCTTTCTCCAACGTCCGCCGACAGCATTCTACCAATTGTGCAAAACACGGGCCCATTGAACCAACTTGAAGATGCATCAGTCAATATGGATTGGTATGAATTGTTTAATATTGAAGGTGATGATCTTTCTGGGCTGGCCGGCTCGTTGACGAACCCTGACTACCTGAATCCGCAAAATCTGGAATTCTTGTATCGATTTCTATAGTTTCATATATTCACTCATAAATGACCATACCGAATGGAACTTGAACTCTTCAGGACACTTATATCATAGTTAATGCATTCAAATCTATACAATAGAAGGCTTGACATCCGACGGTTTGAGGGCATGATATTCTAAGGATCTATTCCGCCAACCCCAACTCAGCGAGGATTGCCTCATTATGTTCCCCAACTTTTGGAACCGAACCCATTTGAGCCGCATAGCCACCTTGTTTGGCAGACTTTGTGGAGCCTGGTGGAAGGAGCGCCGGTACAGTACCAACAGGAGTCTGAATATCGACCCACCGATCGCGAGCTTGAAGCTGTGCGTGTTTCCAGACTCCTTGCATGTCGTTCAAGTTCGCGTTTGCGATTGAGGCCGCCTCCAAGCGCGCAATAGTCTCTGAGGCCGTCAGCTGAGAGAAGACATCGCAAATGATGGCCTTCAATGCGTCCCGATTCTTAGTCCGCAAGGTGTTGCTCGAAAATCGAGGGTCCGAGGCTAAATCAGGTTGTTGGAGGACATCAGAGCAGAACTTGACCCACTCTCTCTCGTTTTGAATTCCCAACATGACCTGGCCATCGCTGGCTTCAAACGGACCGTACGGATAGATTGAGGCATGGGAGGCTCCTGATGGCACAGGACCAGGGGCGCCACCAAAGGCGTAGTACATTGGGAAATTCATCCACTCGACCATGCTTTCCAGCATCGATATGTCGATACGACAGCCTTGGCCATCCTTTCCCCGCTGCAAGAGCGCCGAAAGAATATTGGTGTATGCATACATGCCAGCAGCAATGTCTGCGATGGAGATGGCCACCTTTACAGGCTCCTTGCCGGTGCCAGTAACGGACAGCAGTCCTGCTTCGCTTTGAATGAGAAGATCATATGCCTTCTTGTCGCGATACGGGCCATCCTGACCATATCCAGAGATATCACAAACAATCAAAGAAGGATGCTTCTCCTTCAGCGCATCATGGGATAAACCCAAGCGTGCACTGGCGCCTGGGGCCAAGTTCTGGACAAGTACATCCGCTCGCTCCAAGAGCTTCATCAAGACGGCATGGTCTTCCTTCTGTTTCAGGTCAAGTGCCAAGCTCTCTTTTGAACGGTTGGTCCAGACAAAATGCGAAGACATTCCATTGACACGATCATCGTATTGACGAGCAAAGTCTCCCACGCCCGGTCGTTCGACTTTGATAACGCGAGCTCCAAGATCAGCCAATTGCCGAGTACAAAACGGGGCGGCAATAGCTTGTTCCAAGCTCACAACAGTGATACCGGCTAGCGGAGGAGCACGATGACCATTTGAAACTGCACTTGAATAGAATCGAGGCGTAATTAAGTTTGATGTGCCACGGGGCATACGCAACGTGCGCAGCCCCTGGATAGGTTGAATCAACACTCTCATCATTGAACACCTGGAATGAGTTTCATGCAAAATGGAGCACCTTGTGAGTAGATTTTAATGTTCACCACTCTCTCTATATTTCATCCTGCAAGGTCCTCGGCTGAATCAATTCGGGAGCTTCGGCACCCTTACCCCTTCGCCGAAAGGCAGCGGGGAAGTCGGCTAATCGGTTATATGGAGTTTAAAGTGGGGACCTCGGACGAGCGCATAGCACATATATTAATTCGCCGTGCAGACAACTGAAGCAAATATAGCATTCGAATTGGAAATCATGTCTAGGCCTCAGTGGCAACGTTTGGTTCGGTCGAGATGGGCAGTTCCATCTGTCAAGACGTCTCTGGGCGCCTCGAATCGCCTGCCAACGGCGTGCGCCGCGTTTTCGACGTCGGCACGACGCGAACTGATGGAAATGACGGGCTTCACAGAAGAGCAACTCACAGTTCGAGAAGCAATTTCGCAAATTTGTTCTAAATTCCCCAATACGTACTGGCAAGAGCGTGACCAGCAGGAGAAAGACCCTAAGGAATTCCACGCTGCTTTGGCCAAGGACGGATGGCTGGGCATTGCTCTTCCCGAGTCTCTCGGAGGTGCCGGTCTAGGTACTCGACGATGCCGGTAAATGATGAATGAATCTGATCGCTAATACTTGTGATAGGAATCTCTGAGGCCACAATGATGATGCAGACCATCACACAATCTGGCGCCGGAATGGCTGGTGCGCAGGCGATCCACGCCAATGTATATGCCACCCAGCCACTGGCAAAATTCGGTACAAAGGAACAGCTCGAAACAACAATCCCCAACATCATCAACGGCACCTGGCGAACATGCTTTGGCGTCACAGAACCCAACACGGGACTTGAAACTCTCAAACTCAAGACTCTTGCAACAAAAACTGAAGATGGCTACTCAGTCTCCGGCCAAAAGATCTGGATCACCTGCGCGCAAGTGGCTTCCAAAATGATTCTCCTAGCACGCACGACGCCGCTAGAGGAAGTTCAAAAGTCAAGCGAGGGATTGTCACTTTTCTGTATCGATCTTGACCGCAATCAACCGGGTTTAGACATGCGCAAAATCAAGAAAATGGGTGGCCGTGCAGTTGACGCTAATGAAGTCTTCTTCGACAACTACAAGATCCCCGCCAATACCTTGATCGGCAAGGAGAACCAAGGATTCAAGATCATCTTGCACGGTATGAATGCCGAACGTTGTTTACTTGCAGGTGAAGCCCTGGGTCTTGGCTATGCCGCGCTCGAGAAGGCAGCTCAATATGCCAAAGAACGAGTGGTGTTTGGCCGGCCGATTGGACAGAACCAAGGAGTCTCGCACCCGCTGGCGGATGCCTATATGAAGCTTGAGGCAGCAAAACACGCGACGTACCATGCAACTCGCCTTTATGATGCCAATGATGGCTCGGTCCCATTCCACGCAATCGGCGTGGCCTGCAATAGCGCCAAGTATCTCGCTGCCGAAGCCGCATTTACTGCTTGCGAGCGCGCCGTGCTAGCTCACGGAGGCATGGGCTATGCTATGGAATATGATGTGGAACGCTACTTGCGTGAATGTCTGGTTCCCCGAATTGCCCCCGTGAGCCGTGAAATGATCTTGAATTACGTTAGTGAGAAGGTTCTTGACTTGCCTCGGAGCTATTAGGCCGGGAGATGTGCTGGTGGTGAACTCGGTATGAGTTGATTGTGACAAGACATGGAAGCATGTACAATAGACGTGGTCGCGATATATATCGTTTGGGGAAATAGAAACTGAATCCAGAGCGTACTCATTTCATCCCCTACCAAATTTATTTCCAGGGACTCGCTCTAGGTTTCCGGGTCTGGCGGTATTTACAGACTCATGATCTGCACTCGAACGAGGATGGATGTTTATGCATTCTGTATGGGAGAAGTTCGTCGACGGAGCAGGTATGCGGTCATTGACCGGATACCTATTCTCTACCACAGAAAGCCTAGCAGAATCTTGAAAGTGATTAACTCTGACTAGCATAACACTAATCTCAAACTGCGGTCATATTCTTGGTCGTTTAACAGCTCTGTCAACAACGCTTTCAACAAGTCTTTCTGTATAGCTTTCTTTGACGATGATAATAACTGACCTCTACTCGGTCACATGGGCAGATCATCAAACTAGGAAGGAAAGAGCACCCAAGTTAGACGTTGTACGGATCAAACAATATAGCCTCACTCGCAATCATCCCATGTATTGCTACGTTCTCCATTCAACATGGACGGAGTCTTCCGCCACAGGGGGATTCTGCTTGCCCAGAAATAATTCACCGAATCTTCAACATGGCTTCGTCGGTCTACTCCGTCCCTTCAACATGGACAGTAGCTGACTTGCCCTCTGTATCCCTGGCTTGCTCCTTCATGTCCGTGACAGCAATCTCACCAACATCAACTGTGTCGTCGCCGTCGAAGTACTTGGCGATTTCCTCCATGGGAGTGTAACGGGTCTCGATCAGGAAGGTATAGATAACAAACACCTCCACCCCGAGGAAGACACAGTAGACAATGTAATACTTCCAACCAATTGCATCGAGAGCAATTGCATTAATGTACTGATTGAAGAAGAGTGCCGCTGTGACACAAAAATTCAGCCAGGTAAATCCCTTAGCGCGAAGGCCGTAGGGAAGAATTTCGGTGCTGTAGGTTGCAATCAGGCCAGATCTAAGAAGTATCTCAGAGTCAGCACTTGCTACTTATGGCATAAAAGACAAAAAAAGAAGTTCTCCAAGCTTTGGAGAGGCTCAGTAAGCCACGGAACTTACTTGACATCGTAGAATACTCCGTACAAAATCGTCAGGACCACAAAAATGTATCCAAGCGCCTGGTTCGCGGCGATTGCATACCGTGCTGAAACGATGGTCCATGCATTGAAAACAATAAAAGTTCCAACCGTGGAGACCATGTAAATTGGTCGTCTTCCCAACTTATCGATGAAGAAGGATAGTGTGACGTTCATGACCAAGGCTTCCGTCTTGATACCTGCGTTGATTCCGAGTTGCGTAGAGGCCTTGGTGATACCAACACTGTCCATAACCTGCTTCAAATAGTAGCTGATCAAGCCGTTACCACTCTATTGACTGAAGAGACCCAGTGCAGTGATCAGGCCGATGCGCTCCCGGTTGCCTTTGGTCTTCAAGAAATCAACCCAGCGAGTTTGGTCAATCTCCTTATCCAGATCAATGGCAGCTTTGATCTCTGCATACTCTAGTTGCACAAATGCGTCATCTTGGTCCCCCTCGCCATGGTATTTGACCAGGACGTGCATAGCTTCATCGTGTCTCCCTTTGCTCATTAGCCAACGAGGGCTTTCTGGCATCACCCAAATACCACACACAATAACGACGGTGCAAATGCCCTGTAATAGGCTTGGGAGGCGCCATGACCAGTCGCTCTAATGTGAAAAAAAATGTTATTAGAGAACAGACTGCCTGATTTGCAGTGGGATCCACGGTGACCGTTTAGAATAATACATACCTGAATCTTTAATGTACCCAATGTTACCCAGCTAGCAATGAAGGCCCCAGAGTGATAAGAAGCAGCACTAAGCGTGACAAGAATGGCACGGTCTTGTGGATGTGCGATTTCTGCGATCAAGAGTGGGGCACTCCCGAGAACGATACAGTCACCGAATCCAATAAGGAGACGGGCAGCGATGAACATGCCAAAGCCAGTGGCGCCAGACTGCAGACCCACTGCAAGCAGCATGATAAGGCATCCAACAAAACATCCGAGCCTACGGCCCCAGGTATCGATCATGTAAGGCACAACGAACAAACCGAGCAATGAGCCAAGACTCATAGAGGCATTAAAGAGGCCGAGAAGCGAGCCGTGAGGGTGATTGAAGTAATCTTCCCAGTAGGAAAGGGTTTGGAGACCGTTCATCATGGAGCCATCGAAACCGTTCGCTGTGTTAGTCATGATGAGGACGACGATGTAGATATACAGGGTACGCATATTCTTTCTCTTCCACCAGGGTACGCGCTGGAATTCCTGGTGAGCGAACAAGAAATGTCCCTTTGTGGGCTTGGCTGGCATGACTCTTTGGTCTGCCTTTGGGGGCCCGAATCGTAACGCCATGATGGCGCAGTTGAACTAGAAGCAAGATGTAGACAAGCAAGAATATAGCTCTAGCAAGTTGAAGAATCCAATGACTGCGGTCAGGGATGAGAGAAGCTTTTACTTAGGAAATGGGACCCTTTATGAATGGTGAAACAGTCATGACCTTGAAAAGCCTATCTCCCCGTACAGATGTGTCCTGTGACTCTCGGCTGTATTATTGTCCCCAACCGGGCTTGTCACAACATGTTGTCCCCCATTGGCTGTTGAAAAAAGATAGACTTCGGCATGTTATATTTGCCCGTTCTGCATTTTACCGAAATGTGGGGTTCCCGACTCGTCGTATTCTTGAAGTGCGATGTCTTACGCACGTTATCCTCCATAGAGGCCATGTTCGAGACCCTATGATGGGCCAGTAGTAAGAACTTGCGGGGGCGGGTATACTACGACTATGCCTTATTTGGCAAAGGCATGATTAACTCATCGTTAGCTCACCGGAGGCTGAGATTAACCCTGACAAGGCCGGCTAGTGGATGGCCCAGCATTTGCCGCTTTGAGGACTTGTGATTAAGGCATTGAATTCCTTTAATTATCTGACTTCCTCGATCCAGAATGATTTCGCCAAAGACAAAGGTTCAATTTTGAGCGCTTAACTAGTTGAGCTTGATACGAAAGCCTCACGTATGTGTAGTCGTGAGCATAGGGTTTACAGCTCATCGGGTGACCGGGTGGGAAATGACCCAGCCACCCGGTGGGTTTTATGGTGATCCTTCAAATCCTCCAGGAACCCACTGCACGGGTGGCCGGGTTATGTCCCACCCGGTCACCCGGTTTATGGAAAACCCGCGAGTATATCCGTCCAAAATCCAGGCACAGTATGAAGCAATATTCTTCAAACTTTGTGAGGAACCGAGAAATCATTCATGCAGGTAGAGAAAATGTCCAGAATTTGCCCGCGAAATTGTTGACAACCTAAGCGATCGCGCCCCCTCCAAACTGCCAAGCGAAGCCATCCATGTAATTATTGACTGCTGGATGTACTATTCCTTTCGGAGCTAATGTGGGGGAGAGCTTCCTCCTGGACCCTTGCCATCAATTTAGCCTAGATAGCGTACTGAGCACCTATGCTTGGCGGCCTAGTAATAGCCTAATTTGCCCCCTCATCCATCTGTGTGCGCTCAACAGAAGAATGTACGGAGCTGAGTGTAGATTTTCTTTTTTTTTCTTTGCCATAGGAATGATTAGGCGTGAATTTTCCCCATTGACGAGTTGTGATGGAGATGATTTTAGTATGATTAGGGGGCGAATTGGCAGGTCCCTTAGGTGTGTGAGTTTGGGCTGTCACTATTCTCCGCCCAAAAGGATTCCTGTGCCGTCGGTTTGGACCTCCATCAGAATGTCCCCAGATGCGCAGTTCGTGGCCATATTCTGATTTCGATTTCTAGCCTGGACAGGCCGACTCCCAATATTCGAGCGAGGGTAAAGCCGCTATCTAGGCAGCGATTTTACTGAATGATGGGTCGTCTTTCCTCATCACATCATCGTCACTTTACAACGCAGCTCAACTTCGGATGGGTGGAGAACCAAATTTGAAATCCTCAGGTACACTCGCGTATTGCCCAGCGCCCCCCGGACTCGCCCTAATCTTCCGGAAGCTGCCTAAACTTCAATGAAACCCCTCTCATGCAATGCTGGACGATATTTAAATGTTTTACCCGAAGCTGGGGAAATAGATCCTGCGAGCGTTCCAATTTCACTTTTCTCTGCCTTTCCTGCTTCCTCGTCACGCGAGCCAGCCATGTCAAATACAATCAACCCAATTATACCAGGCTTCGCGCCAGATCCATCTGTGGTCAAGGTTGGCGACTGGTTTTATCTCATCAACTCCAGTTTCCACGTTTTTCCTGGACTTCCTATCTACGCCTCTCGAGATCTGGTATCATGGCAGCAGATCGGTAAGTCACCAGTCGCGTAGTGGATGGGAACGCAATTCAAGCTTCCGCTAAAATGTGAGCACACAGGAAATGCAATCAACCGTCAGTCCCAGCTCAGTCTTGCAAAGTCGCAGGCAAATCTCTACTTGGTGGACGATGGCAAGTTTATGGTCGGGAGTGGAGGCCTGTACGCGCCGACGATCCGTCACCACCAAGGCACATTCTATGTCGTCTGTACCAATGTCATCCGGTCGCCGGGAAAGAATAGAGATGCGACGGAGAATTTCATAGTCTCGACCGATGATATCTGGTCAGGCATATGGAGCGACCCGATCTCCTTTGAGTTTGATGGAATCGACCCGAGTCTTTTGTTCGATGATGATGGAAAAGTCTACCTGCAAGGGTCGGGTGGAGTAGGGCCAAGCACCACGATCAACCTCTTCGAACTTGACCTGAAGACCGGTGCAAAATTATCGGAGGAGAAAGTGATCTGGCGCGGTACCGGTGACATTTATCCGGAGGGACCACACCTGTATAAGCACAACGGCTGGTACTACTTGCTCATTGCGGAGGGCGGTACCCATGGCGGGCATATGGTGACGATGGCACGCTCTCAGGACGTCTTCGGCCGATACGAATCGTGTCCGGACAACCCCGTCCTCACAGCGCGTGGTACAGAAGAGTACATCCAGTATACCGGCCACTGTGAACTTTTCCAGGATGAGAAGGCCCAATGGTGGGGAGTCTGCCTTGGGGCCCGCCTGGAGCACCAAGGAAGATGCGCTATGGGCCGTGAGACCTTTTTGACTCGGGTAGACTGGGATGGTGAATGGCCCGTCATCGATCAAGTAAAATCGAACCCCCGCAGCCTTTCAGCAGCCCGTTCGAGCTCACACCTCGCGGCGGAAGCCCGGGGGGACTACCTCTACATTCGAGATGCTGTCATGAACAATTACCAACTCGAGGATAACTTATCCGTGACATTGACCGCGTCGTCAGTGGATTTGTCCCATCCGGAACTTAGCCCGACGTTCATAGGCAAACGGCAACGGCAACTAGCCGGCACAAGCACTGTTCTTCTTAAAGGAATCGAAGGTTCCTGGAGCGCTGCAAAGATTGTGGCTGGGCTCGCGTGTTACAAGGAGGAGCACCGCTACACAAGGGTCTTTTACGACGCTGCTCAGCGGCAGGTGGTCCTCGAATTGGTCAATGCTGCTAAGAAGATTGTTCGAACTGAGAAACACACACTCGGAGAGGTCCCTCGCTCAGTGGCTTTCCGGATAGAGTACACAGAGGAGCAGTATTCCCTGTTTTATTCAGTTCAACATAATGTCGAAAACAACTGGAAGTGCTTGGGAACCGTTGATGTTCTGGATATGACCGATCCAGATTTCACTGGCCCAATCATTGGGATCTATGCTGTTGGGCAGGCCGAAGGCGTAAAAGTTCAGTTTGAAGGCATGAACGTCGAGTAACTGGCGAAGTTGGCTTCTCAAATTCGATCCTCATTATGATCTCCGTTTAGAATTAATCTGGCCGTGAGAAGTTCTGCCTTTTTTCCATAGATTTTAACTTTACATCATCTTTACCTCTACGTTGCTGTGAAAAGTGATATATCATAAACAACAAAAACCCTGTCAGCCCTACCCCCTCCAACTGTACCATTGACGTGCAATGATTTGAACATAGGCACCATTCATTTCAATACATGCGGCGAAGTTCAGAGCTCACATTCCACCTAAGAGGTTATCTGTGAATCTTTAACCATCGTGATTTTCGAGAGTTTCTTGTCTTCCATTTGCACTTTTGATCAACACAATGACAACTGCAACCCAGCTTGCCTCTAGTAGCTATACAGCATGGACATCAAATGCCCATGACCTACTGGCTCCTAATTTCCCTTCCATTGGAAGACATACTGCTCAACCAAGCTGTCATTCGCTCTCTCTCCTTTCTTATTTCGGCACCATGATGATTCATTGAGGGCTGCCTGGGCTGCTTTTAGGAAAAACTCTGTCCCTAGCTATACTGGATTTTAGGCGGCTGAGGTGCTGGACCATCAATCTAAATGGACTATATTGCATTACATCCTTGTTTCTGGTAAAGTCAGCCGGGAGATGGTCTATTTACGGGCAGCGAGAATGGCAAGAAGAAATGGCAGGCATGGAATCTTCATGGTTTGAATTTTGGCCAGTTGGGGCATTAACTACAGGTGCACCAGAATAATTGAAACCAGAAGACTTAGCTATGTGCTTCAGTGGATGGTGGCTGAAGATTGACGGGCACAGTAAAATTATACTGTGCAGAAGGCGTAGGGAGCGTATCGATTACTGCTGGATCACCACTCAACGTAAACTCGAAAGTCAAGTTGTCAGATATGTCCAATGCAATCTTGTAATGCCCCGGGAAAATAACGAGACTTCCATTCTCATCGGCTCTGGCCAGTGAGCCAAGCGTGAGAGGCAGGTCTGACACTTGATCGCTTCCACTTGTAATATTGTGGAGGCGAATGTAAGACACTAGGGACTTATTTGGTCGTGGAGTTGGGCCTGCATTCGTACTTGAAAGGAACAGCAAGCTAACGTAATCGGAAGTTTCATGGCCAACATTTTTGACACGCGCTTTGACAGTTGCAAAGGGTGTGTTGTCATTGACTGGACCACCAGAACTTCTTTGGCATGAGGCAATAAGTTTCTGGATGTTGTAATCACGGTTCAAAGTCTCTTCCCACTCAAATTCGAAATTCGTGTAGTGGAGACCATAGCCGAATGGGATCACGGGCTTTCCTGAGTACCATTTGTATGTTCGCCCAGGATTTGAATCTTTCAAGTTAGGGCGAAGACCGATGTTGAAGATACTGACTTGGTCGGCATAGCTGGCGGGATACTGTGTAACTGGTAGTCTACCAGCAAATGACCTTCTACCAAGAAGGACATCAAGAAGAGCAGGGCCTCCACTTTGACTAGGATATCCCGCCCAAACCAGAGCTTGAACATCTTTGTTCTTCAGCAGGACACTGTCATCGACCTGGCCGCCACCAAATTGGACAACTATCATTGGTTTCGATAGTTTGGATAAGCTCATGATGAGATCGAGTTGGTTTTGTGGCCAGGCGAGGGAAATTCGATCAAGTGTTTCAGACTCCAGAGAATTATCGATGCCACCAAGATACACAATCAAATCAGACTTTTCTGCGGCCGTAAGAGCTGATTCAACTCCGGCAGTACTGTCATTATTGATTGCTGTACCGAAAGCATAATTCACTTTCCACTCTTGGTGGCTCTCAAACGCTTCCAGTGGACTAATCAAAAAAGGCGCATTGCCCGAGTAGTCGCCTTGCATCTGAGTCGTGGCGTTCGCGAATGGTCCAATGACAGCGACACTTTTGTATTTATGCGAAGAACCCAAAGGAAGGAGCTTATCATTTTTGAGAAGCGTCATACCTTCGACTGCAGCCTCATACGCGAGAGCTTGTGCGGCAGGGGTAGAAACGTCCGAAAAGTCGAGATTCATGTACTTTCCGCCATCGAAGAAGCCGACAGTAAACAATGCGGAATATAGTCGGTTCAGTGCCTGGTCTAAGGCCTCAACAGAGGTCTGGTTCGCGGCAAGAGATGCGTTGAGTTTCAGATATGAGGAGCCACATTCCAAATCAACACCGGCATTGAGAGCAACGGATGCTGCCCCTTCTTCGGTGTCAGTGAAGTTATGATATTGCCAGATGTCTGTAACTGCCCCGCAATCGGATACCACGTAGTGATAGTCTGCGCTGAAATTCCAGTGCTTTCTGAGCACCTCCTCTAAAAGGTATTCATTCGCACAAGCCGGGATGCCGGAAACTGCGTTGTAAGAGCACATGACGCTTCCAACATCCGTGTCACGCACGCAGGTCTTGAATGGAGCCAGGAAGTAGTCACTCAGGTCTTGTTGAGTAGGATTGTAGTTATTCCCATATCTGCCCGTCTCTAGGTCGTAGACCGCAAAGTGTTTGCATGTTGCAATGACTTGCTTGTCCTGCGGGTCGTCACCTTGAAGCCCTGGGATAAAATTGCGAACATAACTCTGAGCGACGAAAATATCCTCACCCAGCGTCTCTTGGCCCCTTCCCCATCGAGGATCTCTGAAACCATTGATGTTTGGAGCCCAGAAATCGAATCCCGAAAACCCTTTGTTGGCAAATGCACGTCCTTCTTTTCCAATCACTTGAGCTATTTTTCGAATCATGGCATCGTCAAAGGCAGCCGCCATTAGAATCGGTGCAGGGAAGCTCGTGGCATAACTGAAATTGGCTGGCTTTGAGGTGAATTGCACACCAGGTGCGGAGCCAATGCCGTGCGTTGCTTCATTCCACCACTCATAGGATGGCAAACCGAGGCGGGCGGATCCTGCTGAAGCATCGACAAGATTGAGGATCTTTTCCTCCAGGGTCAGAGAATTGACAAGTGAGTCTACTCTCTCGGCAATGCTCAACGAGGTATCGCAGACTTGGTGACTGCACAGAGGTTGTGTTTGGCAGGCGGGCACAAACCCAGTGTTCGTTACGTTCCCTTGCGGATTCAAAATTTTGTACAAAGACATGCTAAACACAGTTCCAAAATATTAACACCATGTTTCTCTTTCAGTCTGCATTTGACTTACACATAGGTTCCTCCGCATGAGCTAGATGGGTCAGTTGAACATCCCGAGTTGCAGCTGCTGTCATTTGTTTTGCTGGCGGTGCTAAGATCGGGCGTACTACCACAAAAGCATTGCCTAGTTGGAAATAAAATTGAGAATTTGCATCATTTGACACCCACGTCAGCATGAAGATATTTCCACTTACGTTCCAAATTCGATACCTCCATATGCAAAGCCCTGTTTCCCACACCAGGTGGCACAGTACTCAGGCGTCATAGCGATGGTGCTGAGTTTCGCTGCCGTCAGAATGCTCACTTTAGGGTCCAAGTAACATCCCAGGTAGCTTGTTGTTGCATTATACCCTGTCGTCAATGTCGTATTGTTAACGGTGCACGTGAATGTCGCGTTGATGCCGGTGCTCACTGCCATAATGGACAGTAGTACTTTTGTTCCTGCCCGAGAGGGATGAGATAGCTTCATGATGATTCCCTTCTCTGCGCCGAGCGACGCAAAACTTTCCTGGGCTTCACAGAAAAACACGAGGGATAAAATCTTGGTCTATGATGAACTGTTGCCAGTTACTTAAATATATTTTATTTTACTGCACATAGGCAGACCAGCTTCTAGAATTCCGTCATTGATGACTAGCCTAAATTACGGATTCCATACCGAACAGGATCCGCTTCGACCCACAGTTCTGGGAAACCCCCTCCTGGCTGGGTGACCCCTGCCGCAGACCCTGCCGATCTTCACCCTGACGGGGGGTAACAGCTTACTCGGGACAGCCTTGTTACTACCTACCCCGCATATTCCGTTGTCGAACTTGAGGATAATACTGTATTTCAACAGGAACTGGAAAACAAGGATTATCTCTAAGAGAATGATTTGAGAAGAAGGTGGAGAATGAAGAGAGCTCCTAGGGTAACAGGGACGATAGACAGTGATTGCCATGACTAGTTGTCCAAGTAGATCAGAGGGAGCGTAAAGCTCCCTCGCAAACCCCGGCAACCCTTCGGCAGTTGCCGGGTCCTTTCCCCGTTCTTACTTTGTCCGTCTCGAAAACTACATTATGATTCAGCCGGACGGAGGTTGTCTACAGTCTCCAGGATGATCGTCGCAGGACTGTCTATATCTCGTGCTAAATTGCGGAAGCATGGGCTAGCGAGCGATTCTCACAGGCAAGAAACCGGTGAGAGCGTCTAACGGTGCCAATGCTTAGCCTTAACCTAAGTCCAGAGAGCACTAACTCATACAGAGACAATCGATCCCATTAGGCTAATAGGAGCATTCCTAAATAGTAATTTCAATAATCCATTCCGATCCTTCGTACTTTATGAATACTTCACTTTAGCCTGAATATAGGTTGTGCTGCTTCGCAACATCAACGGCTAAACAGCAGTGCAGCTGACAAACTCGGATTCAAAGATATTCAACATTGCTTGCGCGGAGATTTTCCTATTTTGAACAGCGAGACAACGGAAAGTCCCTACGCAATGGATAAGCTGAGAACGATATATACAGTGGAGCCAGTTTAAATGAATTGGATAGAGCATAAGAGGAATGAACAGAAAGGACGCAGCCGAAGCCTGGGAGTTTCTCCATACATATCTGATTCAGAAGTATGCTCATCAAACTTGTGCTCCTCGGTCTGGCCGGCCTTGGCTGTGTTGAATCGATTAAGCCTCCCCAGAAACCACCACCACCTCCTCCTCCTCCGCCGCCACCGTCCTCTCAACCACGGCCATGGTCCACTTTTGCGGAGAATGACATCTTCCAGCCTGACTCTCACCACACTGTTCTCTATCCCCGGCAGGCCGAACTATCGGATGGGAGTCTCCTTGCAACAGCCTCGTATGGGGGCGATAATACTCCATACTTCCCCATATTTCGAAGTGCAGATGGCGGTGCCACATGGTCCTGGATCTCCAACTTGACTGACCAGGTCAATGGGCTGGGAATGGCAGCTCAGCCAGCACTGGTAGAGTTGCCATTCGCTATTGGCGACTTCCCCGCCGGCACAGTTCTGGCTAGTGGAAACAGCTGGGGAAGCGAGAGTACAAACATTGATCTATATGCTAGTGAAGACAAAGGTCATACATGGAAGTTCGTCAGCAACGTGGCGAGAGGCAGTGGGCCAGATACTACCAATGGGAATCCATGTATTTGGGAGCCATTCATCCAGTGAGTTACACTCTGCCCATGTTCATTTCGTTGCTGGTGCTTAACGGAAGGATTCTAGGCCCTACAATGGTACTGTAGGCGTGTTCTATTCCGATCAGCGTGACCCGCTGCATGGCCAGAAGCTTGCGCACCAGGAATCGAAAGACCTGAAATCCTGGGGTCCTGTGATAGATGATGTGGCATATCTCAACTATACTGCTCGCCCTGGAATGACGGTTATGTCCTATATTGCCCCTTTGGAGAAGTGGATTCTTGTGCACGAGTTCCCAGGGGGAGATAGCTGGTCCGGGGCAGGTTACCCAGTATACTATCGATTGTCTGACAGCCCATTTGATTTCCGCTTTGCCTACGGTATCCCCATTATTGTTGATGGGGTCCAGCCAAATGCATCTCCTTATGTGGTCTGGTCCTCAATCGGTGGTACTAATGGCACCATAGTTGTCAGTGACGCTGATCACAGCAGTGTTTTCACCAATCAGGCTGGCGGCCAGCCTGATCAGTGGGAAATTCACGCCACACCTCAAGCTGCGGCATACAGCCGGAGCTTACATGTCTTCGCAAAGTATCCAGATCACTTGATGATACTGGGCGCAGGCGTATTTGATGCAACGGTGAATCTGCCGCTTTATCTCAGCGTTGTGAGCCTAACAGATACGTTGAGGGGGCCAGCTGGAAATTAGAGATGTTGTTCGGGTCAGCCAGATTAGCTTGGTGAGAAGCCGGGGAACGGCAGAGATTTGTAACCCATCTTTTTTCATTGAACTTTGAATGCAACAAGAAGAGATGGCATATTAAGAAAGTGAGAATCAAAGTCGAGATATATTCCCTTGCTGTTACCACAAGGCTTTTGTGGATGCACTATATATTGCTTACACGGTCAATCCCACGAACATCAATATCTGCGCAGGCTAGTACAGTAGCAACTAGCAATGCGATCGCCCAAAATGAGGGTGAGATTGAAGGTAGGCAGCACCAATAGCCTGATGACAAGGTCGGGGCCTTGGAAAAAGACCGAATATCATAGGGCAAGATGGACTGTAATTTCTCATGGATACCTCATAATAGCCAGAGAGTATCCACTCTTCCTCCGAGAAGCCGAAACGAACGATTCGAGTTCTGGAATGCTGGGGATTCCAGCGTGGCCGAATTCAGTGCAACGCAACATTCACCGTTTTCAGCGAGAGACTTTCAGTGATCCATCGCATTTTGTTATTGAACGATTGAACAGCAATGACATCGCCTCGACATTCGTCTAATAATAGAGAGAACTCCTCCGATCGATGCCATCGCCGTTTTCGACCATCTCTAGCCTGCTTTCTAAAACGTCGCAGCCTGGCCTTTCAGCCACCCAGTCAGGCGTATCGGCCACGCACTCTGAAACATAGATCTAGTCCATGCACCTCCCTGAAATCGTGGCTTGGCAGGGACTTGCGTATTAAATACGGTATCACTGGCGTATTCAGAGGACACGCCCCGAGCAATGCGAGTAGTGCAGTACTGTACTGTGATCCAGTTCTGCTTCGAGTCAGAGAACATTCTTGCGGAGTTAGAATGTCAGGACTGTCAAATCTTTCCATGCGAGAGCGGAATTTCGACCAGGGTCCTTCTTCATTGGCCAGTGAGAAAATGAATCCTTATCTGTTCAGCCCAGAGAATATGGGGAAAGGATTTCAAGAGCAAGGGATCAAAATATTTACATGCCACAAAAGCTTTGGTACCTGCATGTGATGGAGCTAAGCTGGCGCCCTACAGGCAAACAATGCCCCAAATTGAGAACTACACCTGCTAATCATTGCTTGCGAACCCCTCCAGGTTCTTCCAACATCCTCCCTCCAAAGTCTCCTGGGACCTGAGACCCCTGACGGTGCCTGTGCCGGGCGGAAGCTTCGGCCTTCAGCCACTGGCGATTGCGCGTCGAAGAGCCCCTGATTGGCCTACGGCATGCTAAGCATTCTACTACTTACTGTGGTTAGGGTAAGCTAAACCAGCCAGCCATTGGGAACGCCGCGTCTGTACCTGTGCAACGTCATACGGAATTGGATGTTGCCGTGATTAACCCACCAGCGCTGATCGGGATCGGCCCAATCATCAACCGGATGGATCCGTAAAGTATTGCCACAATTTGCGTGATTTCGATTTCTCACAGAGAGCAGGGATCTATTCTTAGCTGAGGAATCACAAGGAAGAGATGTCACTATGAAAGTTTATGTACAGAGTACTTGCTGTGCGCAATCTTGGAAGGTGGTCTGCTTATATATACTCCAGGCGGCCGCCACTGGGTCCCAACTGGGCACACCCCTCGTTTCATACCCACAATATTCCTGTGACATATCATTGCAATCATCGAATAGTGCAAGCTCTCGTTCAATAATTACTCCGGAATCTTCTCAATCCTCATAAAATGACATCCTCAAGTGGTTCCAGTGCCCGCACTGGCTCCATTCAGTCGCGCGACAGCCCCAAGAACGTGTTGCAGAGCAAATCCGACCCCAATGCAGCCCTATACGAAGCACAGCCAAGTCAGTAGCCTTCCTCCTACAAGTGATGTTGAGGAATACCGTCTACTTACACATAAGTAATAGTGGCCGTCAACGCAGAGCTAGGAACCCGAGACACATTCTCCCTTCGAAGTATGCAGCACAAGGACCGCGATGGAAAGGTCATCAGTACGTGACTGCGAAACTTGAGGCGACTTTTGGCATTCGGACTACGTTCTAACTCACTTTTAGCTGACCCCGACCTCTCCAACCCCACTCGGAACCGTCTTGAGCGACCACTGGACACAATTCGAGGCTTCGAAGCTGCCATTGAATCCCATCGCAAGCAAAATCGAATGTGAAATGGCCGAAAGGACAAGACGAGGATTTATGCCGAGATTGGAACGAAGGGATGTTAATGATAATAATGCTTTTTTGTGGACAAAGGACCCGGGATGTATGAGTATCGTCTTGTTGTGATTATCTAAAGCTCATCGGGATTTCTGAAAATAAACACTTTTCCCGTATACACATATCTTTGTTTCTCAAGAGTGTCGCTCTGTGGTTGACGTGACGTAGTATAAGGCTCTTCTGTAATGGGTAGTCGAGCACTTTATTTGCAGAAGATGACGAGGTGAATATCAACTTAAATCTTCTTGATAGCGCCACATCGAACCCACTGACGTGAGATTCCCCAGATTCTCAGATCCTCGAGGCTTGGCACTGTGATCGTTCTCGGCATTGGTCACTCTATTTGGTCAAAAACGCTAGTCAGTATTGTGGATATACAAGGACTATCTCGTGTGCGCTCGGCGCCATCTGATACAGTACTTGATTGCTTCAACATTTCCGCGGCTAAGAAGGCGATTCGCGAGCCCCATGCCACGATATTAGAAAAGAAATCTAACAATACGTACAAAATTCTTTCAATATTGTGGTGCGGTATGTATGTGACTGGCCTTTTCCACAGACAGAACCTATCTCCGAGCTTGCAAAAATAGCGAATCTTTTCGTCCCACCCCGAGAATCTTTACCCCCACCACCGGCCCTGATTAAGGGAATTACAAAACAACGCTTGAGAGATTTTGGCTTGGTCAGAACGATAAAATTAGACCCAGGCCGCCTCCATATGAAGCGCAAAGCACAGTCGAGGGGAAAATTCAAGTGCGGTGGTTTGAAGGAGGACACGCACTGCCGACGCCATCCCAAGAAAAGGCCCCACCAACCGCGTCAGCCTGTGAACATTTTCACTCTCCACCATCAACTGCTTGAGAGAACTTCACCCGATCAGACCCACGATACGATGCAATGCACAGCGCTTTAAAGACATGAGAACAATGTCTCCGGTGTGTTCGTGGCCAGCTGCTCATCAGCCTCTTCAGATTCGAGGATGTCAACTCGCAGTGCCTCACGACCACCTTCCCAAGGTCGAAGAAACTCCAACGTGGCGCACTAACGAGTGTTAGTCTGCAGAAACCAAGATACTTTTAGTCGGTGGGACCCTTTTGATTGGCCATTCGCATTCTAGTGTACCGATTCGCTTTATGGCCTGCCAGCCCTAATTATGGTGGTTGACGCGGTCCGTCTTCTCCTGGAAAAGGTGACAGCCGGGCGCCAGTTAGTCGCCCAGTGTTTAATGAGCCTTAACTCTGGGCCTCTGAGGGTCATTAGCTTGGTGGATGCCAGCTGGGTCGGTTGTACGCGTCCCATTCGAGTGCTCAGGGGCCCAAATGGCAAATCAGGATGACCGGAAGGGCGATTGGAAGGGTATTAATGGCCACAGGGAGTGAAGCCACCATGGATACTTCTTCGTTGGAGGGCATTTTAGACATTGACATACACTCATTTGAAGCTCCAACGCTCGCTTTCCATCTTCAAGTCTTTCTTTCTTGCACCTAACCGACCCGAAGGAGGTTATCCTCTCGTTTTCACTCGCTATATCTACGTTCCGCGGTATCTTTTGGATCCGCCAAGCTTGACTCGCCATGAAGCTGTCTCTACTGTCGCTGGCGACGCTGGTTACAGCCGCTGTGGCTGACCTGGACCCTATTGTGATCAAGGTCCGACATTGTTGATCCCGGAACGATGTATAAGTGTTGACCGTGAATATGATATCAGGGTTCCAAGTTCTTCTATTCCAGCAACAACACTCAATTGTAAGTCAGCCGGGAAGATCAACCTCCATGATCATTACACTAATGATTGAACAGCTATCTTCGCGGTGTCGCGTATCAACGTATGTTCATGACTGTCGCTATTTCACTGGGGATCAGGAAGTTTATGAGAATATGACAAACTCACATCACCACCCATCAGAGGATACCAGCGATAGCACCAGCTACAAGGACCCCCTTGCCGATGCCACCGCGTGCAAGCGTGATATCCCCATTCTTCAGGAGCTGCGCACCAACGTCATCCGTACCTACTCCATCAACGCCAGTGCAGATCACTCCGAGTGTATGAAGCTGCTCTCGGAGGCGGGCATCTACCTGATCTCTGATCTGTCAGACCCAACTCAGTCCATTGACCGCAGCGACCCCAACTGGCTCACCAGTCTGTACTCTCGCTACACCAGCGTGATCGATGAGCTCTCCCAGTACAACAACACCATTGGTTTCTTCGCCGGCAATGAAGTTGCCAACACCGCTGACACCACTGACTCGGCCGCTTTCGTCAAGGCTGCGGTGCGCGACATGAAGAAGTACATCAAGGAGAAGGAATACCGCTCCATGGGTGTTGGATACGCCACTGCTGATGTCTCGTCGATCCGCGTGGACCTGGCCAACTACTTCGACTGTGTGAGCGCCGATGAGTCCGTCGACTTCTGGGGTTACAACATCTACTCTTGGTGCGGTGACTCGACTTATGCAGAGTCTGGATACAAGGCTCGCACTGAGCAGTTCCGCAACTACACTGTCCCCGTCTTCTTCGCCGAGTATGGCTGCAACGAGGTCACCCCTCGCACCTTTACCGAGGTGAATGCTCTGTACGGTGATACTATGGCCGAGGTGTGGTCTGGCGGTATTGTCTACATGTACTTCCAGGAGACTAACAACTACGGTAAGTGAATACTCTGGGTGAGAGAAAAAAAATACGACGATCGAGATGCTCATGAAATCCCCCCACAGGTCTGGTATCCGTTGTCGACTCTACTAGCGTGAGCACCATGTCCGACTTCAAGTACTACTCCAGCGAGATCGCCAGTGCCGATCCCACCGGTACCAACAAGGCCTCCTACACCCCGACCAACACCGTTTTGCAAAGCTGCCCGACCGTGGGAAGCGGCTGGCAAGCCAAGGCCTCGCCTCTGCCCCCGACTCCGGACGCGGACCTGTGCGACTGCATCTACGAGGAGTCCGCCTGCGTCGCCTCAAGCAGCCTTTCGGACACCAAACTGGGTAACCTGCTGAGCACGGTCTGTGGCTACACCGACTGCGCTGGTGTGACTGCCAACGCGACTACCGGCGAGTACGGTGCCTACAGCATGTGCGAGATCAAGAACAAGCTGGCCTTTGCCCTGAACAAGTACTACACGGAGCAGAACAAGGACTCTAGTGCCTGTGACTTCTCCAGCTCTGCCTCTACCAAGGCCACCACTGCTGCCACTGGCACCTGTTCGGCGCAGATTAAGGAGGCTGGCACTGCCGGCACCGGGACTGTCACCACCGAGGCAACTGCGACTGCTGCCTCGTCCTCAAGCTCGTCCACCTCGTCCAGCGCCGGTGCTCCTATCACCCTTCACTCAAGCGTGACTGTTGGTTACTTCCAGATTGGCGCCTACGTTGCCACTGCCTTCTTGACCGGTCTGGGCATGATTCTGCTGTAAATGACTTGCCTTGGGAACACTGCGAGGGACATCCTGCCTTTTATATACTTCTTGCCTTGGTTTATTTGCTACAATGTTTTCGCATGAGAGCTGGATGTTATAGACATTTCTTCGAGTTTTACCAAATACTGACCAGGAAGCTACCTGCCCTCTCTCATAGCAAATGAAACCCGTTTTTCTTTCTCCATGACACTCTCTCATATATTTAGGAGTCTGAAGACGCAGGTGGCCAGAAATATAGGTATCTGGATTCATTCAAGCGTATCAAATTTTGATTTGGTACATCATCATTCATTCCCCGACAATGGCCCTCTTCGTTAAAATGGCAGAGGTCTCATCCAGTCGGCTCCAGTCGTGTGCATCTACACACGCCTGCCGACTCAAACGCACGGCGCGACTAGTTCGGGTCCTCATTTCTTTCTCAAACTCGTCGATGGCGACCGATGGCGTTGCTGAGCCAGCGTAGATCTTTACAATGGCTTCCATCAGGTGGTATGCATCAAGTATGCCGTGGTTCGCCGCTTCTCCTCGGTCTATACATCCAGGGTTAGTATTGAAGATTCACGGGTATTTTCCTCGCACCAAAGAATGACTTACACATTGTCATCGCGTGAGCAGCATCACCAGCCAAAGTGACTCGACCCGCATGGTTATCCCAGGATAGGCACTCCCAATCTGCCAATTTGATTTCCGTGACGGGCGTGCCCTCTGGAATGCGCTCTACTGACTCTCGCAAGAAAGGCACAAATCCTTGGGTACGGCGTTTCATATTGGCCAGGCGATCTTCATCGGTTCCGGCGATCTCATCTCCCGGCCCTCGAACTGGCCAGGACATGCATATTTGCGCTCGATACCGTTCCTCTGTTGTTCCTGCTGTGCCATTCACTTGGGGTGTTTCTAGCATGGAGAACCAGAAAAAGACCCCCGTGGGTGGATGGCAGCCCTGGAAGAGCAAGGGATCCATCGCCCGCAAGGGCTCGATCTGGTCCGGAGTCAAGTCCACGGCGACTCCGGTGAAGTTGATGTTCAGAGGGGAGTTGTTGAATGCATCCGGGCGCAGAACTTGCCGCACCACCGACCGGCTGCCCTCCACGCCGACTACGATGCGGCCTGTGACTGTTGTCTGATCTTCAAACACCAGCTGCACCTTCTCCGAGTCGGTTGGCAAGGTGAGGCTGACCACTCGTCGGCCCCAGTGGACATGTTCCTCAATTCCCTGCAGCAGTGCCCGACGTGTCTTCTCCCGATTCACTCGCCATCGCGTACTGGGGGAATCTTATATTTGGGTTCCCCGGTCTCGAGATTGATGAAGAGGAAGTTGCCATTGTCATTCCGGGCCACGTCCGGATCCACCTGGACGGCTTGAATGCGGGCGAGGGTCTCTTGAGGCAACATCTTCCACATATACTCCAATGCCCAGTGCAGCGTGATAGCCCATCCCTGACCGCGGGCATCGGGCGTGGCATCGCGCTCGTAGATCTCAAAGGGAATGTTCTTCTGTTTTAGTGCCTGGCCCAGAGTCAAGCCGACAATGCCAGCACCGACGATAAGCACGGGATCCATGGCGAGGGTAGTAATAATCGATTTAATGAGCGGGACATTGTCGTCTGGAGTCCCTTTTGACTGTTGGGCAATGGAAATGGAAGAGAATCCGGAAAAGAGTTGGCCGTCGTAGCCCGTCGCATAGATAAGCTCCGAGTCACCTGCCGCTCGACCCTCTGGAGAGACCAACTCTCGCGGTACTTCCCGCTGACGCTGACTCGATCACTCAAGTCAGCACTTTACTCCGATTCTGTACTTCTCCCCCCCCCCCCCCCCCCTCTACCCAGTCGCTCGTCTCTCGTGGGTCTTCTTCCGAGCCTCAACCTCCTTTCCGACCGTCGGCTATGCGATTCGTCCCCAAACGCGACGGATGCACAACATGGCACACGCAGCCATCAGCCATGGGAATATTGGACTTCTTCTCCAAGTCCAAGTGACGGCCTCGGTATAAGATCCATCACCAGCGAACTTCTTCGTTTCCTCCGACTCCCATCTCCCCATTGCGCATCACCATGGCCTCCTCTCACGAAGCTCTCAACCCCATTCACCCCGCGGTGCTTCCCCACCTCGACCCGGTCTTCGTGCGCCTCTACAACGAACACGTCGCCAATACTCCCGCGGGGCCAATTGACCTGTCCGTCCTGCGCACAAAATACTCGGTGCTATACTCGTATGGTACAGGTCCAGCTCCCGACTGTGCGCGCGTCTACGATAGTGAAGTTCCCGCCCACAATGGCGACTTGATTCCCGTTCGAGTGTACGAGCCTGCCACGCCAGGGCCTTGGCCAGTGCATGTGGATTTCCATGGTGGAGGTGAGAACACATCCGAACGGCAGAAACAAAGATGAGAACGTACCATTGACTCGGGATGATAGGTTGGGGCCTGGGTGATCTCGACACCGAAGCCCACATCTGCAAGCACATCTGCGTGAAAGCGAACGTCTGCGTCATCGATGTCGCGTATCGACTGGTGCCAGAACATGCATTCCCCATCGGCATCCAAGACTCCTTCGCCGCCCTCCAATATTTCTCCGCCCACGGGGCCGACAAATTCAACATCGATCCCACACGCGTCTCCGTCGGCGGCGTCTCGGCCGGTGGTAACATCGCCCTGATATGCGCACACCTCGCCCGCGACGCCCAAATTCCCCTCAAGCTGGTCGCAGTCGGCACGCCCACCATCGATGATATCTCGAAGTACAAGTTGGCCGCCGAGGCGCCATGGCCATCCATGCAGGACATGGAACATGCGCCCACGTTGAACTGGGCACGACTGAAGTGGTTCGATAATCTCAAGTGGCAGAGCATTGCACCCGAGGGACCAACTCGGGATGCACAGTTGGCAGCCGTGAAGTGGTATGCCAATGCCCTTCAAGCACCGGATTTCACTCGCCTCCCCAAGACGGTCATCTACACGGCAGGCTGCGACCCGCTGCGGGACGAGGGTGAGGCTTACGCTAGGAAGTTAATTGAGGGTGGGACTGAGGTGATCCAGAAACGGTTTGCCGGTGTTCCACACCCGTTCATGCATATGGATAAAGGTGAGTTCCTACTGGACTCTTCGATGGGTATTTAGTACTTAGTACTAACAGTTATTGCAGATTTATGGCAAGCAAAGGAATTCATCGACATGACCGCGGAGCACATCAAGGCTACGCTACATCAATAGGACCGTTGGGAAGAATACTGGAAGTAATTTAGAATTGATGGACCAGCTTGAGCATTGATAGCCATCTTTGTGACATTTGAAATATGACCTGCAATACGTTTAATCTCGATCAATCCTCGACACTAGTAGAACTCGCCATCTCCCTCGTCAAATCCAAGTCCCTCTGCAAACTACCAATCTTGTTCTCTAATGCCATCACACAATCAGCCCCGAGAGGCAATCTCAAGTACTCATGTCCTCCCTCAACAGCAGTCAATATCGCCCTCGCAGCTTTCCGAGGATCCCCTTTGACTAAATTCATAAATTCCGTACTGTTACTCATCCCTCGAACCATCTGTTCAACAGCAGTACCCTGATACCCCTGGCTAAACCCTCCATTACCCTGATGCTGAGCAGGCGTGATAATGCGACTCGAAAAAGGCGTTCGAAAGGCACCCGGTTCCACAATCAAGACTCGAATGCCAAAGGTCTCGACTTCGTGAGAGAGAGACTCGTGAATAGCCTCGATGGCGAACTTGCTTGCGGAATACGTGCCTCGAGCTGGTCTGGCGATGAATCTGGAAGGGATATTGGCAAAGGGTAACTCATAGACCTGAAGGTCTAGTTTGATCATAGCACACTCACCCAGCTCCACTGCTCATCAAGACAATACTTCCCGACCTTTTCGCCCGAATTCTTGGAAGCAATGCCCGAATGATGCGAAGAGGACCGTAAAAGTTGACTTCCATCTGTGCACGCACTTCGTCCTCGCTGTTCCAAATCAGCATCTGGGGTTATTTCACATCCTTGTCGAGCATATTCGAAACCGTACCTTGTATCTTCCACGCCGCCAATAAATGCATAGCCGGCGTTGTTCACCACAACATCGATCTCGTAATTCTCGGATATCTGGACTGCTTGGTCGTATGCATCGATGCTGCCAGGGTCCAAAGCAATCCAAGTACCGCCATTTTGTTCGAATTCGGGAAATGTCTGCTGTGCCGATTGTACTTCGCGGGTTGTGCCCAGAACGGCATGTCCTTTCGCCAAAGCTTCGAGGGCAAGCGATTTACCGAGCCCGGAGGAGGCGCCGGTGATAAGCCATGTTTGTTTGAGAGGATCCGACATTCTGGTGTTTTATAGATGCAATAGTTTATTGTTTCAATATCACATTCAGGTGAACACAGTCCGGTTGTGGTGTAGTGAATGTTAATAAAGAACAGCATCGTCACCAACTCGTGGCTGTCATCGGACTTAAGCTTATTAAACACGTTATGACCGACACAGTTTATGGTTTAACCAATTAAATTGGAAATACGCAAATAGAAAGGCACCATTCTTGTCATCACTATGCTACTTGAATCAATACAAGCATCTAGGGTGTCTCCATGCCATACAGCTGCTCTGCCAGTGGCACAATCGACTCCTCCAATCCCCGAAACTTAACCCCGAGCACCCGCTGCGCTTTGGATGAATCACAAGAATAATGAGTGGCAGCAAGGCGCTTGCCAGGCTCACCCAATGGTGCTCTATGCCTTTCTGGTAATCTTCGTCTCATAATATCTGCAACCTCCTGTGTGTCATAAGATCCCTGTGTCACCAGGAAACGCTCATGGTTTGTCTCGGGAAAGGTCAACGCTTTGAGGCTTGTCTCGGCGAGATCTTCAACGTCAATCCAAACTATGCATAATTTCCTATTAGTAAATGACTAACCTTCAATATTGAGAGGAAACATACCGGGCGCCTTTGTCAGAGGGATCTCGCCATCTCGTCCTGCGTTTAACACACCCCAGACAATCTGATTGCTCGCATTGAGTTGTGACAACGAAGAGATTGGGTGAATCATTCTTCCAAATACCATTCCAGGGCACAATGTCACCAATTGATACTGCACTTGATGATCTCGAACATAGTCCCACGCAGTGCGTTCAGCGACGACCTTTGAAGCACGGTATGCGACCGGCTGAAATGTATTAGTCCACTCCTTTGCTCAAAAAAGCGACGATGTGACACTTACCACTGCCGATGCATTCACTCCGTCTTCATATGTCAACGGTGCCCAATCCTCCTCAGTGTAGACGCGACCAGGCTGGAGTCCCAGACCAGCATCGTACACACTAGCAAAACTGGACATGATGACCACGCGTCGAATCGACGAATATTGCTGCGCAGCCTCACAGATAACCCGTGTGCCCTTCACAGCAGGAATCATGAGTTTCTCTTCAAATTCTCCAGGCGCAGCATCATAATTGAACGCCGACGCCAAGTGCATCACAGCCTGACAACCCTCAACCACGGGGCTCAAAGCTCCAAGGTTAGTTGGGTCCTCAACAACTACGAGTTCAAGACTCGCAAGATTCTGGACACCGGCATTTTCTAGTGCTTTGCGCGTTGCGTCTGCTTTTTCAACGGATCGAACTGTAGCTCGGACGCGGTGGCCAGACCGTAGAAGGACTGCGATGCAGTGGGCGGCGATGAAGCCGTTGCCACCGGTCACGAGGACGAGGGAGCCGGGGTCGACTGGGGCCATGGTTAGGTTGATTGGGATATAGTGTTCACAATTCATGATGTGGTCGATTCAAATATCTTATATCAAAGGTATCTCGGCGGGTCGGAGGGTCGGGTGGCCACCCGCGCGGCCGTCGGATAGATACTACCGCAGAGTGCAGACTAGGGTATTAACATGGCAATCGTAGTTGAATTGACTCTACAATATCTCAAATACGAAAAGAAACTTCGATTCATTAAAGCTATATGGAAATTTAACTCAATTTGTGCCAAAGTTACAGTTCCAATTTCATTGCGATTGCGAGCAGAATAGGTTCAACGACTAATACACATAGCGGAAGTTCTCATCATCATGGACATCCTGCAAACCACCCTTGTTCGCCATCTTTGCCTCCATGAAACTTCGTGCTGGCATACCCAACTGATCAGCCCTCTTGTTACGTCTTCCATACATGATTCGCAGCGAGGTGGAGACCACAATTGCCGCGGCGTTGACTGCTACCAGAGTAATTTTGGCAGGAATATACCTAGTTCTGGAATTAGCAAGTTGCCAGCAGGTTATTCTCATATTCTCGGGTTTCTTACCGAGGAGCATCTTTAGCTTGGAATGTCTGGGGACCGATGATATTGGCGATGCTGAAACCGGCGGAAATAATTGCGACACCGGAGACCTGGAAAAGTCAGTGAGATCCATTCAATGACGGGAGCAAGATAACACCCACCTTCATTGTGTAGCCCTTGAAATTCGCGCCAGTCCATGCGTAAATCAGCGCCAAAGGTGCGACAGTCTAGAACGATTAGCAAAATTATAAAAAAGGAAGTCTAGCTTGGTACTCACAGTATTGACCAAATAAATGCCGGCCAAGCAACCACCCTTGTTTGCAGCAGGCAAAAATGACATGAGACAGGACCCAACAAGGGTTGGAAGTAGGAGAAGATCAATGGCCAGCCATCGCGAAAATCCCTTGGCAATCGCATATGTAGAGACCATAGTCGAGACAATGCTGACAATTCCCGAGGGCATGTTCAACAGAGCACTTTCCTTGGAATCATAGCCAAATCCTTTAATCAGAATAGCCGAGAAGGTTGTAATGACACCACTGGGAATGGTGATGAGAATTGTGAGCAGGACCAGCAACCAGGTTTGGAGGTCGGCAAGAGCCTCGAGGACTGATCGCCAGCGGAACACCTTTTCACCCACGCCAGCTTGATCATGATTTAATCTTTCGAAGACTCTCTTCTTCTCGGCTTCGGTGAGGAATTTGGCCTTTGTGGGAGTTTCTGGAAGAACGAAAAGAACCAGCAAAGAGACCATGATGTTGACTGCACCTATCACGACAAACATGATTCGCCATCCGCCGAAGGATAGGTTTGCTGGTGCATGTTGGGCCGCAAACGAGACGAGACCACCAACTATCTGTCCAACACCCAGTCCACAGTACCAGAAACCATAGCGAGGGGTCGATTCAGCTCTTGTATACCACATGGAAGTGTACATCGTAAGTGAAGGTGCTATTGAAGTCGGTCAGAAATCATCTCCTGAAGGAGATTGTATCTTCTGCAACTCACCGATGACGGCTTCCATGAGCCCCAAGAGGATGCGAAGTGCCAGCATGCCAGAAAAATTCTGAACCGCTGAGGAACAGCAAAGGATGATGCCCCAGCAGAAGACATTGGCCCCGAGGACTTTTGAAACAGGGAAACGCTGCAGCAAAGCACCCTGTGGGATTTCTGCCAGGGCATAGGCGATGAAGAAGGCTGTTGCTAGCCATGAGAAATCGTTGCCGTGCATGCCCAAGTCGGCTTGTAGGCCCATCACATTTGCATACTGATTTTGATGGGTTTGAATTAGCATAAGTTTCAATTCCACTCGATCTTCGACATCTTTTCCAGTACTCACATTGATTGAGATCTTGTCAATCATCTGAAGGAAATAAGTCAAGAACATGATCGGAAGGATCTTCCGATCAATCTTGCGAAGTAGTCTCTTGTCATCGTCGGTCACACTGCCCAATGCACAGTCCTCGGGCAGCTCCAGCTTAGTTGCGAACTCATTATTCTTCTTCTCCATCATTGACAAGAGACCAAAGGTGATCCAGACAGTCCTTTGGGGTAGGAGGAGCACAATATGACATGGCGTTGGCCAATGCCACTCTTAAGAAGGAAACGGGGGCCTTGGATATCAGTCCAGACGAGATAATGACCAGCACTGACCAACGTCGCTCAAAGCTTCCCGTTTCCCCAGACCACTCGACCGTGATTAGCATGTACCCAGCCCGCGGGGGAGGCGAAATGACTGATGTGGCAAAGATCAGCCGCGGAGAAGCCAAGAGACGCAGCCGTCGGATAGATAAACTCGCGCGGCGCCAGACTAGCGTGCTCAATCCGCTCTTTGGTTCCAGCCGTCGCCTACCGATAAGAGCGAGCCGTCGCTGGGAAAAGAAGAAAAGTGACACCTGGGTCCGACGCAAAGTGCGATGGCGAGGAATATCTTCACCAGGATTGAGTATATATTTCTAGATAGATCAAGAGCTCGTTGGAATTCATCATGTCAATAATCAACTCTTCCGGTGTAAACATGCCTTCACGTACCGATTCGCCTCTTCAGGTTGCCATTATTGGCGCTGGCCTCGGTGGCCTAGCAGCTGCTGTATCTCTGCGTCGCCAAGGCCATGCTGTCACGGTTTACGAGCGATATGATTTTGCGGGCGAAGTAGGGGCGTCCTTGAGTGCTGCCTCCAACGGGTCGCGCTTCCTCGAGGAATGGGGCGTGGACGTGAAAGCAGCCAAGCCGGTAAGACTGATGGACGAACGAAATTCATCAAAGGAAAGAAAAAAGTTGAATCTAACGCGAGAATAGGTCATTCTCAAGCAACTGATCATGCATAACTGGTCCGATGGTGAAGTGCAGAGCACATACCCATTGGGCGATTACAAGTCCAAATTCGGCACTGTACGCGAGACTCCGTTTTAGCTTCGATACAGAAACTGACAATGACAGGACTATAACAACTTCCATCGCATCGACATTCACAAGCAACTCCTCAAATCTGCCTTTGAAGAGCCCGGCGAAGGACCGGCCTGTGTCTTGAAAGTGAACCACAAGGCCACCGAAGTAGACCACGACCAAGGCATCATCCGATTCGAAAATGGAGTAGAGACATCAGCGGATTTAATTGTGGCAGCTGATGGCATTCGAGTAAGTCGACCAAGTCCAATATACCATCGATAGTTCTAACCATAAACTATGCAGTCGCTCACAAGAGACCTGATCGGCATCGTCCCCGACTTCGAAATGTCCACTTCATGCTGCTACCGATGCATCATCGGTGCTGATAAACTTCGCTCTCTCGGTCTAGACGACTACATCTCAAACGAAGCCATCGAGTACTGGGGCGGATTTGGAATTAACAAGATTGTCATGTCGCCATGCAGTAACGGCGAAGTAGTGAGCTGTTACTGTTTCTATCCGGCATCAGTCAACAACCTCCGCGAGGACGGGTGGAACATTGCCGCTTCACCGCAACAGCTGGTGGATACGTTCCCCGACTTGGATCCCAGGATGAAGACATTGATGTTGAACTCTGAGGATATCAAGATGTGGCGCCGTAGGTTGCAGAATCTGTACTTGTTCTAGCTGATGCTAACACTCTACCTAGTATATCGTCACCAGCCTTATCCATACTGGGTGAAGGGCAAGGTCTGCCTACTTGGCGATGCCGGTATGTCCAAAGAGAACCGACACAAAATCAAGAATGCAACCACTGACAAACATAAATAGCCCATCCTATGATGCCCGACCAGTCACAGGGATCCTGCATGGCCTTTGAAGATGCTGGCGCTTTGGGAATTGTATTCAACAAGAACTTCCGAGAGAACTACAGCGTGTCAGAAGGACTAGCACTCTATGAGAAGCTACGTAAGCCACGTGCTACACGAGTCCAGGAAGCAAGTTTCCGGGCTCGCGAGAATCTGAATGAGCGCATTGGATGGAGCTCATCGGCAGACCAATCGGGGAAGCTGACCATCGAGGAGGTGTGCGGGTATAACATGAGGGATCACCTTGCCGAATTGATGGCTGGAGGAAACTGAGAATTCTGTAAATATGTTGTTAGAGCTTTCTTTTACTAGCGATGGATCTTCAAATGAAACTAATCGCCCATCATTAATATCATATCGTAATACTTGGCCAGGTCTAAGCTATACAAACACGACACCGGGGAATTTGCTATATCGCACCGCAGCCCAATTCAAATCCGTTGCACAAGAAGCACCATTCCACACCGTCTCCAGCAATTGCCGTGCATACTGAATATGGCCGAACCCGAGGGTATTCTCCATGACCATGAGTCGTTCCTTGACCATCATTCGACGCTCCATACTGATACTACTTGATCCAGCGATCACCAGGGGAAAGAGAAGACACCCCTCGACCCGACTAGCGTACGGAACCTGCTGCACCGCGTCCAGAATAATCGTAATCGACCGCTCCACGAATGGATGGAGTGGGTCATATCCCTCAACAACCTGATGCAGCCGCAATCGAATTGCCCATTCAAACGCGGTTGTAGCGCGCTCCGTCTCAGGCTCTAGCTCCGTAATCTGGTCATGGTCTGTCCGCCACTCATCGATCCGAGTCTCCAAATGTGAAGCTGCCGTTCGGAAGCCAATCTCGGATAGCTCATCGACGCGCTTACTCCGGTGATTGGCCAACAGATTGACCATACCCAAAAAGTCAAATAGCGCGGGCGAGATACCGTAGATGGCATCCGTTGATTGGCTGCGTTCTAGTTCGGGCACGCTGTTCCGCCGCAGAGAGGTGGTCAGCTCGGCCAGGTTGTCGCTATTATGCAAGAGAGGCGCTTTGCACCGGGAGATGGTGGACATGGCATCGAGATAGTGGAACAGGCTGATGCAAAAGGTCCACTCATCGGTGGAGACGAGGTTCTGAAATGCGGGGGATTTAAGGATGGCGCTCGCGGCTTTGAGGTGCCATTTCCACACCTTGGACGTGCCGTCAAACAGCTCCGTCAAACATAGTAGCAGAACGGTGGCACAGGCTTCAAAAATGCACTGACGATCGGATCTGCCGAGTAAGCTGTTTACTTGAGTTAATGCTGCCGTAGTTTTAGCTTGATGAAGATCATCCTATCATGGCTGAGAATCACCAACCTTGTCCTTGCCGTTTCAAGGCACAACCCCAGATACTGGGGTAGACTCTTCTCCAATGACACCCACTCAAGCTGAGGATCACACTCGTCACGGCATCGGACGCGGCCGCCAGCGGCAAAAGCGTCACGAGGAATGGGTTCCGATCGGGATCGTGGGAGCGCGATAAGGCCCGCGCCACGACGTGGATGTAGTGATTAAACAGCGACCGGTCCTCTTCTCCACGCAGGAAGGGATTAGTGGAGATTGGAGACCACTCAAGTGGTAGCACGAGGGCTGTCTGTTTGGGTAATGGATGTGGGAACAGCGTGGCAATAAACTCCTCGTCATCTTCCGGGGTGATCGAGCTCAAGGCCAGCGGATCGCCGTCGGAAGGAAGGATCGGATCTGCAGAGGGCGAGACCGTCGCATGGGAATCTGGGGAAGATGACGAGGAGGTGTCGATTGTCTCAGCGGTGCTGGTGGTGGAAAACCATTGACAAGGCAGATTCAATCGCCGGCAGTCACTGCATCGAGGGCGGTTCTCGTCACACTTCTTCTTCCTTGGACCGCGACTCTAGATCAGCATCTGAGTTTTATCTCGAACCGCGCAGCTCCACCGCGGATAAGGGGATTTACCTCGCCTTGCAGGACAAACATCCACCGCGGGACCGCGATGCCCTGGGCCGACGTAGGGCCGTCGCGGGGAGAGAGGCGCCGATTGACTCCTTCTCAGTGGGACTTCGTGGCTTGCACACATGGCCAAGACCTGTCAGGCATCCATTGAGAGAGGTCAGTCTATAGGTTCACCAGTTTTGGAAACTCAATGGCAGCTCAAGGGCCTCGTACGTTTGCATCGCGAACAGGGCTGGTCGCCGTCGCATCGTTGTTTCTAGCGGCGATAAGCCATTAGCGCCATACCATAGTAAATGGAGACTCAATCCTCACGATACGAGCACATCGAGCACAGACTCGACCAGGAGTAGTCATGGCTAGTTGTGTGGGAGACATGGCGTCCACGATAGTCGCAGCCAGAGTAGCATCGCCAACTACCCGCGAAGGAGAGCGGGGGGGGAAGAAGGCAGTCGAAGCGACGGTGTCTCTTTCCTCTGGCCGAGCCTCTTCTTATCGGGAGCTTCCGATCCGACGGGCCTGTTGATAACGAGACCAGTGGAATTGAAACGAAGAGGCGATCCAATTGCCGGGACTAGGACTGGAAATTGGCCCCGCCCGCGGCGTCCATCGCCTAAACCCGTCCCAGTCAAAGTTGGGATGCGGATGCGGGGAAGTTGACAAGGAGACAACCCCGGCACTTCCCCAGGTTCTCGGCAGGTTGCGGTTCTGCATTTTGTCAGTTTAGCTTTGGCGGACGGAGAGACGGTTCCAAAATTATATGGAAATACCTTGAAGAGTGTAATTAGAGAGGACTGTAATCAGAGAGGACTTTTCGAACGAGGGGAAGTTAAACCCCCATTTAGCTTCGACCTTTTCTCCGGCGTTGTACCCAACTGGCGAGTTGCTGGATTGATTCACGTCGCGACTGCATACCAAACTCCAATCGGTATGAAGAAGAATTCCGGGGATCGTCCCTGGTACAATTTGTTGCTCCGAGACAACCCCTTGGCTGTCTAGACTCCAGGCAACGCATTTTAGATGCCTGTACCTGAGTACCTATTTCTTAAGTTTATCGTCACCGATCTAAACTATAGACCTTGACCTGATTTTTGATTACAGGGCAGCCAAGGCTACAGAGAGAGATAGAGTCTTGTAGAGGGATCAGACCCTGAGTAAACACCATGGTTCTCGATTCTGAACTCGATTATACTATATCTCATGGACTTTCTAAGCTCGGTTCGTATAGGCATAGGTGTGCTACCTTCTATGAGAGTCTTCTCCATGCAGTTCCTACGTACCGGATTTCCGATGCCACGTCTTGGCTTTCCCGCTCCGTTTTGGTGCTCAGACTCTCGCCGCTTTTGCTCACGGTGTAGATCTGAGCAAGTCGGATCCACTCACTGAGCACTCCCAACTCTTTCCAAATCTTTGTCCACAAAGACGATTTGTGAAAGCATCGAGGGACCACGGTGAAGCGGACGCTAGTCACAGCGGTGGAATGCATTTCAGTCGATGGTCGCCCCCTTCATCCTCTCAATATCTGGCCGGCTGCCAGTCAACTCTCTACAGTAATTTTCTAAATCAGCTTGACCTCAAACTTCTTCAGACTTGATTCCCAGAAAATAAATCCAGCATATGCGAATTCTGATTAGGGGTTCGTTAAGGCACTTTTATTCTAGACCGCTTTCTATAATAGTTGGCGTAACTTAAAGTACGACGTCAGTACTATGAATGTGTACAAGCATTGCTGCCCGCTCCTCTTCTCTTGTAGTCAGCAATCTGCACAGCGGCTTCCTGTTTGCCGTTATTAGTCCCAGGCCACATTGCTTTTTCGTCCTCAATTATTCACTTACCCACAATGATCTACGAAGCTTGACTGAGCCTCCCCAACTCGAGACTCTGTCTGATCTGTGATGTGATAATGGAGCTCAGATTTCACCACCTCATAGATTGCCGAGAAGGCCGGGCTGTAGGGGTCTCCAATCTATAATCATTAATACTGGTAGAAACCTACGGCGTTTCAGCACCATTTACGTGCTCTAGACCGGTATCGAACTGAAAACAAATCGTAACGCTGTTGATGTTCAAAACCCCGTGCGATTATCTGTCTAAGGGACGGTCTCTGCCTCGACGAGATGGCTGCCTACCTCTGGAGCGAGTTCCAGTCTGAATAAGAACTCTTTCCAGCCGCAGATACGAAATTATCACGCTTGTCTCTTGTTCAGTAATCCCTATGGTACATGTTTGATCGCTGCTGAGGTCGGGATGAAGTCACTACAAAACTAAAGCGAAGCAATATATATAAGTAAAATTCAACGCAAAAGGTTTAGGAGCCCTTACATAGCATGGATAATGCCAGGAATATCCCCCAAAAGTGTCAATAAGATATTGATGCAAAGCTCAGGGCCACATCCTCGTCTAAGAAACACAGCAAGTGGCGGTATTATGACTGCAATCAGTAACAGACAACAATCTCTAGCGCCCAAAATATAATTAAGCTAGGAACGAGAAGAAAATCGAGAAATTGGAATCCCGACGAATATAGGAGGAAGGGAGGAAGATACTCACGACGCAGTAAAAGGCATAGTTCCAGTGTCCTATAGTAAAATATGTGACAAAAGATAATGTGAATAAACTTAAATAACTAAAGAATCTTATTGATTCAAATATTCAGTGAAAATAAGGCAAAATGATTTTCTAGACATTTTATCGTACATGTGGATCATGACATCTTCTATTACGTATTCATGATGCGCTTTAGCAGACATTTTCCAAACTATACTTTTGTTGCGCATTATAGGACAACGTCTATAGGGAGGAATTGATTGTCAGGGTGAAGAATTCCATCGCCAGATATAGATCCCCTCTGAATGTAATACAATACAAGATGGCTGTGCTCTATGTGGAGGCGGAAAGGGGGCAGACGATCTAGCTACAGTGGCGCCGCAAAGTCTGTGACACCCCAAAGTATCTTTCTTCACCGCCTCCTTATAAGGGACATACCGCCCATTAATACTAGTTTTTGAGTGGTGCGGATGCTAGTTGCCAGCAGAATATTAGCGCGATACTTTAGGGGGTCCAGACTTTTGCGGCGCCACTGTAATAGAGCGGTGACCTTAAACAGGATTAGCGTATTTCGAACTTATTTTCCGGGAATCAAGTCTAAAAAGTGTGAGGTCAAATTGGATTCGAAAACTGCTCTATCTGCGGCATAGATTCTCTTTTATTTATGGACAACTGGTGGCTCTTAGAAAGGCTGCGATAGCTGGAAGATCATGAATAAGGTACGGCGTAAGGAAAGGAGCGAGTCTCGCTGCCATATTTCGCGTACCCCAAGGCGATTCCCCAATACGGCTGGGTAAGATGGCAGCGAGGGGCATAGAGAACAGGCGATTTCTTGTAATAAACGGTATCATAGGTCACATAATTGTCCTGTAGAAATTGGTCTCTGAAAATAAAATGGGGAGATCTGTGACTAAATCGAATACAGGTTAGGGTATTTTAACACAGGGCCCGGGAAACAATTTTTGTTTGTTCGTACGGGAATCTGTTTTCGACTCTCACTGTATCTCCCGTAGAAGTCCTACCCTGATAGTGGGTCCAAGAGTCAGTAAGGTCAGCGTTCTCCGGATACTATTCATGATAGTAGTGAAGCTTCGCATAGAGATTCAAACCGTTTCCTTAAGGTTGTGTGGAATTCGCCAAATTTATAACCGAAGCAAGCCTTGTTAAAGAAGACCTCATAAAGAAAAATTTAAGTACCAATCTAACATAAATAGTAGCGCCACGATTATCCAGAACGTCGGAGATAAATAGGAAAGGCAAGGTTGTATCAATTTACCTACCTTTACAATATTAATTATATATATCATAATTATATTACCTAAAAAAATACTATATCTCGTAGAATCTTCAGCAGAAGAAAGGTATATTAAACAAAAATATAAATCTATAAGGCCAGTACAACGGAGAGGAAGCATTATATACATAATTCGATATCCGAAAATAACCCCCGCTGCTAAACGGAACAGCTGCCTCACGACTCTATAAATAAGTAGGAGATCGCCTAATTATTAAAGAGAAACATAACTCTCGTAAAAGTATATAAGGACCGCACTAATATATCAGTATATACAGTATATAAGTAAAAATCATAAAATATAGTTATCCTACGATCTATACTAGACGATTTAAATATATCCCGGATAGCCTAGGCTAGTAAGCCCTAGGTAGTTTTGGTAAACACGTGCTACTGGGAGAGACTGTGAATTCACTCATCATCTATCGAGGTCCACCAAAATCACCCTCGATTCTTCTCCAAAAGTAGGCCACAGTACGCTCACGATTGCCGAGTTCATATGCACCGTTCCAAGAAGCAAAAAATCCAGCAATGCCGTCTCAATCCCATTGTCAAACCAAGGCACCACCATTGAACTGGCACACATATGCCAGCTGGTGAAGAGCACAGAGTGCATGATCAGTTTTTCGAGGCCTCCTCCTGATCGTTGGTGTTGCAATTGCCACTACTGTTGTAGTAGTAGGAGGCACCATTCGAGTCAGGCGGAGTGTACCAGGCTTCACCCTTGCCAGTGTTGTAGTAAGTGCTGCCATCGGAGTTGGAGTAGTAGTAGGAACCATCCCTACCCGCCATCAGTCAGTATCAAGATCTGTATTTCCAAGGAGGCGTAGTAGGTACTGGTTAGAGTAATGGTAGGCATTCTGGTTCACGGCATCGGATCCATAGTCACGGCTGCAATAGTGGTTGCCCTGAGAAAGATCAGCTTAATGTTCATTTTCCATGAGCACGACTAGTGGTCTTACCTGGCTATTGGTGCCCGAGTTCTTGTAGGTGTAAGACGCACCCTTCTTGTCGGTAGGCATCTTGTCGCCGATGAAGTGGTACGCGAATAGAATGAAGAGTGATTATGGGTGGTTGGTGGTTGTAGAAGATGACGAGGAGGAATCAGAAATGACAAGTCGAAGATTAAAAGGACGAAGGAGGGCAGTGGAAAGAAAGAAAGAAAAAGCAAGGAAACTACTGGAAAGTCTCGTGGAGGAAACTGCCATGCAAAGGCAAACGTCAGAGTGAAATGCTCTTTCAGGTTGGATCTAAACAAACAATCACGCTAACTCGCTAACTCTATACAGCAGCACCAGATCCCCAACAAACGCCAGTCTTTAAAACTGGCCTGTCTCTGTCCAAATATAATGATCATTTACCACTCGTTCTTCAGCACCAGACGGAAACGTGCCTTGCCATCACTCATGTCCTGGATGGCCTGGTTGGCTTCCTTCATGGGGCGTTCCTCAACCCACGGCTTGACCTGCTTGGCAACAGCAAGGTCCAGCATCTCCCGAATCTCATCAGGGCTACCAATCAACGAACCACCAAGCTTGATGCCCTTGGCAATCAATGCAAAAGCTGGGATCTCGAGGCCGCCATCTTCGGGGGCACCCAGCTGGACGAACGTACCGCGAGTGCGCAGCAGCTGACAATATCCCATGATGGGCATCTTCGATGAGGACACAGTGGAGATGATCAGGTCCAGGGACTGAGCGTGGTGCTTCACCCAGTTGGCGTCGTCATCAGTCGCGATGTAAGCATCAGCACCCAGCTTCAGCGCATCCTCTCTCTTATTGGCCTTGCGAGAGATGGCGACAACACGGTCGGCACCCAGGGCCTTGGCGAAGAGAATACCAAAGTGGCCCAGGCCACCAACGCCAACGATGCCGACCTTCTTGCCAGGGCCACAGCCGTGCTGACGCAGGGGAGAGTAGGTGGTGATACCACCGCAGAGCATGGGCGCGGCCTCGGCGGAGGGGATAGCATCGGGGATCTTGATAACAAAGTGCGACGGAGACCGGTTGTACAGGGAATAACCGCCATATGACTTGCCACCGTTGGCATACGTGCCGTTGTATGTGCCAACCATGCGGTTGCAGTGTTGCTCGAGACCGTTGGCGCAGGCCTCGCAGTCGCCATTGACATTCAGGCAAGATCCACTCTGTGCACCGACGCCCACGCGGTCTCCGACCTTGATATCTCCCTCAGCCTTGGAGCCTACTCGCACGGCAACTCCAACAATCTCATGTCCAACACAGCACGGGTAGGTAGTAGGTCCCTAGGTCTCGATGATTAGTTCTCATGTTTGCAGCTAACCATCACCAAGGAGTATCTCTCCCACTTACCCATCCACTGCGCAGAGTGTGCAAATCAGAGCCACAGATACCGCAGTGCGTCACTCGAATATCAATGTCGGTCTCTTCCCATGGCTTGGGCTCGAACTCTTGCCAGACCATCTTGCCCTTGGCAGCCTCCTTGTCGAGGCCCATCCATCCCTCGAACTTGTAATCGGTGGATCCCATTATGAATTGTGAAGATATGTATTCGATTGAATCGGTTTCGATGTTAGATTCCAGAGTTTCTCAAGAGGGTCCCTCGTACCCTCTTATAGAGGCACCATGTCCCATATCTTCCAGCGTCATGATCGCCATCCACTGGGGGTCACCGAAAATTCTAGCAAGTTTCCACATTCACATTTTCGGCACATGGTAATCTTCACAATTTTGTCAGCGATCGTGAAGGATCCACCGGGTCCACTGCGTGGAATGTCATCACGGTTTTAAGCTACTATTATGCCCGCTCCGGGTCAACCACAAACTTATGTTTAGTGGCGATGGATGGCAGTAAGTGCACAACAGGCAACGGGATCGGGAATAAAGGGGATGATAACGATCTTAGCTAATCCCGGTCTGTCCAATCACCGTGTCAGCAGCAAATCCTGAAGCCAATCAAAGTTTTAAGTTCTGACGCGGGTTCCTGCAGAGATTTGCTTGGTTGTCCATGATTGATCCAATATGACGCACATGGCTCCCGAAACCTGGCTTGGAGAGTCCACGTTGCTGGCTATGAAACATTGCTCCACCATAATCTGACCTGTGAGTTTGCCCGAGTCCCGTCGGACTTCTCCAGAAAGTGTCCGAGTCAGCAATTGACGGGGATGTCTGGTCAACTCAACAATCGGCGGGCTACCCGGCCTCGGTCCGTGAAGTATCTGATCGATAATCCCGAATACGTTTCTCGACGTGTCAAAAGTGACCGAGCAACGCCTGAGACACAACATAAACGCACCTTAGCTCACTACAATAATACATCACTGTCGTTTGGCTGACCTTTATTCTCGGTCTTTTGCTGCGTATCTCCACTGACAAACTCCGCACACTGCCGTCTCCGGGTCAGCGCGGCTAGAATAGAATGTTCTAGAAACAAACCAGTCAATTTTACTCCATTCCGTCGTTGAAGCTCTGTATACTTGGCCGCATACTACGTACTTGAGACGGTGATCCTCGCGTCCGATGAAAGATGGACTATCAGAATTGTAATTTAATTCATTGGTGTATCAAGATAGAATACAATAAATTCAACCCCCTACAAACCTTCAAATTAGCCTGCAGGATGAAAGGTTGAATACAGACTACCTGGCCCTGGGGATCGCATCATTCATATTGACCTCCTTCAAAGTCAGGCACATCGGGCGGATCTGATGGCAAAATATCCATCCCTGAGGGGTGTTATCTGTCATCAACACCTTGGCTAGTACATGCCATTCTCAAACGGCTCGACAAGGAAAGTCATAATCTTATCGGTAATGAACTGAGCACTAGACAGAGAGTGTATCCTGTGCCCAATCAAGAGGAGAATGACTATCTGTCCAGAACTGGCGCAAGCCTCGAATATCCCTATGCCCCCGTGATTTCCCATCGACAAGAACATTTCAGGATCCCCAAGATCCCACGCATGCCGACATTAAGAGCACGGAGATCGTGAGCTGGATGGAGGACCCAAGTGGTCAGAACCTAGATATATACCCGGAAAGTTATGGGCGGGCTCCCAAGGCACGGCCCGGGGGTAACCCACCATGAACCGTGACAGATTGGGAAGCCAATCTTGATCAAAACCCGTCTTCCTGTACCTGTCGGGTGCTCGGCAAAGGTGGAAAACTGCCAGTACAAAAGTGGAGGAAAGGATGATGATGCCATCAGGGGCCGGGATCACGCTCCCACTGGGCGCTACGCGTATCCGAACTATACACATTGAGGACAATTGAAAAGATCATGCATATCAGTCATCATGTTGCAACTCCAATGAAGGACCAGAACGAGAGAATGCAAAATAATCAAAAGGGGACTATTTTCAAATTTGACCATGTCAGACGATCTTTTTGTCAATTAACGCATCCTTTTCCCCAGTTTGCCCGGCACATCACGTCAACGCCGGCTCGCGTGGAAGTGGACCCGATCGTAATGGCGTGCTTTACGATCGCGATGAGAACACAAACAACGGCCTTTCATTGGGTTCATTATCTCGCGTCAACAGGAAACTTTAGCTTCGTCAAAGACGGATTTGCCGGTGAATAACGCCATGCCTCGCCAGAGTACCCCAGCAATAGGTCATCGGGGCCGAGATCGATTATGCGAAGATCCTTTGATTCGATCTAAGCGATATTTATCAGTGGGCTCTCCCATCCACTCAATCATGGATTGTCTCTTTCACTTTCGCCTGTCTTTGATTTGTGGTCTTCTCCTTGAAGGTGCAATATGGTTGCAAACACTAAGTATGGGACAGACGATGGTCCTGGCAATCCCACCTCCGAAGCAAATGGGTTCACTCCGGTCGCAAATGGACACGACGTCACAAATGACGAGGAAAGTCCATTGCTTCCACAGCCAGATAGTCCAGAGCCCAAGAAAAAAGCTTTGGTGGGCGTGGGCACCATAATCGCGGTTCTCTTGCTCGGTTTGTTGACTTCCTTTGGTTTCCTTGTCGATATGCACGACTAACCTGGGCGATAACGCAGGTGAATTCGTTTCCAATGCCGACGCCACTCTCGTTATGGCCGCCGCTGGCCATATCTCCTCCGAATTTAATCGACTTCGCAACGCGAGCTGGCTCGCTACTGGGTATATGCTGGGTCTATGCGCCGTACAACCAATGGTGAGTTTTTGTGGCCCGAGTCCTCCAGTCTGGCACCTGACGGGGGATAGTACGGCAAATTGAGCGACATCTTCGGTCGCAAACCTCTTCTGTTGTTATCGTACTTCTTGTTCGGAACCGGTTGCATTATAAGGTACTGTTCTGATCTCGCTCTTTCAAGAACACGCAACTCTAATAAATTTCAGCGGCATCGGTTCGCAGATGTGGGTGGTCATCCTTGGTCGCGCGATCAGTGGCATGGGAGGCGGCGGGTGCATGACTATCGGCTCAGTTATTATCACTGGTAAGGAAAATGTGAGTTTCAAGACGCTCCAGTAAAGCTGACTCTCTCTAGATATTGTTCCTAAGCGCGAGGTCGCAACATGGCGAGCGTATGTCAATATCTCCATGACTCTTGGCCGCAGCATCGGCGGTCCCTTGGGCGGATGGCTCAGTGATACTATCGGTTGGCGATGGTACGTCGCGTCACATCTTGTTGTACCAGTCTTACAAAGACAAGGTCTTAACAAAATTTCAGGTTGTTTCTTCTCCAAACACCATTATTTGTCATTGCTGCCATTCTGGTGATCGCCAAGCTCCACGTTGACCAGTCCACAACTCCTGCAAAGCGCGACACTCTATCTCAACTTCGGCAAATCGACTTTTTGGGGATTGCGCTCCTCGGCACATCCATCGTGGCCGTTACGGGTCTTCTGGATCAAGGTGGAAAATCATTTCCATGGCGATCGTGGGTGACTGTGGTGGCCGGTGGCGGAGTGCTCTTCCTGTTGATTTCATTCGTCCTCGTGGAAGCCTATGTCGCCAAAGATCCGATTTTCAATTTGCGTATTCTGCGCAGACCGAATGTGGCCGCTAGCTATCTCATCGGCACCCTTCAGATTACGGCACAGTTGGGTATGATGTTCTCGATTCCTCTTTACTTCCAGGTAACGCAACGCGCCTCGGTCACAGTCGCTGGTGGCCACTTGGTTCCAGCCGTGATCGGTAACACGCTAGGTGGACTTGTTGCCGGTGGGTTCATCCGCCGCACTGGGTATTACAAGATCTTACTTGTTCTGGCGAGCTTGATAGCATCGCTTTCTTATGTACTGCTCTACTTCCGTTGGAATGGGAGTACTGGATTCTGGGAATCCCTCGACATCATTCCTGGGGGCTTGGGCACTGGCATTGCCTCAGCGGCCGCATTCGTTGCCATGACTGCTTCACTGCCTGCAGAAGAGGTTGCCATGGCCACATCTGTTTACATGCTGCTGGTTAGCTTTGCCATGACAGCCGGTGTCACGGTTTCCAACAGCGTCTTGGGGCTGGAGTTTCAACGACAGCTTCGTCGCAACCTTCATGGCCCCGGCTCTGAGACGGTAGGTTTCTTGAAGCAGCCCATATTTGAGGCATTGCTAACTGCTCAACCAGATTATTAAACGTGCAATGGCCGATACTGATTACATCGCCCATTTGACCGGCCACCTCCGCGAGATTGTGGTTGACTGTTACCTGTCCGGTCTCAATCACACGTATAGTAAGCTCTTTCTACTCTATATTTGGCTATACTATTCACTTACTGACATCTTGAAAGTTGTCTCTCTCGGCTGTTCTCTTGCTGCCGCATTTCTTGGCTTGTTCATTCGACACCATCAACTATAGATCTCAAGTACATGCAGCGTCTTTCATTTGCTAAATCTTAGTTCAGTTCATATTCAAAAACAAAACTACATACTAGTTCAGAATTTACTAGAAGAAATCGTATAACATTAGCAAAGACAATTTCTTGCAAGATCACGTCTTCAACCCATCCAACACCGACTACTGTTATCACTATTCCACATCGAATCCAACACCTTCCATTCTCCTGTCATTCCCATGCACCATGTTTACCGCCAGGTGTCACTCTCCGTAACAGCAGTAGTGGCGCAGGCTGCAGGAACAGTGTACGAGCGATTCGGGTCGCTTTCCCATTCGATGCTTCCATCGCTCTCGACCCGAATATACTTGTACTCGAAGCTAGTACCAGCAGGTAGGTCAATGTCCACAAACCAGAGGTTATCACTGGATGTATAGTCTGCTGCACTTAATGCGACTGCATTGTCGGTATCCCAGTCACCCAATTGGCTGATGGAACCTGCGATCTTGATGTTTTCGCCATAGGTGGTCGTTGCGATAAGATCGAATGTAACGGCCACGGAAGTCGGGGTGGTACAGGAGGTAGTGGAAGATGTAGTCGAAGTGGAAGTAGTCGTAGTCTTGGAGGTGGTAGTTCCAGTCGCAGTGGTTGTTGCGCTAGTAGTGGTCGTCGATCCAGACACGCTGGTCAGGGTTGCGGGCCATGAGGTGGAGGTGGCAGTGCTGTAGGTGCCCGTGGCAGATGTGGCGACGCATGTTGCTGGTACACTGCTTGCTGAGTTCTCACCCCAGGCAGCTGGGACGACGGAATTGCGTCGGTTGTTTGCAGACAGCAGAGCGGCGTAGGACCAGGTCAAGTCACGCGCGGATAGTTGGGAGCCGTCAGACTTGGAGAATTGCTCAGACATGGACCCGTTTGTCATGGCATACTTCTCCTATACAGGTATTAACACATCAACTAGAGATAGAGGGTGAATTCTCATATGCTTACCACAATGCTCATATATCCATCGGCATAAGTCTTGACCGCACTGACGATGGTTGAGTAGGTTGCGCTAGATGAGGAATAAGTTCCAGTAGCTGCAGAGCTGTCCATGTCCTGGAAGAAGGACAGAGACACAGAGTTGATAGTCAAAGAACCAATCCGGTTCCACTGGTATAAAGCATCATACAGCACCTCGGCAGCAGCCATCGTGCACAGGTACCAAGGGTTGCCATTGTAGTAAGAGTCCTCGGGGTAACGGCCGACTGCCACGGCAGTGCCTTCAGCGATGCCACTGTTAAGGGTATAGATGGAGGGGGAAAGAGTCAGTGACCACCTTGTGATTAGCCAGTGCTCGAGCGGAGCAAGGCTGAAAAGTGGTGTCATCACAGCCAGCCTCTGGATCAAAGGTGTGAATACTACCCAACAGAGTGTTGGCATCTTTGCCAGTGCGGCTGCTACCGAAGTTGGCCAGGGTGTAAGATCCGGTCCAGAAGGACTGTAGGAAGCAAAGGATCTGCGGGGCCTGTGAGTCGCAGTAAGAGCAAGACGAGCCGACTTGACTAGCAAAAGTGCTACCTTCAACCAGAGCACGGTGCTGCGCTGCAATGGTGAAGAATGATTCGCCGCTGACTTCTTCCCAGAGATCTATCCGTAATGATTAGCGCATAGGATACCTTCACTGGGCTTCCCGAAGAAGAGACTTACCGTATCCCGAGCTATTCCAGTTCTGTGCGACATAGGAGAGATCGTTGCGCACGATGGGCCAGACAATGTTGGTCGCCTGGGTAGTGTAGCCGTTACTCTGAACAATCTTATGTCAGTTTTGTGTGATATTTTAGGACATCATATAACGTACGATCAACCATTGGCCAAACGCAATCAAGGCAGTAGCCCGGAGGGCAGGTCCATCACGCTGTGGGCGACCCCAGGCCCCGGTGAAGGCGCTCTCATCAACGTTGAACTTGGGCTCACCCAGGCCACCAGAGGAGAGAGAACCCGATGGGTTGGAGACAGTCTGGATATACGCCTGAGCGCTGATGTACTCTTCGATCACTGAGAGCAGTGAGGTGTCGCCGTTCTTGAAGAGATCAATCAACACCTTCATCGTCAAGGCGGAGTCGCGTGTCCAAGTATAATAATCTTTCACAGTTAGTATATATATATGGTGTTTCAAATGTCAAGGTCACTTACAATCAGGACTGCTGGTGCTGGGACTAGCAATGATAATGCCCGGGCTTGCACTGGCAGCATAGGCACCACTCGATCCAATGTTATCGAGGATACCCTGTCGTGCAACTGTAGTCTCCGATGTCAGCCATGTGTCAAGGTTGCCAGTTGCACGAGCTGCAAGCTGCGGTGCTGCGACAGCCGCGTGGCCGAAGCTTAGCGCATACAGCGCAGTCCAGAATCGAGGAGCCATGAGGGAAAGAATTTGCTGGTTTTTGTATCTTTTTCATGAGTGCAGATGCCGTCTTTTATACACCGAAAGACCACGGCGAATCTCGCTTCGGTTGGACTGTGAAGCAGATTACAAGGAGCGCCATGGACAACAGGGGGTGGAGAAAAGCAGCGACGCGGCGATCGACAGGATGCAGAGATTGATTGCGCTACTTGTTACTCGTGGCTTGCTTATTTCATTCTATTTGCTTTTTGCATTGTTCGCCGGCGCAGCTCGGTTGTTGATTGTATGTGCCGCGACACGCTGCGGGGTGATGTGATGTGATAGACGAAGTACTCCGCACGCGTCCATCAATAGTCTGTTCATTTGCACTCCACTCTCCTTTGTCATCATTGTGATCGACATAACCCACAGATAAAGTAAAGACTATCCCTACTACCTTCAGTAACTGTCAAGATCTCAGTGCAAAACTTCATACTTTGATAACCATAAACGTAATGATGATCATACTCAAGATCACCAGCTGCAGTTACATCTTTGCCATGTCTGCGGAGTACACTGAGTTTACTGAGGCAATATCGGTGCCTGGAGTTAACACTATCAACACTAATTCTTAGCCCACCAAAACTTCGGCAGGCTTTCTACAACTCCGTTGGACCCCGCAGAATCCCCGTCCCCTGTCCTGACACTTGCGCTTCTCTAGGACCGTTTATTGATATTACCACCAATCTGTATTGCGGGTTCCCCCGTCCCTAGCCCGGTCGGCTTCGCCTAGAGGCGAGGCGTTTTGGCAGAGAATACGATCGGCATGTGAAGCTTCCACGACTTCCATGACTTACGTCTTCTAGGTTCAAGAGCCGAATCCTGCGTGTGAAACTGTGGAGCCGTGAAGAATTTCCGATCCACTCTCCCCACAATGGCCCCGGAGGATCTACCGATTCCAGCCTGGCGCTGCTTGTTAGCGTGGACCTTCGCACCAACATCGGGCATTCGAACCAGAAAGTTCTTCTGGAATGGGACACAGTGATGGGATTGGACGCTTATGAACGGCGCTTCGTCACCGAGCGACAGAGTTGGACTACTTGGGTTAACTTCGGCGAATAATCGTTCTCAGAAACTTGAAACAAATCCCCGTGGGGTCGGGTGTCCTTCCATGAATCTAATTCATTGGCCATTTGGCCCGAGCATGCGGGAGGTCCCCAGCACGGAGATTGGTGTCTGCAAGAACGAGTCCAGGGAGCCGCAGGGCTTGCTAACGATGTGGGGAACCCATCTATAAACCCCAGATGTTGGGCTACCTTTGCATTGATAAATTTCACATATGCAAGCAACTGCCGAGATCATTGCACAGTTCATGAAATTTGAAAACGGTCACTATGAAGGGACTTGCATTGGCAGCAGCATTCCTTTGGAAGGCTGTCGCCGGTCTGACGGCCGCAGAATGGCGCAGTCAATCGATCTACTTTCTTCTAACTGATCGTTTTGGCCGTACAGACAATTCGACCACGGCGACATGCAACGTCAGCGATCGGGTAGGGATCTTTCACGCGTGTTCTACGGTATAGCTTGGATTTTGCTAAATCGATAAACTAGATTTACTGCGGTGGTAGCTGGCAGGGAATCATCAATCACGTATGTTGTTATTCCGCCTAGCAATGTCCATACCCTGCTGATACTTGTTCAAGTTGGATTACATCCAAGGCATGGGATTCACCGCCATTTGGATCACCCCCGTAACAGAACAGCTCTCTCAAGATACTGGAGATGGCGAAGCATATCACGGCTACTGGCAACAAGAGATGTTAGTAGCTCTGCCAGCTCGGCGCGAGCATAAAACTGACCAAGCCACCCAGATACAACGTCAACACAAACTATGGCACTGCTGCCGATCTTCTGGCCCTCTCGGAAGCCCTACACAGTCGAGGCATGTATCTCATGGTAGACGTGGTTGCAAACCACATGGTATGCGTTCTTTACTGGAATATCAAGATTTGCTCACTGACTTAGACCACAGGGATATGATGGAGCTGGTAACACTGTTGACTACAGTGTTTTCAACCCCTTCGATTCTTCTTCTTACTTCCATTCGTATTGTGAGATTAGTGATTACTCAAATCAGACAAACGTGGAGGACTGCTGGCTCGGAGATACTACCGTCTCCCTTCCTGATCTGGACACGACTCTTTCTTCAGTTCAGACTATCTGGTACAACTGGGTGACCGACCTTGTTTCCAATTATTCCAGTAAGTATCCTTCCTGAGATTCTTTGGAATTAATGAAACTGCTAACATACCCTTACAAAGTTGATGGGCTACGAATTGATACAGTCAAGCACGTCCAGAAGTCATTCTGGCCTGGCTACAACAGCGCTGCAGGTGTCTACTGTGTGGGAGAGGTTTTCGATGGTGATCCAGCATATACATGTCCCTACCAGAGCTACCTAGATGGTGTTCTAAACTATCCCGTGTACGTTCCTCGTTGTATTGATAGTACCATTGCTGACCCCTACCAGTTATTATCAACTTCTCTACGCTTTCGAGTCAACAAGTGGCAGCATCAGCGATCTTTACAACATGATCAACTCTGTTGCATCTGACTGCTCCGACCCGACCTTACTTGGAAACTTTATCGAGAATCATGACAACCCACGTTTTGCTTCGTACGTTCTCCTAGTCTTGTATATTGATGCGCCACTGACATGAAATCTTAGCTACACGAGCGATTATTCTCAAGCGAAGAATGTACTCTCCTACATCTTCTTCTCTGACGGTATTCCCATTGTCTATGCTGGTCAGGAGCAACACTATAGTGGCGGCAGTGACCCTGCTAACCGTGAGGCAACCTGGCTTTCTGGATACGACACGACGGCTGAGCTCTATGAATGGATAACCTCCACAAACAAGATTCGCAGTCTCGCCGTTTCCATGGACACTTCTTACATAACTTCCAAGGTATGCTTCGGCGACCCATTTATGGCAAGCAAGGACTAATTCGGACATGTAGAACGACGCTTTCTACACTGATAGCAATACCATCGCTATGAAGAAAGGTTCGAGTGGCTCGCAGGTTATCACGGTCCTTTCGAACCTTGGCTCATCGGGAAGCTCGTATACCTTGACTCTCAGCGGAAGCGGTTATTCGTCCGGCACCAAACTGATGGAGATGTATACCTGCACTGCTGTTACTGTTGATTCTAGCGGTAACATCGCCGTACCGATGACTTCCGGACTCCCTCGAGTCTACATACTGGCCTCCTCGGCTTGCTCTATCTGTAGTTCTGCCTGCTCAACAACTACAACCTCGTCGGCAACTTCGACCGCCGCGACAACATCAACGACACTCAAAACTACCACATCCTCCTCCACAAGTTGTACACAGGCTACTGCGTTGCCTGTTCTGTTCAAAGAGATTGTAATCACTTCATACGGTCAGAACATCTACATCTCGGGCTCGATCAGTGAGCTCGGTGACTGGGATACCTCTAACGCTATTGCCTTATCCGCCAATCAATATACCTCGTCCAACCCTCTATGGTATGTTGTGGTGACGATTCCCGTGGGGACGTCATTTGAATACAAGTTTATCGAGGAGACGAGCGGGTCTAGCACGATTACTTGGGAAAGTGATCCAAATCGCTCATATACGGTGCCAACCGGCTGTGCAGGCTCAACAGCAACTGTCACAGCAACTTGGAGATAGTTGATATAGCAGTTATAAGCCAACAATGAATCACCTGTTTGGCTTCAGTGATCGTATGCGTCATATCATTTCTTCATTTCAATGTAGACATCGTAAAAATATTATAAACGGTAAAGAGTGCAACCACTTTTCCAACCCATGGCCAGCTGGGGCGCTTAGATGTGGAACGAACCGACGTTTTCCGAGATAAAATCAAAGGTGTCTTGACGGAAGTTATCTTCTAGCAAAGCTCCATGGTCATTGAAGAAATTCATCAGGGTTTGATTGGCGCTCCACTGGGGCCAGTCCATGTAGCTTGATGCCTTGGAGTTGGGATCCAGGTCATAGACAAAGGACAGGTAGTATGAATGGATTGATTGGGAGGCATAGTTGGGCAAAATTCCATAGAACACTTGCAGAATATCCGACCCGTGGAAGGTGCCTAGGATGGGCGTTCCGTAGTCGTACGATGAGAGATATGACCAGAAAGGGACATCAGGCTTCACCTTGGCGGCGAGCGTCAAGAAAGCTCGCCGGGTAATGGTAAAAGTGAGATCGCCCAGTATCGCAGCAATGCGTTTGTACTGGGGATACCAGTTATTAAAAACACTAGTCCGGAAGGGGGAGCCATCGGTTGTGGTATCAGGGTAAGTTGCGACCAATTCTTCCAGCTGCTCGCGTGAAGCATCAAAGAAGAAGAGATTCTGTAGATAGTCAACAATTTGGTTTGTCGTGCTGATGTTTGCCTGGAACAATGCAAAGATCGTCCCTTCGTCTTCCTGGTCACCAATGATGAAAGGGACCGAGGCGTACTTGCCGTTAGTAACCAGAACCTCAGGTGAGTCTGTGAGCACTGTGCCATCCGGACGAGGTAGATAGGAGAGCGCAACGGAATTATAAGACAGAATCCCAGGCACAGAGTTAGCCGCATCCAGGAATGTCGTATAGTCCAGTCCACGCAAGCACTCCAAAGTATCCGATGCACTGGAACAGCCAGCAGACTCCACGACCTTGTCATAGACAGCTTGACCTTTGACTCCATCTACGGGATCGGCAGGTACAATGCTTCCCGAGTTCATTATTCCAGCTCGGAAGAGCGGTGCGCCGTTGTAAGTGTTGTCACCGTCATAAAGAGCCATCTGATCAAAGACGGATATCGATCCAGCGGATTCGCCCCAGATAGTCACTTTAGTCGGATCACCGCCAAATGCTTTGATGTTATCTGCGATCCATTCCAAGGCGAGGCGTTGGTCTAGGAGACCCAGGTTCGCGGAACCGTCTTTGAGGATCTCCGAGCCTGGCATAAAGCCAAAGCCACCCACACGATAGTTGATAGCAACGAATACAATTGGCATACCCAAGTTCATAGATGCAGAAACTAAGCCAGTCCCATCATACATGCTTGTTGATCCAAGTTCAAAGCCACCACCGAAGATCCAAACCAAGACAGGTAGGTTTGCACCAGCTTCGGTTCCAGTTGGACGCCGGATACTGACAGTCAAGCAGTCTTCGCCAGCATCGGTGGCGGTTTGAAACAGTGGGATATTGGCCAGCTCCCCAATCACAGAGATCGGAAAATCGCTAGTGTCGGTCGTGAAATAAAACTGGGGGCATGATTTGGCGGACCCGGTAGCTTGGACTGTCCCTAGTGACGTCTGGATTGCTTGGGGAGGTTTCAGACGAAGTGAAGCCGTCGGTGCCTGTGCAAATGGAATTCCATTGAAACTATCAATGCTGTTCGATCCGGATGAGCCAATAACTGTGGCTTGAGGCTGTGAGATGGTCACTGTTGGTGCGCCAGCTCGCTTCAAGTTGGCTGGAGCAGCGAACACCACAGGCACGGTGGCCAAGAGGGCAATGTGAAGCAAGTAAAGCATCTTGACACTGTTTCAACTGCAATATAGTGGCAAAACTCTGGCACAGGACCAATTAAATTCCTTGTTGCCTCGATTTCGCTCATCGTCATTCATTCTTGGAGCGGCCAAGGGATCCCTTTAAACCTCATCCCCACATCACCACCCACCTCCAGGATGGAAGCATTGTCAAGCTTGACGAAGAATAATCAACATGTGGTTCCTCGGTTGACGGTTAACGTTGAGCAATCGCCTCTATCTTTCATGCTTTTCGAGACCCCGCCGCGGGGTAGAGAAGATTCGGTCAAGAAGTATTCCTGTCTGAAAGAGGAATATCCGCCGGCTCCATGGTCATGCGGTGCCCCAAGCGACACTCACTAGCATCTAAGTAAACGAGTAAGCTTCTTCATCAAGAAGTTAGCCCTTCACAAATCCCCCCTCCAAAAACCAACTGCGTGATTTCTGGTTGGATAGAGGCACTGCTATGTCCTGCGCCTTCACCCGGCTTATTTCGGGCTTGGCCGTGCGCACGTTACGAGGCTGCGGTCGCACACTTTCAGAAAAGTTTCGTGGCCGTCTGCTGACCATGAATCAAGGAAGCAAAGGACTTAAGGGAGCGTATGGGGAATGTGAAATCCGTGCGGATCCCGGAATGCACAATGACAACAGCACCTATGAGCGAATCGCGGGGAGCGCGGGGAACATCCCTGCCTTTTCTGGGGACGCCCGGTGGAGTTGGCCCAGCGATCAACCGGTTGGAATCGGCACAAATCTGATGTTGCCATGCGAGAACAGAAGGAATAGACCGATTATTTTGCTGAAAATGTTGTGCAGCTGACGAGGTTTGTTTGACGAAAATGAAATTATTGGTTGGCACCCCTGTGTTCCTGGAAGACTAACAGACTCGGAGAAAAGGCACTCCAGTGGGCATCACAAGGCTATGTGTATGTGGATTGACAAAGGCCCGTCTGGAATTGAACTCAATTTACAAGCACAAAAACAAAGTGCGCCGTTTGAACTTCCCGGCACTCTATATCTAGGAAGAAGAGACTCTGGGTATATATTACTTGTGATAACCGCCTGAGTGACTTACAAAGCGCAGTTCGCGCCAGTCACCTGCAGCAAATACTCGGCTATTCCCCGGTTCTGCATGTCTTCGCAGATTCATACGACCCTACGTCACTGATAATGATGTGTCTTCTCTACCAAGAGCCTGAGCCGTTTCCAAACTCAAAATCCTCCAGACCACGCAAGAGAGATTTATGCAGTCGTTCGAAAGATCCGTGTATGTATGATTGATGGGATAAAAGTGAGATCAAAAAGTATTGGCCATATGCAGCATCGGAGGCGGCCTCGATTAGTTCATCCTTCCGTTCCAGATTGGGCCTCTACACATTTAAGTGACTTAGTTCGCCTGCTTTCGCTTCTTTGTTTTTGTACTGACGTCCTGTAAAATGCCACAAGTGCTTCTCCGTTCGATCTTTCGCATGTTTCATGACAGGCATCTACACCTTTTACAAATATAGGGCCTTTTGTGCCTTTAATCTCAGGGGATAGACATCTTATAGCTTAGGGTTGGAGAACGGATTGATATTATCGCAAAACAGTGTCGAACAACTGCTGACAAAAACGACCCTTTTGATCAATCTTTTTCTTAGGTATATGCATTTATTACATGCTATGTCCTGGTCTATGCATTACCCGGAAGCTTGAAGGGCCGCCTGGCCGGGGTACCTGGACTGTAACACCTCCAGTCAATGTTTTATAAGCGTGCGTCCCAGGCGTTACTTTGCATTTTTAACTGTTTAAACAGTAACATTTGTTTCTTTTGCTAATTTAGAGACCGAGTTTTGGCACCGGTCATCTATTAAATTCGTGTGTCGCAATATTAGCCATTGGACAGACGAAGAAATAGGAGTCGGAAAAATCTAAACGCGATGGCTAAGAAATAATGGAAACTGTGGAAGGCAAAAATAATGGAGAACGACGAAATCCATCCTTGATTGCAGCTTGAGAATAAACGTGCAAATATTCAAGAAATTATGTTGCCAGCCAAAATCAACGCCGATATAAATGCGAGACATGTGTCTAGAATAACCCCGTTTACACTTGTACAAACCCCTCAACGCTCGGCATGCTGCCAACCTTCCCATCGCTCAAAATCCCCTGTGTCCAAGTCAAATAGATCCAGCATTCGCCCCACGCTTTGGTCGACCAACTCATCCACGGATGCCGCACGGATGTAGTATGCTGGAACCGGCGGGAAAATGATTGCGCCGGCACGGGATACTTCCAACATGTTCCGCAGGTGAATCTCGCTTAGTGGCGTCTCCCGAGCGACCAAGACGAGTCGTCGCCGCTCTTTGAGCATTACGTCTGCCGTGCGGGAGATGAGATCGTCACAGAAACCACTGTGGATGGCAGCGAGCGTCTTCATGCTGCAAGGAACGACAATCATGCCGTCTGCTTTGAAAGAGCCGCTTGAAATCGGCGCTGCCATATCGTTGATGGAGTGAACATGATCGGCTAGAGCCTTCACATTAGACGGGTGGTAATCGGTTTCGTATTTGATGGTCGCTTCGGCCCATTTGCTCATCACCAGGTGTGTTTCCACATTTAAGCGACGCAAAGCAATTAGACACTTTATACCCAAGACTGCGCCTGTCGCACCAGTCATGGCCACAACGATCCGTTTGCGTCGTTGAGTAGGTGACTGATGTGTGAGTGCTCGGTTTTCAGAGCTCACTGATGGCATTGCTGTGTCAGGCTGACTTCCCCCGGGAGTGGAGCAACCAGACTGAGGGGTGTTATGGCCAGAAAGTAGTGACAGCATTGAAGACTCGGGGTGCTTTAGATTTGTTATCGAAGATGCTGAACTGTTCCTGGACTTGGCAGATGCTGAAGAATGCTTTGACTGGGGCGGCTATTCACTAAAGTCGGCAGAGGTGGATCTTATATATTGGAACCAAGTGGCGAAGGCAACGACATCGAAGTGGACATTCAATTATAAGAAAATTCTCACTCCATCCCGAACAACCGGCAATCCGAGTAGCATCGGCCCGATTACGATGGGAGGCAGAAGCCCCCGAGGCCTCCGAGATCCGAGGCTCCGAAGCCGAGGCCCCGAGAAACACGCAAAAGTCGGTCAGCTCGCCCCAGATCGAAGCAGTGATGTCACTTCAGGTTTAATAATGTAGGTGATGTAGAAAAAATAGTAATCCTGCATTTCTGGGCGAATTTCTTAAACAAGTTCAAGAAAGTCCCCCCCCAAACAGATCTTCGGCATTTTAGCTAATTTGATGAAGCTGGGAACACGCGATCAGTCATCTTCAGGTTCTCCGGCATGATACGCTGTGTTACGATCTTCAACTAGGTTTCAAGAGCAGGTATATTTCTTACTATCGACAAACAAAGGCCTGTCCAAAACTATATGCACTTTCAACTGCCATCATCCTCGCCGACTGGTGTCCTTCAAGTTACTACGGTCTCTTGGTCAAGTGCGTCCATATCAAGCACTCAACTTGTCTCCTTCTGGAACGTAGGGCGTTTCAAAAGGACGCTCTGCTTGTGGCGTAATGCGTGCCAAGTGACGACGCTCGCCTGTCGTCCAGTCAATAATCGCAGAGTGGGCGGTCACTCGGTTCTTGGTAATCATTAGTCTCTAAATCCCCTCATCATGTTCCATAAACGGTAGGGTGCTTACATCCCAAATCACCACTGTCTTTGGCGCCCATCGGATGCGGGCCTGATAGTCAATGCCGCGACCGACATGAGCCAGCAAGAATCCCAGAAGAGCATCACTTTCCTCAGTTTTAAGACCAACAATGCTCCGAGTGACTTGTGTACTTGTCAGCCTAGGTATGTTTTGCCATCCGCAAGGAAATACTCACAACCTCCGTTGACGAAAAGAGCCTTCTCACCCGTGACGGGATGGGTGCGAACGATTGGATGCTCATTCTTCACCGGATCTCTTCTATCAACTCCTCCACGCTTTAGACTGTTTTCGGCTTGCTCGAATCCAGAATGCACAGCTTTGAGACCATGGAGACGCTCTTTGATCGCGGGTGAGAGCCGGTTATATGCCTCAACCTGGTTAACAAAAATAGTGTCTCCACCCACCTCTGGACCGTCAAGAAGGTACAGGAAAGTGGTTCCAGGGGGTTGCTGCTCATAAGTAACATCAGAATGCCACGAGACGCTGCTGTTCTTTGCCGCAAGGTATTCATCATACTCCCATGCGTTCTTATTCCGGTGAACAAGATGGATCTCCGGGTACCCCTCCGGAGCTCCGCTAGTGGGGTGGATATGGTGTCGCCCAAAATAGCCTCCAAAATCGAGGGCGTCTTGGATAGGTAAGTCTGCAAAATCTTGATCTCTGAATGCTACAACTTTGCGTTGAGCAACGAGGAGAGCAAGCTGATCTTTTCCGGCTGCAGTGAGCTTGCTCAGCTGAACACCTGTAACTTCGGATCCGATAGTCGGGGTGAGTTTTTGAATCTGAGATCCTTCTGGAAGAAGATCTTTGAAGGACGGGTCGGCATCTTTGCCATGATCAATATGCGTGAATGGCTCGAGAGGGGGGTATTTTTCGCCATGATCCCAGACAGGCAGATAGTGTTGATACTGTTAGTAGATCTCCAATCAGTATTTCTTGCAGTAAATAATGATCGAGAGATATCTTACCTTGGCAGTGGACTTTCCTCCTTCTTCATCAATTATTCGCCTCACTTTGGGCTTGCTCACGCTCGCCTTTGGGTCGACCTTTACAGGAACGACGACCTCGGCAGTGACCGTGTTCGCAACAGAGGGTGCCATTTGTTGAGGAGATTCTTGTATAGGAAACTTTGTGCTTGATAAAGAAAATGGGTAGATATGCTTGCAGTATCGACAGGGAACAAAAGCGAGCGGGCTTATACATATATAGTTGTTGCTATACAGTTATCTCCTCTAAGCCTCGCATCATCCCATCACGAAATCACGTATCGATTTACCACAAAGCAAGATCTTGCGCAATCGGTTTGCTATGCTCGGGCCCTGAAAATACGTTTTTGCTTTGGCAATTTGCAAGTCACGTCGTCGGTGACTTTGAATTCGTGCCATTATGACGGCATTTTTTTAAGCCGGTTCAACATTAATAGTTAATATCCAGTTCAATTTCTATGCTGAGGATCTGACGGAGGGTATCAAATGACATTAATGGGATAATTGAACGGAGCTGTGGACTTATGGGACATCTTCAAAAAGCGGGGTAATATGTGATTCTACAGAGATATAAGAATTCGGATGCTTCTTACGTGCGATTTATGAATGTAGCGTAATATTATTGAGCATGGCGTGATGCCATACATCCAGGCATTCCCCGCCATCCCATGGAAGAATGACGGAATTGTCCGAACCTAAAGCATACTACCTCAGATTACTCAAGTCCCTGACCAAAACCTGTAGATTACATATTATATTTCTTCTCTGCCTAAGAGAAATGCAAAGTAGGCTTGAAATTTGGACTACGCCATCTGCGGAAACCCTCGGCCAATGAGTTGGCGGCGACCTCGGAATGCTCTCTCGTAGTGAAATTCGCACCCTCAGCCATGTAGAGAATGAGAAGAAATACAGGAATATACAGCCTCATTCGGCAATCGAAAATTGTAGTCACGGAGAAGTGGTTCACATCTCTCCTCTAGAGTGTCTAGTTTCTTCGCCAGGGATTTGAGAGAGAATACCCAGAAGTTAATTGGTCTCCGAGGGACTCCGAACTCTCAGGTTCAATCTCATGTGGTCATAATTCATTTGATCCGTACGTCAACTAAGGCAACAAAGCTACCCACGAACTTTCACATCTACAGTATCCGTGACTCGAATCTTCTGATCGCTTTCCCGGTCCCAGAGACCCTCCTGACTGGGGCTTCTTGCGCAATCAATCTCGGTTGTATTTTCGTAAGGGGTGGATCCATGAAAGATTCGTGGTTTCTTTCGAGAGACTGAATTAAGACCAATACTCCCCGGGCCATTAGAGTAACTTTGGTCTCTTTTCAAGCGATGTTCCTTCAAGAATCCAAATACAGCTCGAAGGGCAGGGAGGGAAAGGGCGATTATAGCGGCACTGATCTCAGCACCGGTCCAAGCAATGACGGGTGAAAAATACCAAGTTGCATCGTCCTCATGCTCGACAGAGACAATCATGGATATCATTCGCAGAATTGATGTGCTTTTTGGGGAGGGTTAGACAGTTTCTCTTCAGTGTGAATAGAAAACTCACACAACAGCGCTGATACCAGCAGGTCAGCAAATGTTACAGGAGATGAATAACAATCACCATGAAACTCACAAAACGCCAAAACATAAAATCCCCAATAATGCAAATTTCCTAGCCAGCTTTGCCTGCAAAGACATAACGATCTTCACTGGTAATAGAAAAATCAACGAGTCGCAGGCAATCGTAAGAGCACCCGTCGAAATGAAGACAATCTTGGAGCCCATACATTTTCCTTCCACAGCACCCCACAAAGCAGCCAGAGGGATGCACCGGAGAGCAATGATGAGGGTTTGAGAAATGTAAACTGCCGTGATGGAGGCAAAAGACAATCTAAGGTATAAGATGAATTGCGGCATCGGGTTGAGTCGGGCATAGAACGTTAAATTCCGAGACACTTCAAAGCCACAGGTTGAACATGTAGACCATCTGGGTTGTAACAAACCACTTGTAAATGTTCGCAAGCGTCTCAGGGGTACTGACGAGGGCTGCAAGATGTCGACCGGAGCCGTACCGAAGTATCATCATACAAAGTCCCATAGTAGCCCAGTTAGTCAGCTTTTTTCAAGGTCAATGAGATCAGCAAATGATCTCAAAGTAATTGCGAAAGAGGCATTACCTGCGCAAGCGAAATAAAAAGATCATCCCAACCAAGCTCACGAATCAAAACTCTGCGAGCATAAAGGCGAATCATGACAATTATGAACGAAAGCGCCGTGACTACATCAATTCCGATCATCGCTGGCTGCCTGCGGTCCTCTGCCAGGTAGGCAGCTGAGTATTCCGGAGACATCGTGCACTTTCTGGTATTCCCAGCGCTCTACTCTAAGCATCACGCAAAAATTGTCAGCCTGCCGGAGTTATAAGTACGCGGTTGAATAGTAACGGAAGCCGACGATCGTTTGGCACCGTTGCCGTGCACCTGTCATATTGACTCCACCTGGCTGAGCCTAAAATTTAGGTCAAACGTCACTTTCCTTTCTAGCAATGCATATGTGGCGCTAATTTGGGATTAATCAAATAAAACTGGGGCCATATAACCATAGATGCTCTGTTCTCCTCAGATTTGGATCTATCAAATCTTGAAGCCTCCAAGGTGACCCGCCAAGTTAGACTCGATAGATACCTATGCGCTTGGGGGGAAGATCTTTGACATCAAGGACATATTCATGCACTATTATGTACAAGAATAGATTACCCTGGAAGTCGAGAGATTGTGGGACCTTTCTGCTTATGAAACAGCACGATCAGGGCTAGATGTAACAGACGACCTGTCATATGCATGACACCTCAGATCCTGATCCAAAATTTGAGCCAGCTCGAGGAAGCGTGTGATAGTGGCAGCTTAGACTGGGCTAGCTTTTTTCATTTCTAGCATCTAGCCCGACTGCCCTAGCGGCGCCGTTAGTGGCACCAACCAGGTCGTTGGGAACCCAGGCAACTTCAAGCCGCATCAAGGACCTCTTGGTTGTCGATCGGAACATCTAAACTACCAATGTAAGAACGAGGCAAGGTCGCACCCCAAAATACTGCGGTCTAGCTCTCGTTGAAGCCCCCATTTAGCAGTACCTATTTTCTATCAAAGTTCTCGTTCCGCGGAGCCTACGTGGCTCCCGACAGCTGTCAACCTGCGGGAGCCGGGGGTGGCGTGGCCCCACCAAGTCGCTGTCGATCAACGCCAAGTGGTTTCAACTCGACGCCATTGCATTTGCTTCTTTGTTCTCAAAATCCTCCGAGCGCAAATGGTCAAACGTCCAGAATGCAAGACAGAATAGACGACTCTAACCGCATTCCGGTTAAGTCCCATTGCCCACCCCCTCGTTCGACTGTCATCCCCTGATTTTGCTTTGAACCTTTGCAGAGACCCCTTTTAGGACACTGAATCGGGACACTTGACATATCCACCTCGAAAGAGAACGGAATCCATCAAGATGCTTCAATTGGTTACGAACTTGGATGTGCAGCGAGCAGTAACATTGTTTGCTGTGGCTCTTGTGGTACGAGTACTTTTCAGGAAATACTGGACACCCATTAGAGACATCCCCGGCCCGTTTTTCGCTTCATTTTCAAGTATTTGGCGGGTATACCATCTATGCAAAGGCCACAGTGAAAAGGAGATTCTCAATTTGCACAGAAAACATGGTATGCCCTATTCACTAGAGTGAAAAGATATGCAGGTTATACTAAAGACGTAGGCCATTTTATTCGTATCGCGGATAATGAAGTTAGCGTGTCTCACCCAGATGCAATCAAACAGCTTCTCCAGGCCAATATTGAAAAGGCAAGCTATATTCTATATAATTTGTCGACTCCAAAGACACAACTTACACAAGATAGGGCACATTCTACTCCGTTTTCAGTCTTCCAGACTACCGCTATGTCAACCAGATGTCTGAACTAGACCCCTTACGACATATCCAAAAGACTCGGAGCCTCTCCGCGGGCTTTTCCCTTTCCAACATTTCGAAGACCGAGCCGTATATTGACAATGTATTGAGCATTTTCAAGACCCGGTTCGACGAACTAACCGACTCCGTTGCCCCCGTCGAGTTTCAGAAGTGGTTCAGCTTCTTTGCTTTCGATGTTCTTGGAGAAGTGACATTCTCAAAGTCTTTCGGCTTTGTTCAATCAGGCACTGATATTCGGAACGCGATTGCAAACACTGGATCATTAGTCTACTATATCTCGATAATGGGTAACTATATCTGGTTTCACAACTTGACATTGGGCAACCCTCTCTTTAGTCGACTTGGTCTACAGCCAAACTCGCACATCTTCGATACCTGCCTTTTAGCAGTCGAAAATCGCAATAACAATCCCGAGGTACGCCATGATATGATGCAGCGCTGGCTTGACGTCCGTGCAAGCAACCCGGATCGTCTTTCAGAAAGAGACATATTCGCCGCGGCTGTTGCAAATATTGGAGCCGGTGCGGAGACAGTAAGCGCTACGGCACAAGCCGTGCTGTATTACTTACTTCGGCGACCGGAGCTCATGAAATGAGCACAAAGCGAAATTGATGCTGCACAGTCACGTGGAGAGCTTTCTTTGCTGATTCAGTACAGTGAGGCAGCAAAGTTGCCCTTCATACAAGCATGTGTAAGTTGCATACAGAAGTAAATTTAGATGTGTATGCAATGGTACTGACTGACATCGCCAGCTAAAAGAGGCATACCGATTCCACCCAGGCGTCACCCACGATCTTCCTCGAGTGGTGCCTAAAGGGGGAATAACTATTGCTGGAAGATACTTTCCAGAGGGTGTATGATTCCACTTTCGCTAACATCACCATGATTTATATTAACATGCCCCTTCAGGTTCTTTTGAGTGTCAATCCTTGGGTCATTCATCGCGACCCTGCAATTTTTGGACAGGACTGTGACACTTTCAATCCTGAGCGCTGGCTTCAAGGCGAAACAAAAAGAATGGATACTTTCTTAATTCACGTACGTAATATCTCCATGCTAGCCAGCTATATACTTACAAGTTATATAGTGGGGAGCCGGATACAACCAATGTCCAGGTCGGAATCTTGCTCAATTCGAACTTTCAAAGGTTCTCGCGACTGTGCTACGAGACTACGAGATTGAACAGATAGAGCCACAGACAGATTGGAGGTCCGAAACCCGCTTTCTCGCCGTTCCATATGGATGGCCATGCAGAATTCTCAGGCGCCAAAAGATATGACTTTCGATCGGCCAACCAGTCCTAACGTCTGCCAGTTTGAAGTTTTTGGTCGTTCCGTGAACGTATTTACCGTTATACAAATCAATGAACATTCCGTTTACTGCTTCGACGTTATGTATTTTCTCTAATCGTCGAGTGCCTCCTTTTTTTGTCATGAAATTAAGATACGCCCAATATGGTGTAAAATTCTTATAATGACAATATTCGCCACTGGCACAGTAAAGAGGAAAAAGTACGCCGATTGAGTTCTTGACATGCAAATGGAACGCCAAGGGTGGTGTGGAATATACCCTGTGCACATCCGAAATTCATGTTCCAGAATATATTTTATGGCACCTGTGGAGCCAATTGAGTTGAGTGAAAGGCGACAAGCTACACTCTTCGCAGTTGTTATTGCCAGAACACCTAAATGACTGTCGAGGTTCAACACCCGAAGAAAATCGAAGAGATATTACCAAGCAAGTTATTGGCTGCAGACAGCAAGTAAAATCTCTAGATATGAATGCATCTGTTTGGTATTTCTCAATTTCCAGAGGGCGTAGTACATATACTATAATCCGCCCAACGGCCGGGTAGCGGAACAACCCACTCGCGAAAATTTAGCTCCATTCGGCGGTTCGTGATATCACGGACATGGGGAAAGCAAGCTGTGAAACTGACTAGATTTTTCCACGGAGACACGGAGAACAGGAGCTTGATTATATTTGTATAATTATATATCATAAATACAGAAGTAATCTCCACTCCACCACATACGACCACAGGGTGTGGAGAACAGGGCTTCCCGTCCGCTCAGCCGTACTTAAGCCACACGCCGGCCGGTTAGTAGTATGGTGGGTGACCACATGCGAATCCTGGCTGTTGTATGTCGGTGCTCACCTGATTTTTGTCATTCGTTGGGACATCTGCCCTTGCCGCTTTACCCTTCAGCCCCTTCAGGCCCCTTCACCTGAACACCCTGAAGGCCCTTGCTGGCAAGTTCGACGGGCTCAATTATTTGACTAATCTCAGCAGATAACTATAACTTAGTAATAATAAATCCTGTTCCGGGTATCTGCCTATCTGCTGCGTTCCAACACCAGCCAGCGGCAAGGGCACTTGTCTCGACGAATCACGACCTGCCGTCCTCTGCGGCACTCCTCCGCGAGAACGTCTAGGCCACACCCTCGCCGCACTGATCCTCTGCTGTATGCCTTCTGGTGCGTAGTGCGGAATCATTGGGCAGAATTGTCCAATCTGCTGCGAATCGCGCTTTTGGCATCTGCACTTCGCCACTTTCGATCATCAGCAACGATATTCCTCAGTGATTGGGCTCAAGACCCTGGCGTTCCTCATCAAATATGGGTGGGCCCTTGTCAGCTTAACTTATCACCACGTGACTCCCAAATCCAAGCCCCTTCCCATCAACATAAACAACCCATATCGCACGAACTGGCCAGATCGTTGGCACACCACCTCTCATGGCAACTGAAATTACTCCACCAGGGAGTTTCCAAGAGCTTCCCCTGACACCGCCGCTTACGAAAGAGAAATCGTTGTCGAGAAGTGCTCAACGCGTTCTAAACTGTTTTAAGCTCCATCGTGCAGGTCAGAGGCCACGATTTTGGTGGCAGCACTCGCTCGCTTTAGACGATTATACAGAGGCTTTACAAACTGCTATACCCACGCTCCCTCTGCTCCTCCCCTTCCCTTAGGCAGCAGCCAACAACCAGGGTTTCACACCCATTACCCTTGAGCTTCATGTAAGTGATTAGACCAGCCATCAGGAGGATGGTTCTAAGGCTCCCCGACTCGAATGCCCTGTCTCATCAGTGGTACATTATGATACAAACCAATCCCTCATGACTTTGCGGGCAGCATCCGTACAGTATCATTTTCACACCCTGCATGTTTAGATCTTCTCCATGTTCATGAAGGACCAGGACATTATCATTCTCTCAGTTCCGATAGTCAGGCATCCAGATCAGTCTGGCTTACAAGGACTAGATTCCGTCATCGGAAAAGCATCATTCGGATTACTGTAGTGTGCCATGTCTCCACTATTCGGCCAACCTGGAGCGCCAAGCCAAATTCCCCAAACAGGATCTTTCCACAGCTTCAGGAGTATGTCAAGTCATGAAAAAAATGGCGGTCTACTCCAATTACAGAGTGGAAATCCCGTAGGTCTGGGTATTTGGTGGACAAAGTGAGTAGCTGTGATAGTAGGGGTTATTGTAACTATATCTAATCTTTTTTGATCTTCTGAGGCACAACCTTCGCTGCGGCCTGCGTCATAACTAGTACTGAGGCGGCAGAGGCAATGGAACCAAAGAAGGCTACCATAGAGCTCCAACCCGTATTTGCAAATGGATAAATGATAATAGAGATGGCTGCAAAGGCCACGCCCAGGGCGAAGAACATCCACATCATGCTGTACGCCGGCGAAAACCACGACTTTTTCAGCAGAGGGATAACCATGGTCAGGTTGCCCAGCACGGACATGATACTACTCTGGATCAGATACCAGAAATCTGCATCTTGAACCGAGCCTGGTTCGCTAGATTTCATTGAAATTGAGAATGCCTTGTATCCTGGGACAATAGCCGCGGTCAGGAATAGGAGAATTAAGGCTATGAGCCCAACGTTTTCCTAAACCGATATAGAATAAGCTCTGCTCATACCTTGACATACTATACTTACTTTCTCCTTGCTCAGTGCTTCAGACGGTTCCACAGCCGAGGATTCGTCAGGAGATGTGGGTTGAGGATGATGCAGTTGGTGGACTGAGGAAGAAACCAGTTGCTCCATTTCCAATAAGAGGGGGGTTTTCAGGTCCCCCAGTGTATTCAGAACGGCAATTCTCGCATCGATACCTTCCAAAATTGGAGCCAAATCTTCCAGCCTATCTTCTGACTGACTTTCAATGTCCTTGAGAAGTTGCTTTCGGTTAGTTTCGATTTCCATTTCCAGACTGTCGAATACCTTAAGGACAATATCGCCAATCAGGGATTCCGAATTCGTGCGCCATTGTAAAAACGTATCCAGCATAAGTTCCCAATAAGGTGCCTCAAAGGCGTCCTGTAAATACTCGAAAATTTCCCGATCTCGACAATGGGTAATATTGAACCTTGGGTTCACTGGCTTGACCTGTTTTCGATCATGATCCCACACTTCAGACACCTTTTCGCAGTATTCGCCAAGATCCCCAAGATAGATTGATTTTGGATCTGCTACCCTTGTCGAATCTGAATTTTGCCGTTTTGCAATGTCTTGTCGGATATCTTTCAGGTGTTGACGAACATAGCCTTGGTCAAAGTACGGCATGACCGAACGAAAGTACTCTGCGAAGCAGCGGTCGAGAAAATTGAAGTTACTAGCCAGGTATATCAGACGTCGTTTGATAGCTCTGTTTTTCACCTCTGCATATGGCTCATAGTAGCTGCGGTTGTTGATTGCTTGTTGGAGCTAATAGCCCGTTAGAGAACATGCTTGGCCGTTCAAGTAGATCCGCATCACTTACTCTTCTCCCTGATTGCAAGCGAGCTTTCCTCGAGCGCGTAGCTCGGGTCGAACGGATTGGATCTTCGGGATGATCGAAGGTAGCCAGAGACCCAAAAAATCTCCGTGCTTGATTATAGACGATGATATTGCTGATATTGCGATGATTGATACCCATATTGGCGTGGAAGTTGGGCATCCTTCCAAAGGGAACCGCAGTATCGCGAGTTTCGGAGCTTGCAATGTTACGGCCGAAGCCGACAGGTGCATCAGTCGGCTCGATGGCATCGTCCGGGTTCTGCGTGGTGTCTGTCATCGATTTAAATAGTTGACGAGCCTAGATGGGAAAGCTGAGATGCAATAAGATGTAGGGAATTGGATCTGCCGCCGGCATGAGAGGTGAAAGGCCGATCTTTTATAACGAGAGTATACTCAGAGCTAATGACGATTTCCGTCTCCCAACCCAAGTATGCCTTGCCACCGTGGCGCATCACGAGACACGATTCACAGTACGCAAAACGGGCCGGTCTAGAACAACTCTAACTTTTTTTGGGGAAGGTGTACTTCACAATTTAGGATTATACAGGATGAGGAAAGCAAGGCGCCTCATTGCAGGAGTACTGTACTAATACACCTCCGCCCTCACAGGCTAAGACAGCAATCAATAAAAATGATCTTTCCTCCCTATCTGCCTTTCTCGATATACCCTTGATTTCTTTCTTCTTCAGCACACCGCTCGTCATCATCTGTGCACGTTTCGAGAATAATATATCATGTCTTGGTAGGTGTCATATCCAGAAGACCCGCCGCCGAGTATAAACTTTCCCTCTCTCCTATCCTCGTTCCCACTCGAGTCCCAAACCCTCTGTTTGCTTTCTCTAGGTGGCCTGAACTGATCCTGATCGGAGCTGATCACGGAAAATAGATTCACCGTGGCCATTACAACCCTCTAGTCTGGCCTTGACTATATCCTCTCCAGGGACGCTGTGAAGATTCTGACCGAAGAAGATGTGCAGAAACGATTGGCTCGCTCCGATGCAAACAAACACAATTGAAGAGCTCTCCCGTATCTGAACAAGGTGCTTCACTGATTAAAGATGAATTAAATTAATCAAATCGTTTGGGTTTCTTCAACAAGGCGGTTGGTCCCTTCATCATGAATAGTCCAACAGATCAGTGATTCTCTTCGCACGTGAAACCGCCGTAATTGAATCGCATTGAACCATTTTCGTGAATGTCTTGCTTCTACTATAACTATGGATGCAGCACCCCTTCAAGCAAATGCCCAGTCTTCTTCCGTTGGACCCCCAACTTGCCCTCGACGCGTAGGGAAACTCATGTTGGGTTGCGCCGACTTCGCAATGAACATGAACACATCGTTGTAGGTGCAGACCCATAGAGAGCCCCATCTCTGAGGGAATTTTGATGGTTTCGCCGCAAAGATGGAATTTGAAATCCCAATAAGAAGGCCTCACCTGATGTGCTGTGACACGAAAATGGCCACCCTCTTTTGCTTTTGCAACGCTTACCTCTCTCAGCTTCTGAGCCATTCTTCTCCCGTTATCTTTCCGGAATTGAAGGGCTTTTGATTCAACAAAACTGGAAACCCCGTAATCTAATGGATTCGCATTATTCAGGCCCCAACACAAGCTGCTTGGAAGATTGGTCGGACGAAGATTGGTGAATGTCTGACTATTCCAGGATGCAAAGAGGATTGTCATGATCGCTTCAGCGATATGAACCAATGGTTCACCCACTGTATGTGCAAATCGCACCAGCACAACAAAGTTGCAATGCGACCCTTCTTTTCGTATTTCATTGCAATGAATTTGGCCGCTTGGAGGTCTGCCTGTTTTAGAACGTGCGTAGGACAAGTGCTGCCGAATTCTTCGTTTTAAGCCCTTGCATTTCCCGTTTTGGTGAATCGTCGACGAAGAGGCAGCACCAACGTAGATTTTGACACCCAGAAGCGCCAGGACCCCTAAAACGCCTGAATGTGTGGACGGAAGCAGCTTTAGCAGATCGATTTGAGCCGGATCATCCAGATGATAACCGGAGCGTCTAATTAGTCAAATCAGAATGGACTCGAGAGTGCACACGACGTATGGGGCCAGGTCCTTTTAAAGATGGGGGCAATGTGACGAATATGGCGAAAGCGAGGTTCGACCCTGTGGCCTAGTGTGAGCTATTTGGATGTTTTAGTGGAAGTTGCCTTTTTGGGAAGTTTGCCAGGGAAGAAGAGGATGCCTGAGGCTGGTAGCGTATAAAAGGCTCAGCTCACACTTCTGTAGTTTTTCTTCTTCTCTTCCCTCTCTAGATCTAGTTTCTTCGTTGAATGCACCGTTTGAGGTTTCTCTTTCGATTGGCCGTAACAGATATCTTCGAGCTCGAATCTAACTCACTCTAGCTTAGCCTTTAGGTCCTTCTCTAGGTGGAAAATATCTCGCTCCTCTTTATTAGATAGTAAGTTATCTTTCTTTTGAAGCAATTAGCTTCAAAATATGACAGGCGTAGACTTTAGTTCACTCTTTGGCCAATCATCAGAAAGAAAGATCGAATAAATAACGCGTATCCTTCCGCGAGTATCCCGCACCGCTGTGATCTGGACTCCGATAAGGCCCATCTTTCGGGCAACTTTAGAAAAGTGACGCGGCATGGAAAATGTAATGGGATATTCCTAGGAAATAGAAGCTCAGGGAAATCAAGAGAGAATGTAAGGAGGTAGGCAATAGCGGGAATGAAAGTTTGAAGGCTTTTTATTCTACTAAACAAATGTAATAATGTTAAAATTGGCCTTCTCACTTTACGTTGTCAGAATGCGCTCTAGCACATCATGTACTCGGTAAACAAGAAATTTGACCATTCACAGTCCACTTGGTGAATGTACTGTAGAAACAAGTCGACCCACTCAGTGGGTGCCACGGTTCAAATGGTATCCATGCCTAACAGTCCTGATAAAATGGGCATTTGTGGTAAGCCATAAATCTTGAGATACGACTCGGAATGATGCAGAGCATTGCAACTCAATGCTTCCATACATATCCAGATTACACATTGACAACCAAGCTTGGCAAAGAATGTCGAGTCACATTCTACATTTCAGAACACTTCCATGGCCATCCAATTTCGAATATGCCGTCAATGAAGGGAATTACTCGCGAAGAGGCCTCCTGAGTCATGACAAAGTCCACAGGCAGCATTTCTGACCAAACGGGCACAATTGCTTCATACTGAAGGGCAGTCTGAACAAACCAGGTGCAAAATACGCCCAAGCAAAGTTACCCAATGTTCCCACTTTGTCTTATATAAAAATCCTTTAAAGCTGTCGTTTTTAATCTGAATATGTATTAGGTGCTTGCAGAAATACTCTAAGAATAGCAAACAGCGGGCTCATACGAGACAGATACCACGAGCGAAGTTGAACCAGACACAGTCAGAAATCCTGCTCCTCCCAAACATTCGTAGCAATTATGTCCAAAACCGACTCGTCAAAAATTATATCTGCTTCCTTGGGAATACTGGCCTGGCGAAGAAAGAGCTTGTTGAAGTGGATGACAAGCGGCTGACCCGGGACGTAGATACGGTTGTTCTCCCCTTTGCTGATGGTAACCACTTGTGTGCGTTTGACCCTATCATCGACAAGTTCCCACATCTCCAGCACGATCTTGGGTGTGCTTCGACCAATCTTGATCGTGATGACCATTTGAACGTCCCCCCTGGATTCTTTAAGCCAGAACCGAGCATCGGACATTAACTTCGACGGGGACTCTGAAAAGCCTGCCTCGACAACAAGCGAGGGCCACTTCTTCGATCGGGCTCGAGGGGGTCTCTTTGGCAGGAATTGGCAGTCGGGCTGTTTGGCAGAACCGTTGTCTGCAACGCACGAGGCGGATCCAAAAGTTTTAAGAGCGAGGTCAATACCCATTGGCATAAGAGAGCGCAATAGGAATCTTTCGAACTCGTGTGCAGCGACCTCATGTGCGCGAGAGACTATCATTTTGACGAGAAGCAGGTATTGAGAGGAGTCGTAGGAATTCCAGCAACGAGAAAGGATTTTGTTGTCCTCGTGCGAGTCGAGGAAGGTGCGACGGAAGGTCTGCATTGTAACCCCCGTGAAAAGCACCCATTCACTGACGACAAAATCCTCTTGTTGGCGACATAATTCTATCTTCAAAGTATTCAGAAACTGGTCGATATCCTTATATGGATACCTTCTAATCGGTGGTCCTAGGTCAGCGAGAAAGCTACCATTAGAGCCCTCGGTACCTACCTCAAGGGCTGTGTGCGATGCCATGATGGTCGGGATTGTACACAGGCTCCTCTTTCTTGCGCTAGTGAGACGGACAGAAAAGTGCTCACTTTTATTCTAGGGGGACATCAAAAGTCGATTGCGAGGGCCACCGACGGCGACGTGACGTAGTCTTGTTATAATCTCAACGCAATGGCCGTCCAGGTTGTCTCCCTTGGTCCTCGGGAGGACGGCACGCAGGATTTCTGAGTTATCATACTCAATAAAATTCACCACAGATGTAAACTTAGCAGCTTGATCCTTACTTTTGGTCATTTGGAGAGCGAATGTTGGTTGTTCGGTCTAGTCACGGGCGAGGGGAGCAGGGAGACTGAATGGTGAGAGACCGCTGCTGGACACTCCCAGCGCGTCTTTTTAATACCATCCTTCGTCGCTCTCCATATCGGCCGCTCGCGAAATCTTTCTCTGTGCTAAAAAGCGCAAATGCTCCTTTTGCCTGCCTGCCCTGTACCTTCGGAGCTCTTCGGGTGAAGAATATTCAGGTGGGTGAACTGCCCCTGAAGCCACCTGAAGCCCGCCTGAATAAAGCGGCGAGTCGCTCATGACCAAACGATGGGCGCTAGGTGAGGTCGGCCATACTTTTGGCTGTTGTATGTTTTGTTTTTGCCATTCGTTGGGACATTTACCCTGGCCGCTTTACCCTTTAGCCCCTCAAGGCCCTCTATTCTTCACCCGAACGCCCGGAATACACCTGAAGCGCTGACGTGGCCCTTCGGCTAAACTTTCCTTCCCTCCTAACTCCCCTTACCGCCCACATCCCACTCGCATCTTTCCTTTTGCAGACCATGGAAAATAGATTCACTGTGGCTATTATAACCGTCTGGTCTGGTCTTGATTATCTCTTCTCTAAGGACGCAGTGAAGGTTCTGACTCAAGAAGAGGTACAGAGACGAATGGATCGCTCCTATAGGATTAACTACCAATCAACTTCGAACAGTCAGCAGGCAACGTTACGAAGACTACATACAACACCGCACTCGTAACGTTTATGTGAGAAGTCCTGTCACGTGACTAACATCATACCCAGCATATGACCCGATCAGAGCCAGGATCGGAAGGACTGGATATATAAGAACACTCGTTCGGCACCGTGTATTTATGATCTTCGCGATGAATCATTCAGCTTACTAGGATAGAAACGTTACATATTGTTACTTAGAACGACCTTTGTTCCTCCGTACTTTGCACTTCATAGTTCACCTTTAAGATATCCATCCTACAAATAGGGGAGCGAGCTTAGTGGCCTCACTCTGTGACTGACCTACTTGGCACGGACTTCTGGCACGTCCTGCAAGACACTTAATAGGACCGGAGTCCGAGGCTTAGCGTAGCAACGGTACGGTTGGGAGATGCTCTTGGGATCCGTAGTGGAACTAGGTAAGTATAACCCCATTCAGCTCTACGCATAGCCACTAGCAGGCACCGCGTAACACTCCCTCGTGGCCGAACATATACGGTACTTAACTAATTAAAAGTGAATTGAACCAGTGACCTTTCTTATTTTCTTGGATAAACTACCGCTGTGCCTGGGGGTCTACTTCCGGGGAAAGGATCCACTATTTTAAGCCTATCCAGTCGCGGGTTCTTATATTGTCTCTTACGCGAATTTAGTAGATCTTGGTTCGTTAGTGTTTAATTAACTAAAGCATAGTAGACCCTCTAGTTATTAGGTACTTATCTGCCCCCGTATATAGAAACTTTTGCTAACTACTAGTAGCTTTTCTTTTAGGGCTATTGTTAAGATATTTCTGTCATGAAGCTATTCGCATGTGTTGGAACAGAGATGAGTAAGCCATATCGGTGCAATAATAGAAATCACAATGAGTCTGAATTGTTATAAGGCCCCTAGCTGGCAATTTGGATGAGCCATTTACATGACTAATCTTGGCGGATTTACACTATCTGAACGTAGAAATTGACTATTTTAAGTGCATATAATGATGATAAGTCCAAAAACCTTCCTGGCGCAGTGGTGGCTGTTTTTTCCTTCTCATTTTCGCTTTTTTGGCTTTTTTTAAGTCTGATCTTGCTCGCTTGGCTTACCTTTTCATGTTGACTAAGGCCTAATGCGCAAAAACGATTGGTCGGCCTTCCATATTTCCCTGCTGAGAGTTATAACTCACCCCATCAACCTTCAGCCCGGCTTCATTAACAAGAGTAATAATGTCACCATTGCTCGAAAGATGGAGTTTCGGCACTTCAAAGCCTCCGGTAGACATGGGGTTCAAAACTGCATTACCAGGAAGTTCTTGGGCTTCACCAGCTGAGTTATGGAGTTTCCACGATGCCAAAGATACCCGGTGGTTTGTCAGGTTCGTAAGAGTGACTGATTTTCCCTTTTTCACAACTGCTTCCTTGATAGCCACTGAATTCTCAATTAATTCTGTGGGAAGGAATTGACCCCAAGTCAAAGGCGGTATAGCATGACCTTCACGGTCTGTGTGCACAGCTTGTGATGCAAACGCGAGAAAAATCCCGGTCCATTGATCAGTCTCCTTGTAATGGATGAGAAGACCTCCGTCCTGAAAAGTTCCATCATCGTTACGGAATCTCTTTATGTTACCCTGGTTCATGTGCACATTGTGAACTCCATTTCTAGTGTTGAAACGGGAACCGAAAACGTATATCTCCGCGTTTTTGTGGATTGATTCCTTTACTTCAGGCACCAAGACGTCAATCATATCATTGTTTGGGCCGTCGATGTCATGGCGAAGAAGACGACCTTTTTTGGCATCAAATAGGCCAGATCGAATATAGTCCAAGCCTTGGTCTTTAAGCTCCTCGAGATCATGGAACCCGAGATCCAATTTGGCTAGATTTTGAACCATTGGATGATCGCTGAGATTATAATTCACCCAATAAGCAAGTCGAGAGTCCCGATCAATAGACTTGATGTTGATCGCTGCCCGAAAGAGCCCGGGAATTTCCATCGGTCTGTTTTTATTCGGAGGTTTGTTTTTGTGTTTCTGGCGAAACTTGAGGTCAAATTGTGGCTCCGTTTCATAATTATCGTGGTAATATAGAGATAGATGTGGAGATTTTGGGTCTTCATAACGATCCTCAACCTCGTAATGAACGGGGAACCCCTTCCAAACGCCGTAGTCGTCAACAGGCATTTCGGTTTCAAATTACGATAATTCTCGAGATGATTCAAATTCTGATCAATCGAGGAGTTTAATCTCGTAGAGAACAGTGTAGGGCTTAAACATAGGAATTGGGCCAGCTTTTATAGGTATGACCAGTGTTCAGGCAAAGGACTTCGGTGACGGCGTCTTTGGACACATACGGCTCAACACCTTTCAAACCCTGTCGGTATGACATACTGAGAGGTCTGGAACTATCAATCATACGTCACGACCTATCCTCTCAGTGGCCTAGAAGTTCTATAGGATCGGCCGAACCCATCATGGTTTGTCCATCGATATTCAGTATTTGACCGACATGTTCCAGTTCGTCCTAACCGGACTATACTTCTGGAGTGTGGAGACGATCAGGCGACTACTTTAACAGAGTTCAAACTATTATACAACCAAGCGATAAATTAACTTCTATCCAAGTAAATCAATCTGAGTAACCCCCTTGAGGGACAGGGCCGAGGGCGTTCCAAAGCTCTCTACCACCATCGAGCCGGCCCGACTAGATCAGCCGCCACTTTGCAATCAGAATACACTTATTTACTTTTGGGAATTGACTTCTGATTTTTCCCCTCACTTCGGTGGGTTAGTCCCAAAAAAGGTAGGTCCTAGCCCGGCGCAGCATTGTTAGTGACATAGCGAAAGCGAGATAACATAATTAGCAGGCGGACAGGTCATGCAACTTGAACCAATTATGCCAGAATCGCAAATGGATGGCGTAGATTCCAAAAGTTCAACTCTGCACCTGAGGATTGAAGCCAGAAAGTGCTGATCCGCAGAATACAATAATCAAACCAAACTCAGTGCCAGAAGTCAGGTGTAATGTATGACCAATGGCGCGAGAACAATGGTTATCTGATGCCGCTTTTGATTGGTGGATAGAGTTCCGTTTGCGGATATGCTACACCTCGTGCTTCATCTTAATTCATGCGAACATATTTAGATCTTTTAACTCTGTGCCGATATTTTGCTACTAGTTAGGCTCTTACTAAGTAGTTCACCATACAAGCTTTCTTAAAATCGCCTTGACTAGTACACGCTGAGAAACTCTTTCCCGGCCCTACTGCTAAGGCTTTAGCTTAGATTATTAATTGAGCCGGCCTCTCAGAGATGATGGCCGCCTTAAGATGTCCCGTATCTCGTAACCGTCGTCGTCAACGTTTACCGCCCTGCATTCAGAGCAGATGATTTCATCTTATAGAGGGAGACCCAATACTATACAAGAGGTGCATTGAACAGCGCCCTCTACTTATTTGTGGCCCGCTCAATGGATGATCTACGCCAAGGCCTTGGCAGTGGAGCCGGAAATGAGTTTCTCAATGTGTACTGGTCAAGGCGATTTCGAGAATGACTTGATGTCTACCACGGTTGTTGCCGCTCAATGGATGATCTACGCCAAGGCCTTGGCAGTGGAACCGGAAATCAGTTTCTCAATGTGTACTGGTCAAGGCGATTTCGAGAATGACTTGATGTCTACCACGGTTGTTGCCGCTCTATGGTCGTGGCCCGTGCGCCGAAAAGAGGGAACTGGCGAAATTTGACCAAAATCGCGATGATTGGCTCGCTGTACTTTAGTGTTATTGGACGAATGCTGTCAGTGCCATTCGGTGAAGACTGATACCGGAAACGACTCTAATTTTCCGCTCTTTGTCCATTCCGCGTCACTATTGGTATTTGTGGCTCACATAGACCGCAGTTGGAGCATGCAATTTACGTTTCCGGGGATGGCGTTCGAGCTAATTACCATGATTTAATAAATCTTATCGGATTCAGCTAGGCCTCGACACGGCCCACAGATTGGGTGGGCAGCCCAGAAGTTTATGTATATATCTCTACTAAATACAATATAATTCCCTTTAATTACAGTGCATTTGGGCTGCCTACTAGGGGCGGCCGGCCCATGGGCCGCCCAAACGTGGGTCGTGTCGAGGTCTAGATTCGGCTGCGCTTTTCCGGGACTTTAAACGCGGTAGGACCATGCAGCCACAGTTCCTCTCCTCGTGGGCTCGTATTCTTCCTTGTGATGGGTTGCAAGAAGATATTCTCTCCTTCTTATGGTTCGCCCAGGTGTTGTAGGAAAGACATCGGAGTTTGCAAGATTGGGACTGTAGGCGAGCCTGGGAGTTTTCATAGTGAGGATCCGACACCGGATGACAATCGTTCTCATGTGCTTTCATAATAGGCTTTATTGCACTGAGAAAGCTATTCATATATATAGCGCTTCGTTGCAGGGATTGAGATTCGATATGATCAGGTGACTAGGAATATTATGGTAGAATATAAGCTTGTTGTTATAATAAGGATTCTGATATAAGGTTATTCCCATGCTCTTGGTATTGTACCAGGGCTGACCGCCCGATAAATCGGAGGCATGTCAGGCAAGAATCACCTACTGTCATAGTCTCTTCGAAAGTGGCACCCATTTCACACTTTTTGTCCGTGCTCCCCATAGTAAAGAGTTCGGTGGACTGCAGTGACCCGTCCCGCCATTACAGCCCATAACTATTCCCCTATGCTTCCCAGCACATACAGTGACACAGCAAAAGTTTTTGGAACACCCCGGAAACCACCAGACCGCCTAAATCGGGGTCCACCGCCTTCTATAATGGCGAGACAATATATGTCAGCGGAAGTTTTTCAGCAGGCAGAATATGATGTAATTATGGGGGAGTGGGGCTGGTGTTCCAAAAACTTTTGCTGAGTCACAGTATAACGTAATTCCCGGTCACCCTGGCCACCCCATCAGAAAACGCGTCAATCTACTAACCTACTAACTTCAACCAACTACTATGCCACCAATTCGCTCTGAATCCTTCCAGAAATCGGCCAATCAAGAGGGCAAGATATTATTAGCCCTTGGTGATATTAAAAATAGCCGCATCAAATCTCTTCGCGCAGCAGCGAAGCTATACGAAATTCTACGCAGTACCCTACAAACGCGTGCATGTGGTGTAGTCTCTATCGCAGAGAGACGAAACCCTAACCATAAATTGACCCAATTGGAAGAGGATTCGCTTATTGATTAGATTATCTCTATGGATTCACGTGGAGCAGCGCCTAGGCCAGCTACTATAGCCGAAATGGCTAATATTCTACTCGCTGCGCGTGGTAGCTACCCTCCGCCTACAGTTAGGAAGAATTGGCCATCAACCTTTATAAATCGGCGCGAAGAGATTCGATCACGCTTCTCTAGGCGATATTACTACTAGCGCGCTCTTAACGAGGATCCGAAGGCTATAAAAGAGTGGTTTTTGACGGTACAACGCGTGATTAAGGAGAACGGTATCCAACCGGAGGATATCTACAACTTTAATAAGACTAGATTCGTAATAGGCCTTATATCATCGTAGAAGGTAATTACGCGAGCAGAATACTACGGTCGGCGATTAATTCTATAGCTAGGAAATCGCGAATAGGTCACTGCGATCGAAACGATATACGCTAACGGCTACTCGCTGCCGCCCTGTATTATATTCAAAGGCTAGGTTTATATCGCTAGTTAGTTTAAATCAAATCTCTCTAGGGATTAGCGAATCGAAGTATCGAATAATAGCTAGACTACTAATAAAATCGGCCTTCGCTAGCTCTAAAAGATCTTTATTCTATACACTAATTCGCGTGTACGAGGGCGATTTCGGCTATTAATCCTTAATAGGCACGGTAGCTATCTTATACCTTAATTCGATCGAATCTGTGCCGAAAATGATATTATACCGCTCTGTATGCCTTTATATTCGTCTTACTTACTTTATTATTAGGTACTTTGTAGTACTAAAGCATACCTACGGTTGCTTCGTAAGCGATTTAGCCCGAACTAGCTATAATTATATCGACAAGCTTGATTTTCTAGTAGATTATCCTCGCGTACGGCTAGAAGCTTTCTAGCCGAATATCGTTTAAAGGAGCTTCGTAGCTACTAGTATCGTACTAGTTAATACTAATAGGGTACTTTCTAAGCTTAATATTTCCCTCTAAACGCCTTTACCACTATTAAGCCGACTAAGCAGCAGATCTAGCCAATTCACACCAAAAACGCCTAGAATAGTAGCCTAGCTACAAAAGCAGGCTAAAATAATGAAAGATCTAATAGATCGGCGGTCAAAAAGCCCTCTAAGCCCGTTGAAATTAGTAGTTGATCAGATTCTTAAGGGCCACTATCAAGCGTTACATCATACTGCGTTATTAGTGAAGGAGAACGCCGATCTACGCGCAGCGAATGAAAAGAAACGTCAAAAGCGCACTCGATCGACTATGCGGATTGCACACGAATGGGGCCTATCAATCGAAGAGGGCCTACAGCTAGCTCAGCAGCCAATTCAGCCAGAAGAAGCTGATGAGGTAGTATCGCATGAAGAGGTCGATCTGCCTAATCAGCCGATTCAACCGGCTAGGAGGGCTCCGCCTACCTGCAGTAGATGTGGACGAATTGGCCACAGGATTACTTCATGTAAAAATCGTATTATCTAGTTAAATTAATGGGTGTTGGTTGAGATAATCAATTTTGAAATTTTCTAATGGGGTTAAGTGGCCAGGGTGACCGGGAATTACGTTACTGTACTCACATTAGTTAACTAACTAACTAGTTAGTTAACTAACGGCCCCTTTACAAAAATTACCAGTTTCTCCGGACCCTCAAGGGGCCGGTTAGTTAGCTCATGTAGATTTTGTCATCATTAATCAACCATGCTTCCTATATACTCGGACATCGAAGAGAACATCTCCCACCCAGACCTTTTAAGGGTTCGGAAATATAATCAGCCCTGGCACTAATCCCTGGTCATCGATAGCAATGGCGATCGGATGTATCAGAAAAAGCAATGTCTTCCCTCACTCGGCACATGCGACGCGTCGCGCTTTTGTTTTGACCCCATCGCCTTTGAATGATATATCCTGTTCCCTTTGCCTATCCGGTTTCAACGCGGGAACTGCCTTCGCTCCCTTTATACCTAGACTAGGGAGCACGAGCAGCGCACAATCAAATG